ATCAGAGCGCCTTTGAAGTTGGAAGTAAAACAATGTAAAAATTAGCGAAAGTTAGACATGGTGAAATTGAAAGGCTGTAAACTTTCGCGATTATCACAGCGCTCATCAATACATTCGCATCGAAAACATAGCTGCTGAAAAGGGAAAGCAATTCTGCATATGATACTTCTTGAAGTTTATGTTCAGTTTGGGTAAGGGACTTACGATTGGTCAAAAAACGGAAAAAACTTTTGCACCGGGCTATTTATTTATTTGTTTATTTATTTATTTACTTGTTACGCACAAGGCGTGCCATAACTAGACGAAATTCTAAGAACATAATCAAGGACAGATACAAAAACAAAACAAAAAGATTCGTCAAGTTAGCTGAAGTCCAGTCACAAGATAGTTATGAAGAAAATAAGGAATTAAGCTCGCATAGACTAGCTATGAAATAATCCCTCAAATTAATGGCGTAAAGACTCAGTGGAGTATGTCCCATGTCCCCTGCTTGCCCGAAAAGGCGATCATTACTATTCGGTATAAGCAACGTGGAATATAGGAGAAGCGGTTTAATATATGAAAATCCCGCATAGTCAGTTTCTGGGGAAGGAGCAGAACTCCGATAGCGGAGAAAAGGCTGCATAGTGCAAAAAGTTTATCGAGCCTAACAAGCTATTCCCAGGTAAAAACAGAAGGGAGTGCATCGAACTCAACCCCGACGCGTGGACAAAGTATAGATATGATCAACACCAACACCAGAAGACTTCAGCTGAATTCAGCTCTAATTTCCTCGTTCTACGTTCAGCCATAGAAGAAATAGAAAAACAAAGCTTGTAGTTGGTTCATACAGCCAAGCAACAATGGGTTAGTCCAGCCATGATCAAACTTTGCTAGACAAATACAAGTCCAACACAGCAGAAGGCGATTGCTCCATACTAGCAACCATTAGTTGTCAAAAACACCCAGCCGAAACCCAGCGGAACTGTCAATCGATCGAACCATGAATATGAAACAGACTAGGTTAGAAGAATATCCACTGTATGCCAGCATGTTCAAGACCACCTAAACTAGAGACGCAGGGCCCAGCTTCAAGACAAGTGACAATAAGGTCGCTGTTCTTGAGCATCCGGGCATAGCTGAAAATGATTCATGGTTCAACTGCTTCAAAGCAAACAGCCAATCAAGCAGCAATTTTTGCAGTCTGCATCTAAAACTCTTGCTATCCGCTGAATTGAAAACCTCGTATGGCAAACGAGCAAGCCATCTGGCACTCCGGCAGAAAAAACAGTTAAAAACTAGTGAATGGTGTTTTCTAAATATCCTTCCATAATCTAGGTTGAAGGCATCTCTTCTAGATGAGCATGGCCGGAACCTCCAGTAGTTACTGGCGCTCAAATTCGTTTCCTTTTTCAATATGCGAAAAGCAAATGTCAAATCATTGCAAACTCTTCTGAATAATAGAGTGTGCAGCGATAGAGTTTTCAATCTTTCTTCATAGTTGGGCAGGTTTACTCGGCTAATTCTTGGATAAATACGGTGAAATGACAGCCTCAAAGGCCTCTTATACTTTCTCTAACTTTTTGATTTCTTTTTTCAGCGCAGGGTCCCTTACTTGAGAGCAATATTCTAAATGCGGTAAAACATAGGCCTTATATAAGCTGACTAAGACTGCCGCATTTGTAATGTGAGTGTGACGAAACAAGGCAAATAAAGCCCTGTAAGCTTCCGCAACCGCTTTATCAACGTGCTCCTCAAAAGTCAATTTGCAATCGCCGACTCCCAGATCTCTAACTATATTAGATCTCTTGAGAACAGTGTTACTCACTGTATACTCAAGCACATCTGCACTGCCCAAGTGCATAAAGTAACGCTTACTAACATTCAGTGTCAGGTCATTGTTTGTGGCCTGGCCTGTGGCTCTTTGCTCGGACTAATATATTAGGGCGTCCCATAATTTTTTACCGTTTCTACTATGACCGTCGTCTCTTTGTAATCTTCCTTCAAATTATGTACGACCATGTAGTTCGACCATTATTGTAAGCTTTTGCCCAGTTCTCGAGAAATGCTGATGTTTAGGGTAAAAACGGTAAAAAATTATGGACACCCTTATATAAATGTGGATGAGAAAAGTGTACACTTGAGTAGGTCAGGGATTTTGTAAGATTATTTTGGATGAAGTTACGATTTTTCTCGATTATTCGGACGTTTGATTCTTATTAGGCTTCAAACTCAATGTGGATCAAAAGGTGGTGCAAAAGCAAGAAAGCCACATCGTATAGCTTGCTTAGCTCCATCGAATGAAGCTTTGACACTATTCGAGCATAAGAAGTGCATGATAACTGCTAATGAACATCTATACGGGTGGGACTTATGAACAATAGGTTTGTGGAACAGAGGTCCTCAGTGTAACAGTGTAAAAACGCGGTGGTTGGAGGTTTGGAGCATTTCCAAATCCACTGGAAACGATATGTAATGAAATTTCTAGCACAATTTAGCAAAGGTTATTGCTTTGTTATGAGTGTAAGAAAGCTAACATTTTCCTTCTTTGAAACTCAATCAATCCTGTTTGTAACATGTAATGGTTTCTCAAGCTCATAGATCAAATTTGACGTACTTGTTACGAGAATCACAGCCATTTTACATGGTGGGTCCCTTTTGTAGATTATAAGGTGTACATTAGGGATGAAGGTTCTAGGACTGAAACACCGGTAGAATTATTTGGTATGATATTCGCAACCGTATTCAATTTGAAATAAACAGTACTCATTTTGGTAAGGGTACGGCATTTATCGACATAGTGCTTTGCTATTCACCTTGTCTAAGCATGACTGCCAGGATGGGCACGCCTGACCCCATGCCCAACCCTGCTTATTTGTCTGCATGGCATGTTTTACAATACCGCCTTGATTTAAGTCCAGCCTCCTCTGAAACTTCCGTGCCGGGCCCTGACCAGGACCTGTTTCACCATTATTTGACGACTAACAGTATGACAAATTCACTACTGAGCATATTCTCTGACACCAAACCCTCGCTACAAAAGTTATTAGGTTGTCCCAAAAGCAAACTCCTTTTTCATACTCAAGCTGTTTTTGTATTCCCAGTAAATTTAGGGTATCATTCGATAGAGTAGATCAAGCTCTGCAAAGTATCCACCAAGGACCCGCCTAAGTCGCTTCCCATGGAAAGTTTGAAGCCAAAATCGAAAAACATTTTGTCACCTGAAAAATGGATTTTTGCGACAAAGAGTTCTACAGAACTCCAGCTTGGTCATTATACAGTAGAAATATAATAGTAGTATTCAAATATGCCTTTACCGAATTTTCCGAGCATAGAAAGCGAAAAACAAAAATTGTCCAAAAATGGCAAACTCCATCCTTAGCCCCCCCCCCCCCACATATGTCATTGTATACCACAAGCCTTACTAAGTATAACTTCAAAACGTCACCCTGTATGTGCTGTTATAATTGAGAAATACCATGTTTTACATTTCAAAAAACTCTAAAAAAGTGGCATTTTGGCATTTTCGGATCCTCCTTTTTTCTTAATATTGAGCCCCGAAAAAAATCCGCCAAATACATTTTTGGGTACTACTATGTGTCTACTAATAATACCAAGCTGGAAGTCCGTAGGAATTTTCTGGAGGGAGGCCCGATTTTTAGTAGTGAAAAATTTCGATTTTTGCCCCCAAATTTTACCTGGAATTACGACTTAGGTGAAGCTTCGGTGGTTTTTTTGTAAAGCTTGTTGCGCTCTATCGAGTGGTACCCTGAGTATCATCAAAACAAAAACAGCTCAATTTATTTGAAAATGGAGATTACTTTTGGGATAACCTAATATTAGTCATCGCAGCACGGATCACTGGAAACCGCCTATCTTGATAAGCATAATATGAGTGGAAATAGGTTGCCAAAAAATGCGTTGTACCACCTCATGCCCGCTAACTGCGGTGCTGCACCACTTGAACAATGTGCCCTATCAAGCGAAACGACGTGACCGAAAACGCTCTTCTCAGGAATTATTTTGTTTTTTATCATCTTACAATGCACAATATTCATCTTGTATGTACTTTTGATACGTATGATCGCAGACCTTGGGATGAGTTGACACACTCAACTGAGTCGTTTGTGCTCATAACATCCTGCTTCTATTGTGGAATACGATCGACAAGTTTGGTGCACATATCGAATGAGTACACGTCATTTCCTGACTTCACCAGGGCCAAGTTTGAAATATTTGTCAAACTTTTCTATTCGCATATTTCTCATAGGGAGTAGGGGCATCAAAGAATTCTGGCTGGAGCAATGGTGTAGGTCTTTGATGTTAAATTTTCTTTTTTAGTTCAAGACACTTGCCATGATTTTACCAGATGTTCTACAGTCTGCAATGACTTTTCAACAACCGCTAAAGATTTTGCAGTATTAATTCCGCAGGGACGAGTATTTCAGTATGAAATGAGGACGCATTAATTATGACATACTAATCGATAAAAAAGCTTGTGCTTGGTTTTCAATCACATACTGATTCTCCGCTTAAACCGCAATTTCTGCGACATGTTGAGGTCCCCCTCCCCCCATCTTCGTTCCGGGTGTCTAAGCTCCAGTGAGGCATCAAATTAGAAGAGTTCGTGCTCTACCACGTTTGTGGTGGCAATCCCATAAAGGCTAAGCGGTTTTTGCCGAAAATGGGAGTGCAGGCGCGGCACGAGTTGGATGAGCACCAGCACGACTGCCGCCGGTGAGGCTAATTACATCCGCTTATAGGCCGATGACCCAAATCGCTCATATCAGACCTCACACGTCATCGCTTATCGAATTAAGCAAAGTTTGAACAAAAAAAAATTATGAATGTGTAAATAGAGGTATAGCGTTCGTTGAAAACAGCGTTCCACCCTCTTTCTGGCAAGCGGATTACGGTAGCCGACGACGGCCGTCTAGACGAATCAGGGTGTGGCTGTGGGCGGAGCCGCGGGGCCGCGCTCGCCCAAGGGCGACCAAGGGTAGCCACTCGCTTGACTAGGCATGGATCTGTGGCGAGGCTACGGCTACTACCCACCGTCACTGGCAGCCGCCTCTGCTGCCAGCCCCATTGCGCAACATGTGCCCACTCATCTGGGCCCGTCTTTTGCTCCACCGCTAGCTCATGCTCTCGCGCCTTTCCCCATCGACAACGGTCACACCGGAGTTAATCAGCTGGGAGGAGTGTTCGTCAATGGACGTCCCTTACCGGATCACATTCGCGGCCGAATTGTCGAGATGGCACATCAGGGCGTTCGACCGTGCGATATTTCTCGACAGTTGCGGTTAGTGCTGTTCTAGACTTGCCATGAGACATTCTGCAATGTTGTTTCCATCTAGGGTAAGCCATGGCTGTGTGTCCAAGATACTCGGAAGGTTTTATGAGACGGGATCTGTGAAACCAGGTATGTTGTCTGGTTATTTTTTCTGAATTCTTATAGGTGTCTTTGATCCATCTAATTGATTTCATCCCAGCATCGCAATTGAATTTTTGACTTTGTTTGCTGATTATACATCCAATTTTCTATACCAAACCCATTCATCACACTCAAATGCACAGAAAAAGCCCTTTTCATCATTTCGCAAATATCCGTTCTTTACTTTTGTCTAGGTACTAAATTCAGCATTGTTTCATCATCTTCCCGATTCTCACGAGCTTTATATCGTTGTTGAATGGATATTGAGGTACAAATACCAAGCAAAAGTGTTCCTCCACGAGAGTGTTCGAAGCAGAAATTTGCCTGTGAACTCAATTTTCAAGCGTGTGACGAGTCCTGGTCCTGTAGTTTTGAAATTGAAATTCTTCCTTTCGAATGACTTCAGAATAATCTTCACACTCGTAACTTAAGCCGATTTACCCTTTGAAAATTTGTATTGTTACGAACGAAAGCAATTTTCGAAACAGGTTGTACGCATCAAAAAACCTTTGGAGACATTGTTGCAGCAAGTAAATGTCGGGAGCAAAAATCATAAGTATTACATCTCTGTGAGCGCCATGGTGGCATATTTGAAAGACTATCTGGAGTCAATTCCGTTCTGTTGACTGAAATTCTGAAACTTCATGTTAGGCTTCTTCTAGGAGATCTTCCAGCATAAATCAAAGAGCAAGCTCTAACGAAAAACTGATAGACATGAGTGACCGATTCAGGTTCAACCAAGTCCTGAAGATAAGTCGTTTTTTAACGAAAAGAAAATGAGAAAGATGCATACTGTGCTGCCTAGAATTTTGTAGAAAGTCTGTCCATAGATGATTCTACAACTCGCATTACTCCAAAATTATTTAGTTCATATAAAACTGTAAGAGTAAATTGCTGCGGATTTTTCAAAATCTCTCAAGATCTTCCACCTTTTTCTATGAAGTAAACAACGCCTGACCTCCTTGCATGAAAGGTCGTTTCTTACACTCTACATAATTTTTGAGTAAAAAAACCAAGTTCTCTGATTTAGCAGACTTATTAGTGAGATTTCGTAAATGTTTCGGCGGTAAAATGGAGCTAGTTATGTTGCGATCATTTCTGAGACTCATATTTGAAACTGAAAACGTATTAATTGATATACAATTGCAAAAAAACGTTGAAAAAAATTTGTTTTAAAGATGCTCAAACAATGTAATCAATTTGAACAATATTCTGCTTGTTATTTGAGTTGAATGTGTATTTCATAATACTTTCCACAAACTAAACTTGAGCAAAATCAACAAGTCGAAATAAAAAATCATAATTTATCACTCTTCTTAGAGATATCCAATCACCACCAACTTCCTTTGTTTAAAGTGGATCATGAATGTAGAAACAAAAAAATTTAGATCTCAGTTTGAAATTTTGAGTTTCGGACGTTTTAGCAATTTTAGCGACCAAAATCCAAAAAATTAATTTCTGAAACTTAATCAGCTTGTATCGTTGTCATATACCAACCGAGAATTTTGGTGCAAGCATTCGCGGTAAGCAGAAGATTTCCTTTCTCTGGGTATTAAGTCAAAGGATTTCTTTAGATTTGAAGAATGTAACTGAATTCGAAAAGTTTTGTTGAAAGAATTATGCATCAATCTAATACATCTTGCTTGTTTTATTTCGTATGAGAGTTATCTTAGGCGGACTTATCTGAAGATTTTGGGTTAGCTCTTGAACTATGGAATAAAAGATCACTTTTTGTGAATGCAGGAATAAGATCATATCTCCTATAATTAATTTGGCCTCCATGGCTTTACTCGCTACCTGCCTTTCTTTTAACCACCTACGACGGAAGCCTTCCGGAGATTTCCAAAAGCATATGTCATCGGTCATAAAGCGTTCGCAAATCTGCGCCAGCCGACGATTATCAGAGCGTGGTGTAACGCATTGTACGCGCGCCCGAGCACAGGCAGCAACCCCGGAAATCGCTTATTTGTCGTGCGCGGCCGCCGTACAAAAGAATACACGCGAGGACACGCGCACATGCTGCATCCGATTACGGTAGCTCTATGTCACAGTTCGTCATCGCGCGCCGCTCGCACAACCCGTCCACAAATGGAAAACTTGTCATGGCAAATAGTGGGCAGTAAAGTGACTAACAAAAGCAAAACGTTAAGTTTCGAAAAAGGAAAGTGCGAAGAGAATGGAAAAAAGTTCAATGGGCTTATCAATACTATCACTTGCAAAGCTTACCATTCATTAAACATTTTTTCTCAAAGATAAGTCCATTCAAAATAAGAAGTCCCTTTAGTTAATGACGAGAAAGATGCGTGCGCTTATAGAGAGGTAACCTAAAATCAATCAGTTTTTATGACTTAAGATCAAATTTTTTTTCATATGGAACTAGAGCCCCAGAACGTTGATCGAACTTGATTATTATGAAGACTATGTTGCGTCAAATCGTTAGAGGATGTTATTGTCAATCTGGTTTTCCTTTCCTTTTCTTCTCTTCGTGAGTGAATTGCAGCATGTTGTTATCTGTTCAAATAGTGAAACTTTCAACTATCTATTTTTTGATAGAAGAAAAGTATTCTGTAAAACAGAGATAACTATTTTTACATTAATCAATTGAATTATTCTTCTTCTAAGTTCGCAATGGCTTGAGCGATCAATAACCGTTGTCTTTGGCAAGTCACCTTTCAACAAAACAGTGCGGCAAATTTCTTCAATCTGTTTTATATCCATTCCCATCTCCTTACAAGGACAGTCAACAAAGTACAAGGCCATGCCATATATCAGCTTAGCCCTGCCTCCTTGCCAAAGGATTTGCATAGTTTTAGCCGATCTAAATGTGGTTTTATTTTACTTGCTCTCAAACTATTCTTGTCCTCGGATATCAACACATTTCCTGTCTCCCTTCAGCTATATTCGCGAAGTTAACTGTACAGAATGGAATATCCTATCAAAAGGTTGTTGTTATTATATGCAAAGAGTGGATGATATAGCAGAAAAAAAACCCATTTGTTCCTATAGTGTTGTTGATGAAAATTAAATGTAAAACGAATGTTAATCTTTACTCATATTCCAACCAGACGGCTATGAAAACCAGGAAATCGATGAAAAAGATAGAGAACTTGGAGCATGTAAACTTGACTTGAGGACATTTCTATCTGATCCAGCTTTGTTAGTCTGCTCGAACTAGCAAGGATTTAAAAAAATTGTTCTATTTCCAGGTGTAATTGGAGGATCCAAGCCAAAAGTGGCTACCCCGCAGGTTGTTGGACGAATTGCCGCCTACAAAAGAGCAAACCCAACGATGTTTGCATGGGAAATCAGAGAAAAACTGCTGCAGGTGTGATTTTTGGCTCATGTTACACAGTATCATAAAATAGTGAAAATGTAACTTCTTCAATCAATTTGCACTCTGAATCAAAATTTAATATTTCTTTGCAAATAAATGTCAGAGAGAAGATTTGATTTAGGAACGAGTCTGTGATCCTGACAACGTGCCATCAGTTTCATCAATAAATCGAATTGTTCGAAACAAGGTAACCAGCCAGTTTTTTTTTGTCGCATGCTTTATGAATTGTTATCATGATCAGACATCAATGTCGACAAGTCCATCAGGAATTGTGTCCTCCCAAGCAATCATAGCTCCACCTCGGACGAATCCTCAAAATTTTCAACCAAACGGTGGGACTATACTTTACATGCTTTGTACTAGAAAACGTTCATGGTCATGCGTATTGTCCACCATCAAGAACGTTTTTTTCTATCACAATATGAATTTTTCATTATCTAAGGATGCGGATTGTAGGCTAATTCCTTTTTAGAAGACCTTCCAAATCTTGTCAGCTAACTCGCTCTGAGCTAAGTTAATAAATTTTGAACTAAAGGAAAGGCGAGCATTGCGAGTGACACTACAAACATTTTGACCCTTTTCTGAGCAATCATAGGTTGCTGAAAGCAAGTTTTGTGCACTACCTGCTGCTAGTGATTCTAGTAGTCACTGGAGCCATTTACTTTTATACAAAAGAATACTGCTTAAATGGTGATACAAAAATCTCGCGAATTTGATTGAAACTAACCACGTATGGGTTGCGCACATACTGAACACGAATAATGCACTCACGCCACAAACTCAGGTTTTTTTTTGATTGGCGCCAGATTGTTCACGCTCGTTCGCGTGCGCGAAGCCGCCACCAATGTATTATAAAGTACAACACTACGGTGAAGAAAAGCTGATCATACTATCAATTTTCATACGAATTCGCTCTGTCTTTCAGCCGCCTACTCTATCAACGACATTCTCGGCTTCGAGCAAAAGCACAAAGAGTGGTTTCGAGGCAAAGACGACTATGTTGTGGACTGGATGCGACCTGCAGCCGCCACCGCCTATACCATCGACGGTATCAACGCCAGCGTCGTGACAGCCCATACTACCGCTGACAAACCACCATCACAGCAGCAGCAGCAAGGTCCGAACTCGTTCTTGCTACCGTAATCCAGCAACGAGTAGCACAGCATATGCGAGGCGCTCAAAACTCGTTCTTTTCAATTGTACATGTACAGTCTGCGGTTAACGCCGCGCCATCTCGTCGTATTTCACCTTGAAATTGAGGAGCAATGACGCCAACGTACACATCCCTCACTATACTTTCTCGCGGCTTTCATTTAAGTTGCAAATATCATTGGTAGAAGGGTCGCAACTTGACCATATATTTATGTTTTGTACCCTAGCAGTACCCTGCGTTAGTGCAATCCCATCGTGAGTCCAATGTTTTTTAATGTTAGATAAACATATCGATTTGAAAAAATAAATATAATCAGATCTTTTTGCACTGTACAACGACAACTGCAGATTCCACTATCGTACAATCGTAGCGCCACTTTAGTAATGAAGGCCACCAAGCACTAAATCTTCATGAAAATGAGCAATGACGATTCCCCAAGAAGCTTTCATTACTATTATGAGTATAAATTATGATCCATCACCATATTTTATTTCGAAGAAGCTGCCATGGTGAACGCTGAAACGCATTTCTTGCTTGGATTGAGATTTAATGACCAACAATAACAAAAACAATTTCATATCAACAAACGATTTTTACAGCTTCAGATTCCAACACCCACTGACTCAGAGAGATCAAAGTCTACGGACAAGCCTGGGAGAGTAGATGGTTCAATAAGATCGAGAGCTATCCGCCTTCGCTGCACATTGCTATCGTCGAGTCGTACACGTACTTTCACTCGATCTAAACAAAAAAATGTGCAGTAAAAATAGCTTGTCACTTACAAAATAAAATATAAGAAACTTTCTCACTTACCAAGCTCGCGGATCACTTGGTCACCATGTCGCACACAAAATTCTTCGATGTCTATAGTGGTACCTTTACCTTGCTGGAGAACTATCATTGACTCCAGTCCATACTTTGGTACAAATATCTAGGAGACTCTCCATTAATTCAATAATAATGGATCAGTGGCAGAAGAACGAGTTGTAGTTTTTCTAGCGTAACACCTCGCTATTTCTACAGCTTTTATTTAGGGGTCATTTTCTTTAGTCGGAGAGCTCGTGATGCGTTTTTAGCGCTTCAAAAAGAATGGCCACGTTCGGTGGCAAATTGGGTGGAACTGATGCGCACAACCAAAATGTATACACGCGCCTCATTCTGATGCATTGAGAGAGATGGTGAAAAGCAAGAAAAAAGACGCATAAAGGTCATACCGCCTCAAAGCGAAGAGCAAAAACAATACCACACCTGTACTCCATTGGTCCTCACTCCCATAACGAAGCCTTCGCAAGTCTCCTCTCGTCCTTGGAAATATGTCAACACATTCAGTTGGACTGAAGCTCGGCCGGCATATTGTGCATTCTTGTGTCTATAACAGTGATAACTCTTTTAACTTTTTCTGATGGTGGCAAACGCTGTATATCACCTATAGTTGATATTCTGCGAGATCTTTTGTATATGTGCTTGATGAAGTAGTCCAGGATGGATTTCATCGGCCCCTATGCAAGCAGCAAGGAGCCTATGTACAATTACATCTGCATAACGTCGAATTGGAGAGGTGAAATGAGTGTAGATCGGTGTGGCAAGACCGAAGTGCTGGTACTGTTCGACTGGTACCGTGCCTGACATAGATTTCATGGGTTCCTTCCATGCTGCACTTGACGCCTAACACAACCTGCACTGAAATATACTGCCTGAGTCATGCATCGCGTTGTCAGCATTCTCAGTAGACGATTCATCATGGGATTTGACGAGTCCACACATCGGTCAAGACTATCCGCAAGGGCTTTACCGCTAGATACATCTATGCTATATCCGCGTAGTTTCGCAGCCTAAAAACTATAGTTTACGATTCAAACTTTGAATTAGGAGGAATTTGAACATGACACTGTTGAATCTGTGAGATAGTAGTATGGAATGTTGCTCAATGAACGGTGCAAGCATTCATTGTCTTAGTTCAAATGTCAGTCTCAAAACTTATATGTAATAGTCGGGTACTCAATTCTAAATCAGCGAGCCTCATTACAGTAGGAATGCCATTGTGTAATCGAAGGAAAGTTCATATTTGTTATACAGCCGTGAAGTCTAATTTATGAAATTCCACCGAAAAAAAATGAACTGCCCAAAAAAATTATCAAAATTGTGAAGTATGGGTCGAATGCGTTCCAGATGATCCGATAACAGGACCGTTTTAGTTCAACCCCGCAAACTCCAAAATTAATTCTCCTGAATGCACCTTTGAACTCGAACTTCCCAATGTTTGCAGAACTCCACGAGATAATTGAGTGCCGATGGTTACATAGAGTGATGCCACCGAGCGCGCATTATGCGCCACCACACAATTATGATCGAACGGCTGTCACTGCAGCCATTCATCGTTACCGTGTTCTGTTGAATAATTTCGGGCCAATCACCCATTAATTACGGTTAAGCGTATATGTAAACAACAAACTGACAGTCCCTAAGGTGAGTCATGAGTCTGAAGAGCTTATCTTATTTGGGAATAAGCTGGTCTTACATCTGTAACAATTATAAGCATGAGCTTTGTGGTAACTGAATCGAGGACTGAATGCGAAAAGAAGTGGAGAGGCAAGATGTGGAGAAGACCTTACGTTTTTATTCTCGTTGTTCAACAAGCTCTATCTTGGGGGGCAGCCAACATGAACGATAGCTTGTGCCAGCCGTGTGCGTTGCGTAGATCAAACATATTTCAAATTTTACATTTACGCTATGACAACATTTAAGAATTTGGAAAAAACGCTAAGAGCTCCGTATGCCCCAATTCTTACGGTTCGAACCATTTTCAATCCATTGAAGAACGCTCCGCTTTGAAAAATAGCACTTTATGCGCGACATACTGACAATCGCAGGAGCACAGTATGCTTATTTCCAGCTATCGTTCATCTTGGCATACTCCCCTCTATCTTCTGTCATTTGCAAGGTTTGCAAAGTTAAAGCTTTTCCTCGAAATTGATAAATTTCGGTCTCAGTTTTGTAAGCTGAAAGGTATTTTGACCTTTATACAAAAAATATCCTGCAAATGAAAATGAGCGCGCATAATTGCCCCTATGTGTACATGTGTTAACTTTTCGAAATTTGGTGAGTACAGCAATAATTATGTGATTGAATGCACAAGTGTTAGCCTATCGCACTATACTTCCAACTAATGTAAAGACTGATTTGTAGGCAAAATATCTACTCGGGAGAAACTTTGGCTTTTTTATTGAGGAAGTGAGAACTTCCATCAAATCTGTTACCCATCAAAAGAGCAAAAAATGTTTCTTAAAGGCAAAAGTACTAGAGAACTACTGAAGAAAATGTGAAGCGTCTAAGATAATCTAGTAAAAAGATGTGATGAGGTGACACAAAACTGATTTAAATAACAGTGTAATTAGATTCAAAAAGGACTGAACAATTCGAAAACTATCATGCGTGCAGATGCTTGGCAAGTCCCAATCTTGTTTTCTTGCTGATAATCACTTGAGAGTTTCCCAAATCAGCAAGTCAGAAAATCCTATCAAAGATTAATGGGGTTAATCCGTGCAACTTTTATTTAATCTCGTATTCCCAGGCCGTCGGAATTTCCGTTCCGGGGCCAGTCATAAACTAGAGCAACAATCATAATCGCCTTCAATGGCGGATCAGTGATGAATTCTGCTCGCCGCATTCAACCTCCATACGGAGGTCGTTCGTCGGATGCGAGATAGCGCTGTTGACATGGAGGCGCTGTGATGAAGCGGTAACATGAAATCTGGGACCCTACAGAGGACATCACCTTGGGAATTCCGCCGTGAACAAGTGCTTTGGAAGGGGGAAGGGCACAAAGCCTAATCGACAAAGATGTTGATAACTGATTTTCTGCAGGCTGTACATTACCGGGTTGTCTTCACCTACATCACTACTAATCCACTTACGTAATGAGAGACAGCGGCGGAGTCCCAAAGGCACATTACGACCGTCTCAGTTGTATTAGGCGACAATCTCGTCAAGATAAAACACAAGGCACTAGCAATGGCAGTGCCCGGATAAGTGGATTACGTCGTTGAATTCGGTGAGAGACAGTGGGCAGAATCAAAGGAGAGTCCCATGATGGTAAAGGTGGGCCGTAAACATTTCACAGATTTGATAAAAAGATCATCAGAGATTAACAGCGGCAGGTCGTTTGTGCATTCTTATAAGTAAACAAAAAGTGTGAAAATCTTCAGATCATACTAGTCAAGTGGCTGTATCTTCCAATGTAAACCAACCTCTACTAAAGGCTTATAGCTAGCTTCGGTAGGTACAGGATGCCGTCGCAGCATAGCGCAATCCGGATACTCGGCCAATATCTGAGAAATGAGGAGTTATAGTATGAAGAATGAATTTTATGAAGCTATTCCAGTTCGAAAGTGCTCAAACTAAATCTAGAAGAAGTTTCTAATAAAAATGCTTTCTTAGTAACCAAGATTCGCGAAATAAAGACAAGTTTGATCAGCATGCGATGCAAAAAGTGTAAAGATATCATCATAACGCAAGAATAACAACTCCAAAAATCACTACATAATTACTCGTTTTCCGCCATATTAAGCTACTGTTGCTATCGGAACTAGTGATAAGCAGACCTTTTCCGCAACAGAAATATTTGCCAGCAGCATGAATTCCTCTACCATTGAATGAGTATCCAAATGTTTTTTCTCTTGGACTGCTTTTGGCGTCCGTGTGTCCCAGTCCATGTCAAAACGAATCTAAATCAAAATTGAAAGTAAACTGCACTGTCCAAGATCTTATACAAGCGGACCTCCGAGGAAGCTAACGTCAAAGCGCCGTTTGCAGTTCTTTTCTTATTCAGAATCTTCGAGAGCTTCATCAATTCTCGCAGTCCTTTCGTGACATCCGTGTCCTGCAATGACTTACATCAGTAACTCACAGTGGTTCAGAACTCATCCGATACAGATTCAGGATCGTCTATGAACTCTTGCGCTTGTTCATATGTGAGCGCCGCTTTGGAGCAAATCAAGGACTTGTGATACTTGGTGTCCAGAATTTCAGCATCCGTCGTCATTGTCCATATGACCGAAAATGCATACCTACAAAAAGCACTCGACAGGGGAAGCACTTTTAATCCAGAGTGGCTGTTTGGAATGTATTGTACCGCCTGAGAGAATATGCTACTGATCGCAAATCTCCATCTTACTGTAAAAACTATTATTAGCGCCGACGCAACAAAAAATTACGGTATCTATCCTGCCAAAATAGAAAGTTCTTGCTTTTCATACAAATACTGAAAACCAGATTTATAACCACAATTCTGACAATCTTCGTTATAAGCTCCTTCCCAAAAGTACGATATAAGAAATAGTTACAAACGTTGAACCTCCCAACTCTTTCGCAGTGTTCCCTGGACAAGCTAGGTGGAGCGCTGCTGACACCTGCTTAATGACTACCTGTATATTGTGGTGCTCCTATGTAAGTTCTAGTACTAGAGGTTTGTCGGTCCTCCACGTATTTACCGCTTATCACGAAAATTTTTAAGGAAATTCTGAAAAGTCTATGACCTGGCAAGATTAGAATGTGATTTTTTCTCGATCGCCGGGCCTCTTACCACTACCGTATCCCACTCAGAGGAAGACAGAAAACAAGATCGTACTTCACATCGTGGTAAGAACAATGCCTACAATTTTCCCTAAGAAAGGCGTCTCGCAAATACGGAAATCAAATATGAGATCACCCCACTTCCTTATGCGTTACTCATCTCATTCCAATCAGTCACTTCGACCATAAGCACCCTCTCTTGTTAGTGAACACTTAGAAGTCAAGAATTACCGTTCTTCGCCACCACGCAATGAGCACAGATTACTACTGAGCATGGCAGGTAACATGTCAATCCTCCGATCACACAGATAAACGGTGGTTCCTCGACTTGCAGCTTCTTCGTCGATTGCGGTACCACTTCTGACAAAGTGTGTCACATCAGCTATGTGCACTCCAACCTGTGTTCAAGGTAAATGAAAAGTAAATGATGTGTGAGTTGGAACAATGCCTTCACGACAAAATTTTCTGCTGGAGATCTTGAAACTTCCCAGATCAAATCTGCCCACCTCCAAGAATCCGTTATCAAGAAGTCGGCAATGCAAGGCATCATCAATATCAGTACAACCTAGTGGATCGACCTAAAGTCAAAGAGTACCAAAGAGTCAAAAATAGTTCGTAGCATTCCTTGAAATCATGACCAAGATGTCTTTCAATTACTGCCATAGTGTGAGCGGCCCAATTTTCAAATTTTCTCCAAAATTCAAATCAGTCTTGTAAGAAAAATTTTTTGCGAGGCGGCTGCCGCCGCGCACCTACATATTTCGGGGGTTATGGGCCCGCAATTTGGAGGGGTGGGGGGGGGGGGGGGATCATGGCATATCAAAAAAAAAATCGGAATGCATGGTTGACGCCAAGCACCTTCTTTCGAATTCCAACATCCTACCCCCCCCCCCCCCTCTTCACTCGAATGGGGATCGCCATTGGACGGTGGGTCGTACAATTGCGAATGTGCTGAAGAAGTTCTGAACGATTGAGCAGATTTTACCGAGCATATAGTGAGGTGTCGCAAATCAATACGTGGTGGTTGCAAATCCGGTTTCCAGTTTTCTCCAGGAAGGCATTCCAACACAGCATCCGAAAACGGAGCGTGTGGAATATCGTGTTCCAGTAACAAAACCTGGAAAGAAACTTTTCGAACCATGTAACGAGATGCTTACAAGCACAAAATACGTAATTTAATTTATATATAAAGCTGAATGTCTGTTTGTCTGTATGTCTGTCTATCTGTATGTACGTAAGTTCCGAATAGTAAATTCCAATTCTGAACCGATCCGGACCAAACTTGGCACACATACACTTCGGGAAGGGGCGGTCGTAGGCTACTTTGCGTTATCTCGATATCGATTTTATCGATTTTTGCAAAGTATGAGCTACGGGATCCGGATTTGGCACAGGGGTAAGTGAGCATGCTGATTACGAATACAAAATACAGATTAGTTTCCAAAATTTCTGAAATCATCAACTACTTTATCGATTTTATCGATTTTTTTGCAAAGTTCGAGCTACGGGACTGGAAGTTGACACGGGGGGGGGGGGGGGAGGGGGAGTTAATCGAGCCTGCTGATTGCGGATACAACATTCTTTTTGAGATTATTTGTTACTTTTATCGATTTTTTTTGTATTCCTGCAGTTGTATTCCTCTTCTTGAGGAATACAACAACGCCGGCTTTTATGCCGAAGCGCATGTGGTGCCGGGCGAAGTCGGGTATGCTAGCTAGTTTGTAAATAATTTTCGCACATGATAACGCCTTAATTGCTTGTAGCTCACCTCATTCTCAATTTCTTGATCGCCGATTTTGCCAAGCGCACGCACATAATGTCCAAGCGGATACCTACTGTCACGAGGCCATTGGTCAATACTAACCACAATCCTCTGACTTTCAAGAATGTCAGCCTGCAATAACCCGATGTTTTTCATTTCCATGATGAAGCGCACACCTGCTCAGTTTCAATCCTAATCCTCGGGATAAGGCGGTCGCTGGGACAAAAAAGATGACGCCGGGCACTTTTGAGTTGGCTACGCATCAAAATACCACAATACGGCCTCCAATTTCGCTTCATTATTCCTACAACCTGCAAAAGAATTGCACTTGTCGTTTGCTTGTTAGCGACAATAAATTATGGAGCACTGAATCACTTGTCGCCTTACCTTGGCTGTGGGAAGAGGAGCGATTTTTGCTCGTTTCACCTTGGGCACATCCTCGTCTGATTCTTCGGCTTCGTAATCAGTGGATTTCAACTCCATATCCTCTACGTCACGTAGGCAGACTTTCTTCAATACATTCATGTATTGTACTTGTACCAAGCAAAAATACTATGGAACTACCTTCTCTGGTAAAGTCCATTCATCCTCAGGTAACAGCTGTACTGCAACAACATCACCATCAATAGCTCTATTGCAGTTAGTTCCTTGAACAAACCAGGAAGTCATAGTGCTTGAGTCTACCATAACATATGCTTCGCGATAATTCTCTCGTGAAACCTGTAAATACAACAGAAAAAGTGGAGTAACCGTTTCAAGCAGTACTGCAAACGATTTCTCTTGAGTGGTCTAGTGGTTTGAAAACATTACGAAGATAACATGAGCGAAGTAATTTTCGACCATGTAAAAAAAACTATTCAAAACCCATTCAAAACAGACTGAAACGTACGGCAAAAGTTCCTTTTTTGATCACTCCACGAGCAATGCCTTCGGTAATTTCGTCATGAGACAGATAGTTCTCAAATATTACTTTTCCACCAGCACTTGAGGAGTCATACGCAGCCATACTATCCAAAATTTCTTGTTTTCTTAGATCTTTCATGCCTTAAATTAAATTTCTGAACTATCGCACCGATAATACACCTTCAGTTCATAGTGATATGAGCTTTTGCTAAAATAAGATTTTTTCCTCGTTGCAAAAACACAAAAAACAGTGAAAAAATAGATTAGCTCCATAATGATTAGAAAACGAAGGAAAAAGATGAATGCCACGAAAGCAAACCTGCAACATATTGTTTGATAGTAAAAGTCATACTGTAGTTGCTTTGCAACCTTGTCAAGACGTCTTCTTCGGCACACAGAACTACTGGGACGATATTATACTTTGCCCAATGGTCCTTTAAGTAGTTGGCACAAACATGAAGTACTTTCTCTCGTCTGAAAAAGTATGCTTACAAGGTACCATAGCAGCAATGAGTCTAACCTGAGCGCATCACTGAGGCCGATCTCCTGACGCACGAATGTTTTATGGTGAAATTCACTCATGAAAACGGCAAAGCGAGGATCTTTATCTTCATAAACAAATTTGTTCAGCTTTTTGTAAGTAGTGATAGATTTCTGTTTCACAAATTCCCACACATTCTGAGTGATTATGACATTCCTGCAACACACTTCCTTTACTTCCGGTAGTACTGGGCAAAGAATCTTATCGTGTTCCGTTTCCAGCAGTGCTTTCTCTAGCATGGAATGAGCGGACTAGAATGAGGAACAATTGCAACATTGTTTCCCAATGAAAAATTATACGTGATTACGATAGCAGTACAGAATTCTTTCTGGGGAAAAGTAGGAAAGCAACGAAGATAATTTTCCTGGAACTTGCGCTGTGGAAGTATTCTTACCATAGAAAAAACAAATCCCACACTGGTTAAAATGTTTATAATTACGTTATGAACGTAAGATGAAGGTGATCAGCGCATATGAACAGAAAGAAAAGCGCAACTCTTGCTTGAGTATACGCTATCGCTGTGCAGCCAAGGGTTTCAAGCTTGAAAGCTAATGGTATCCATTATTGGGAATAACCATGCATGTTTACGAGTTACCAAAAAATATCAATTGACTGAAAGAAAAAATCACTGAAAACTCACGTGAACAAAGTGGAGTCGAACACATCCATGAAACGCATACATACTTCAGCGTCCACGATGAGCGCATGGTTTTCGGGCACAAGAGTGTTCTCGGTTTCGTTGGTTTTCTTTCCGATAGTATTCATAGCTAGCGACGAGCAACTCTCGCAGCTATGTAAACCACACGACAAATCTTCGCGAAGATATCGCTCTACGGTCCTCTGTAAACATACTGCAGATAGGAGAGAATCTGAATAACGGTGCCCATGTTGGAAATGAACTAACTCTCAAACATCTGTTCTTGATTTTGAAGTTCGTGGAAAAGACCAGCCGATCAACAATACCGCTCTGCTTGACGTTTAGTTCCATATCCAAGCGAGTTGGTCTGTAAGAATAGGAGTTTGAGAAAAGAGAGGGTAAATATACCATGTATGAATATTCTACTATTGTTGCGCAGTAATTAATCATACGATAATCCAGGAAAAAAAGTTACAGGAGGTAGAAATGAAAAGATTCAATTCCTAATTGTAGTGCCTAAGAGTACTCCACAGTCCGTTTTGAAACTCTGGTTAACCTGATTTAGTAGGTACATGTTTGTTATTGCTTTGCCTAGTTACTCGCAACATATCTACTAAGTAAGGACAATCTAAAATTCTCTTCCGCATGATCGAGTGAATGATTATAGATTTGCAAGCAGAATGCTATACAGAGGCAGCGCAAATCTAAAAAATGTGGCATTAGCAGGAGAGTCCTTGCAACCCGGTTACCTGATTGCTTCATCGCAATTCACTCGAACTCTGAGTGCAAGTATGTGAAGTACAACGGCTATCCGAAGACCATTTGAAAACACAGTAGTCAGCATTTTATTAAGCACTTTATATTACCAATATACATAACAGCTAATAACAACAAGGTTGTGATATATACAATGAGAAGAGATAACCTAGTCAGATCGGTTGAATACCCTGGGACCACCTTTCTTATATCGTTTCATCTCGTCTGTCACTAACTTTCTGTGATTAGCAATGTCTTTCCTGTAATTGGAGGCATAGAAAACATATCAATGATAATATGACAATATACAATGAAAAAAACCTCCCACCTATCCCTTTCCTTCATAAATTCTTTTTCTTTCCATAGTTTTTGCATCATATAAGCGTCTTTGTCGAGGAAGGGAACCTCAGTGTCCACACTGTTTTCGTCAGGTGGTTCCAAATGCTCCTCGGCTTGTTTTCTGCAATCAAAGTGTATGCGTACTGCTCCTAAATGTGAATGATCACCACAAACTTGTAGGTGAATCCCATGAACGATGTTACGGTGCGCATGGGTGGATCGGCGCCTTCACCAGTTTCTAAGCGGTAGTATGCATCATTTCGCTCATGAACCACTGCCTGGATGTTCTCCATTGTCTAAAAGAAACTCCAACGATAGTTGAGATCAAAAGATTTCCATGATGGGTGCATTGAAGTCTCCATACTCACCTCGTTGACCCGATCGATCCGCTCCGGATTAGGCATCGACCTAGCCCGTTCCACACATGCATTTCGCATAGTCAACAGCATATTTCGTTCTTTCAAGCAAACATACCTGGTAAAGTAAAGTGAGAGAGATATGATTTAAAGTGAAGAACAACTAAATGTTACAAAACGTCTATAATAGCACTGTACTATGGAAGTATAATCCAAGATTGAAGATGAAGAATGCAAATCAGATATCAAGGCAATCTCATTTGCGACAGATCTATCGATAGCTGCATTACATTGAAAGAAGAGGTCAAAGACGATTTTGAGTCTCGAATTAACGTGGCTGCCTTCCAATCGTTTCAAAGGCAGCGGCTCGGCAGAGTGACAACTTTGAGATATTCATCGGTCGGTTCCCCTGGACGAGCTAAGCCCAAGACTGTGCTTTGCAGCTTCAAAAAATATCAATGACCGGCTTTTCCAGACGTGAAAACTGCTATTTGGGCGGATGGCGTCTGTTTGCCCTCTAGAGCGCAACTGGCTCGTGAGTAGAGACACCGTACCTATCTCTGCGGCAATTGATTATTGACTCCGTAGCCACTTTCGCGACCCGACAGACAGCATTTCACGTCTAGAAAAGCGGGTTATTGATACCTTTTGAAGCTGCAAAGAACAGTCTCAAATTTCGACGACGAATATCCCACAATTGCCAATCTGCCGAGCCGCTGCGTTAACTCCAGCAAATTTGAGGCGCTTATTCAAACTTGTCATTTTAAAGACAGTGTCTCGGCGAAATTTCGTTTTCCAGTTTTCCACCTTTTCGAAGCCTTCTCGCCACATCTGGGTTTTTCAACTCATGAAAATGTCGAAAACTTTTTCCGAAGCTTTCCAAGTCCGCATTTAATGAAGAATGTGTGTGGGTGGGGAACGAAAGCCGCCAGCTTCGGTCGCCTGCGCGGACTGCTGGTCCTGGAACGACATGCAACAACGTTGCGAAAGGACCAGTTAGCCGCGAAAGGCGGCGCAAACTGGCGGCTTTCGTTCCCCCACCCAATGTGTGTAAGTGGGCGGGCCCCGGAACGAAAGAGACGGGCGCGGAAGACTTTTGGCGTATTTTCCACTGATATGGATTCCTCATGGCGAAAAGGCTTCGAAAAGGTGGAAAACTGGAGAACGAAATTCTGCCGGAACACTGCGGTTGCGGGGGTTGTGTTATCGAAGTTGGGGGGGGGGGGTTGCCGAGGTTGACGAAGTGTGCGTCGTTGTACCTCATAATATTCTCTTTGCATTGTGCGCTCCCTGAGGTAGGCGCTAGACTTAGCCGGTTCAGTCGGTTCATCTGGTTCACCCCACTCGCTTTAGTCATAACAATATCAATAGCGGTGACTGGCACCTACCTAAGGGAGCGGCCATAAGTTGCCGCGTCCGAGGTTGCCGGGGTCAGAGACAGCTTAGGCAGGTGCCAGACTTCGGTTCAACCAGTTCATCCGGTTCTTCCCACTCTATTTAGTGCGACCAGTAGTGAATAGGTGGACCGGACCAACCGGTTGTACCGGATAAGTCTGGCACCTGCCTTAAGCTCGATTCATACTCTGACATTTGTTGCGTACCAGCGGCGTTCCATGTTCTGCGCCTAGAGTACAGCGGCGCTCCGTAATTGGCGTTACCAGCAGCGTACCGTTGTGACGACCAGCGGGGTATCATCAACCCCTCAGACAGTCGAAGGGATACCCACGGGGGCAAATTGCGCGGGTCTGCCACTCCGCGCTCTGGAGCGCTCCGGAGCCCTCCCATCACATTACCCCACGCTGTACTCAGACAGTCGAAAAAATACCTCCGGCGGACGAATGGCGCGAGTTTGCCACTTCGCGCTCTGGAGCGCTCTGAAGCCCTGCCATTTCACCCATTTTGGTGCTCCGGGACTCTCCCAAATCTGGCGCACCTCCGGAGCGCCAGATGGGTGAAATGGGTGAAATGGCAGGGCTCCGGAGCGCTCCAGAGCGCGAAGTGGCAGACTCGCGCCATTTGCCCGCCGGAGGTATCCCTTCGACTGTCTGAATAAGCGCAAGCAGTACCCGGATGGGATACGACGCAGTGGTTGGGCTGGCTCAGCATTTACGTGGCTGGTTAACACTTCTTGGTACTTGACAAGGAATAAGATTGGGCTGTTGTTCTTATTGAGTGAACCGATAACACCTCAGCTGAGTGTTGCGAGGATGGCTCACAATCCTTTGATTTCGATTCAATGAAATCTATCGATGAAATAGTAGGATTTTTTGCGCTAATTTCGGCTTCATAAAATTTGTCGATATAGCAATTTCCTAACCAGCTAATGCTGCAATTAGTACAGTAACCAAAAATTGGGTGAACTCTTGCGATCCGAAGGCGTACCCTCTTGGCATGCCAGCAGCGTACCAGTCTCTTCCCAGCGGAATTCCACAGCGTACGAGCGGCGTAGACTGCCCTACCAGCGGCGTTTGCGTGTTCCGCTCAGACGAGCATCGAACGTTGCTGGTATGCAGCGAAAATCAGAGTACTGATCCGTATATACCGGAACAGTTCCAGCACAGCGCAGAGTTCGAGGGGGTGCTGGAACCGTTCCGGAACTTACGGATCAGTATGGACGCTGCCTTAGAGAGTGCGTTCACAAAGAGGCTACCATGGGTCCTACAACGGCCGGCAACCTCGGCAACCTCACACGGGTATGGTCAGAAGTCGAAGTGGCCAATCCAAGCAAGCTGCCTAACATTCCATGCAGCATAAAACGCTGACTTCGAATCTGCATTCCATATCTGCTTAGTGCCTTTGTGGACAAAGTTATGGGCAGTTATATTGCGAAAAAATCGTACATAAATATTTCGGACTTGAGCACATTACTGCGCTTTCAGCTCATCCTTAGGAGTAAAAAGGAGTAAAAAGTAACCTAGCTGCATGTTTTGGCCCCGTATTAAACCGAACATGGCTCTATACGGCCAAATTTGCGATTTGCAAGCACGATTTCTTAGCAAAATAACGACTTTTAACGGCTTATAACTTCGCCCACACAGGTGCTAAGCAGATATGCAATACAGATTCGAAGTTAGCAATTTATGCCCATCTAACGCTATATAGCTTGCTTGAATTGGCCACTTAGATTCCTGACCATTCCTTTGTCAGCATCGGACACAGTTGTCGGTAACCTATGGCCGTTCCCAGCAACCACGGCAACCTCGGCATTTTGGCAACAGATGCCGGCAACCTATGTTGTTCCCTTGAATAGTGCATTGCAACCATACCTTCGATAGTCTAGAGACAGGGCGTCAAAAGTGAAGGTAGTTTGAACATCTGATGGCATCTGACGTTATAAATAGTGAAGGTTGTTTAAAGAAGATCAGAGAAGAGAATATGACGTAAAACAGATATAAAAAGCAAAAGAAACTGCTAAAAACCGGCTAAAAACGCTGCAAAGAGGTCTGAAATCTTTTATTTGGCGGCTTTTCAAAGTGCAAGTTTTCGCTCCAGGACCAGAAATTCGCAACACGGGGTTTTGATTTTTGATGCGCCCTTCAAATTTTTACCCCCGCATTGACGTTCCTGTTTCCTGGGACGTTGTCCTTAAGCAATAATCGCCCAAGCTGGAAAAAAATCGATGCGAAAGCACTGAAACAGAACAAGGTAAAGAAAAACGCACTTTTTACAATTTTTCGCAAAAAATCCCACCCTTATCGAAGAGATAAGGGCTGGGTGGTTGTCTGCATTATGAACAGAAGCAAGATCTACAGAGTGCACGAAAAAACCGCGTGAAAATAGTTAAACTAGGGGGAAACAACAGATTTTCGAAAACAAGGTTTTCGCCGCATTTCTCGATCAAATCATGAAATGAGGTTCTGGGACGTTGTCAGCGTGAAAATAGAGATCAAGAGCTTCAAAATGATATATAGCTTGCCGAAATCGGGTTCGAAACAGCGAAGAAAAGGGTCCAGAGCCAAATGCCCCGCGTTTGAGGTAGCGAGGTAGCGCGCAGCGCGCGGAGACGCAGACGAGCAGCGGAGACAGACCAGAGCCGACGGGGCATTTGGCTCTGGCGGTAGATCTCCGCGGGGTCTCAACGAAACCCTGCAACATTATATATCATTCTGATCGTCATGACACGACGAGGAGAACTGACAACGTCCCAAGCTTTGAAAGTCACTCCTTAACGCGATAGACCAGCGTTTTCCTGCACGACTCTCTGCGCAAGATTTGAACGCAGTTTCGTTTTTATTTAACTCCAATAGCTCTTTCCTAAACTTCTGAAACTCGATTTTATTCAAATGAGAGGATAACTGAGAAATTTTGCGGATGACTTCTGTTTTTTTCCAGGTAAAGGTTGTGTCCCCTCATAGCCCTCAAAGTGAAGGTTACCAGAGTACGTGACTCTATGTATCGAGGGTATGATTGCAACATATGTTATAACGTATATAGACGCTATGAGCCCCTACAACATTAGCAACGCCGGCAACCTATGGCCGATCGCTAGGTCAACTTGAAGTTCGCTGATGTTTGTTCAATTGTATAGAGACACACCGTTGGGAAGAAAGTTTCAAGATGTGAGGGTAAGATCTTTCAGTCGACATATGAAATAGTATACAAGCACAGTTGCACTCAAACAACGCTTTTCATTAGGGCAAATACTTGAAAAGAAGATACCAACAATGCTCTAGAAGATAAAGGAACCAACCACAACTTGTGCAAGTCTGAATTGCTCTTCAATCTGAGCTCATCCGCAGTCCAAGCACGTCCAGGTCTCTTCTTTGGTCGCAATTCTGTCTTTCCGAAATTCGCCTCGTCATCATAAAATTGTCGAAATATTTCGTTAGATGCCGCAGCTGTTCGAGAGAAGCCTCGAGTTGTATGCCGACTGAAACTAAACGATCATGCAGAAGTACTTTGTTTAATTATTTTACAGGGTCAAGATTACCTCAAAGCGCTAACAGCAGTCCTGAAAGCTGAGTTTACCAACATGAAAGTGGCATTCAAATCCACAGATGAGCATGAATTGAAAGCAGCCCAATTTCAACAAGTGCGTTGCGGCTGTGATTTGAGCACGTCAGCATTGCAGGAAAGACGCACGATATTCAATCAGAATATTTTCGTGCGTTAAACTCAACGGCCATGTTTTCTTTCTCAACTCCTCATACTCCTAATGACATGACGTCATACTAACAACATAAGAGACCGAAATCGTCAGAGCCACTGACCAAGTGGAGAAGTTAAACACTAGATAATGATGGTTGTTCTGTTTTTTGTGGCGCAGAAATGTTAACGAACGCTCCATGGAAAGGTTCTTTATTCGCTTCAGTGTGGGACAACAGATACAATTGATCCGATTTCGCTATCTTCTGAGCAGCAGCGAACGATCTTAATCCTTTTCAAGTTGTCTGGTTTTTGATTCACAGCGGCAGAAAGTTACTGTTATTCTTTTCATCGCGCCCTAGCGCAAACCTTGCGACGCAACTGCTTCAGCCGTTTTCTGCCACATCAGTTTTCTAGCGTCGTACCAAGTGCATAACATCAAATCGTTGTGATTACGTAGATTACGTAACTCTGGCCTTAGTTTCTTTCACCACATTGTTTAGAAGAACATCTCCGGAAGGAGCACGACTATTGCAAACTGGTGAGTTTCGTTCTTTCTTGGTTTTTGCTTGATGCATTGTGCAAAATGAGTGAGTCTCATCTGCAGAGGCAAGAACAGCCTGTTTTTTGGATGAACAGAGAGCGCTGAGAATTTGCAGGTTTCGATTATGCACCATGCAATATTTCTAATCAACTGAAACTTTTGAGAAAATTTGTTGACATGACGCCGAGATTTTGAACGACATTTTTTTGTTTTTGCCCATACTTTCGTATTTTTGTATGTGCCGATAGAACGCACTTTTCCAGTCGGCCATATTCAACTTCCAAAGTCTCATTTCTGTGATTCTGCTACTGATTTGTACTTGCGCATATATCAGATCTTTCGCACCAAAACTAGTGGATAGAAATAAAGAAGGGTGAGTTTTACATAGAAAGAACAATTTTACAGTGCTGTAATATACCTGAAGAATTTATGAGTGATAATTATTGTTTAGATTGCTTGGTGTATTTTGGAAATTGGCTAGGATTGGAGAACGCCTGAGTCCTTGGGTTGCTGCTAGCTGTTTTTGCATGGCCTTTGTTGTACTGTTTCTTTGAGTTGCCTAGCTCAATCATGGCTCCTGTTCGAACAGGACGTATTGATGAGAATACTTTTGAAATCAAAAAACGGCAACCTCAAAAGCCGTCTGGGATTCGCGGAGGTCACAATAATTTCTACGTAACAAAGTGAGTGATCAACATAATCCCTCTTTAGCCTTTTTTTTTTCGTTATGAAAACAATTAAGAAAAACGTTAGCGTCTTATGAAAAAGTAGGTTTCATTTTTCCTGTTTTTTTTAGTTTTTGACACTGAAGGTAGAAGTACTGCTAATAACTTGCTTACTGAGAAGATCACTGGTATGCTACGTCAGCTTTGAGGGACCGTGATAATAAGTAGAAAAGTTAATAGTATGTCTGCTGCTTAAACTTTCAAACAATCAATTCGTTATTCATTAAAAATCCGCACCATATCATCTGCATATGCATTGGCATTTCGGGAAAAAAGTGCTAGTACGTACTACATACTCAGTATGGCAACGCGCAAATTCGCTCTTATTTGCCATCCTCCAAGTTTCACTTATGATTCCGGTAACACGTTGCTTTTTAGCATAAGGACCTGACCAGACTTCGCTCAAAAGCGCCCAAAAGCGCCTAAATTTCTCTAATCTCTCTTCACTTTTTCGTTTGAGGAGAGATGAGAGAATTAGAGAAATTTGGCGGTTTCGGGCACTTTTGAGCGAAGTCTGGCCGGAGCCTAAGAAGATGCAGTAGTCATTGAAAAGTCTGGTCCTGAACTGCAACAGCCACATCGTAGTACATCTCGGCAATTTCCGTTCCACTTCTAGGAAAACTTCCATTTCTGCAACTATGAAGCGCGTGGAAGAGATATTGCACAATAAGGGAACTGAGGTAAGATGCTCTTGTGGATGTCTGTTTCTTTGTTCGTTTGAACCCTTGTTATCGTTGTAATCCTTTTTTCTTCAGATATACATTCATGGCCTTGGAGCTTCCTTGAATCGTGCTATGGTGCTTGCACTGGAGATTCAAAAAACATTTACTAACGGCGTGTCTTTGAATATAACGACCTCTACAGTAAATGTGAATCTTTTGCAGTCATAGCTTCAGCACTTACTACCTTCTAACTCTGCACTGCTGAAGCAATTTTTTCAGGTTACTGACGACCTTTTCCCAATGAGTGACGAGTTTGAGATGGGTATCCGCAATCGACCTCTGTCTGCTGTTCAAATCCATATCTGCCGCATCCAAGTCTGATTTCTTCTCGCGTAATTCTTTCATTGTATAAGGTTGTCCCATAAGCTCTGTCCGTTTTGAATTTCAACCGCAGTAAGCAATTCTCATTTCTACTTAGAGCGCGAAGTACCACTCGACAGAGCAAAGCAAGCTCTGCAAGTCTGCTATTTTGCTTTTGCACCAGCTCTGAATCTCGAGTTTTGAGCCGAAAAAAAAAGATTCAACAGACCGGAAAATCGAGAAACAATTGCAACTCCTTTTTGAAAAAACCTTACAAAAATTCTAACTTGCTCACTTAAACTCTTTCCATATACCTAAGACATTTATATACGCCGCTGCCGTATTTCGTCCTCGGTTAGAGATAGAAAACGAAGATTTTCATGCTTTTGTCGAAGTGATGCTGTGCTGTTCCCACATAAGTAGTTGTATAGTACTAACCTGTGGAAGTGCAAACATAATTTTCCAGCTCTTCACAAATCCTAGTTTTCAAGGAATATGAATTTTAGCGTAAGCTACCTGACTAGAGGAAACTGAATGCGATATTTCTTGAAAACTACAGCTTGTGGAGAGCTGGAAATTTGTGTTTGCACTTCCACTGGCTAGTACTATACATTCACTTATGTGGACTGCACAGCATCACTTTGGTAAGTGCATGAAAATCTTCGTTTTCTTCATCTCTAACCGGGGAAGAAATACGACGGCGGATATAAATGTCTTATGTGGATAGAGTTTACGTGAACAAGTTAGAATTTTTGTTGGATTTTTTTAGACGAACTTGCAACATTTTCTCGATTTTTCGGCCTGTTGAATTTTTTTTTGTTCAAAACTCGAGATGGATCAAAGCTGGTGCAAAAGCAAGATAGCAATCTTGTAGAGCTTGCTTCTTCTGTCGAGTGGTACTTCGCGCTCTAAGTAGAAGTGAAAAATGTATTAATTATTGCGGTTGAAATTCAAAATGGACGGAGCTTGTGGGACAACCTGATAAACTTGTGTGCACTTTCTCTGTCTGCCTCATATACGTTCTGTATGGTTTTGGGTGATGGAAGTAATAAATTTTTTCTGCAAAACTTTGGTCTCGTGTTGTTGGTTGACGCCATCGCATGCGAATAGATGATGTATCTTCACACAGTTCATGCAATAAACTTATCAAGTCAGTTCAGTTCCAGGCTCATGTAACAATCATGCAGTCTTGGAAATCGTTTCTACGTTATGTTAGCAAATTAGCGTACTCTGAAATTCGAAATTTTGCAACCGCGTATAAAGGTGCACCACGAGTAGCTGTAGTTGGGAGTGGTCCTGCAGGTACCTTTACATAATTTTTTATTTCTTCTAGTCAATCTAGATTTCTTATCGAGTATTTTCAATTTTCATTATCTCATCGTCTTTGCCTCGTGGACAGTATAACTTTGCCAGGTTTTTTTTTTGCTTTCAAATTCATGCAGAGATTTTGTACAGAGTCCGGACAAATGTTGATTTTGGGATTTTTGTTTGCCTATTTGCTAGATGAATTCGAAAAACCAAACCTGAGAGCGCGAAAACGGCGAAAAAAGGCTCTAACGCAGGAGGGAAATCAGAAGGTGGGAGTGTCTTCCACTCTGTGAATTCACTCTCCCAGATTCCGAAGCAATCTTTCCGCTTCCGCTAGCCGCCCAGCATTGCCACCAGTCAAGCGCAAACGCATGATTTGAAGCCGTAACCGAGAAGTTCGCTCTGGAGGTTGGTAGGGTGATTTCACAGATTGGACCCCCTCCCCCACCTCCAACTTTCCTTCTGCATTAGAGCCTTTTTTGCCGTTTTTGCGCTCTGTAGTGTCGATTTTCGGATTCAGCATAGCGAATAGGCTCAGGTAAGCATAAAATCTTGAAACCGACGTCTTCCCCGGACACTGCCTTCAAAGGCAGCGTTCAGGCAGATCTGAACCTTTGGGGATTTTACGTGGAAAATAATTTTGGGGCCCTAACTAAGGCACTGCCCAAGCGGCAGCGCAGGCCACTCACTAACGGCCGAGATACATGCCTCCAAACTGGACCTTAGGATCGTATTCGCAAGTTCATGGCGCAGCCCATCAGTTTCGCCGCGGACCCAGGTGTTGTGCCATAAATTCATGCAAAATACGATCCTGGAGTCTAGCTTCGAGTGGAATATCCAGAGCCCGGCACAGATTGTATGGAAGCAGGGGCGAAAAAGTGAAGGGGATATCATTTTTGTGGCCAGAAATTGCGACATTTTTTTACTCGACGTTTCTTTTTTTGAACGTTTTTACATTTAGTGCTGAGAGTCGGGGACCTCATAAAATTTCGTGAAAGTCAAGGGGAACTTCGTTTCCAAGAAGGTTCGAAATGATTTCAAGCCGGGCCCTTGGAATATCTCAGCTGTTAGAGCACTACCTGAGCTGCCGGTTAGGCAGCGGCTTATTAGGGCCCCAAAATTACTATCCACGTGAGATCCCCATGTGTGCAGACTTGGCTGGACGCTACCTTTAACGATCGAGAGAAGCAGATATACGATGCTGATGAAAGCTATAGCTCCCCCTCCCTCCCCCCCCCCCTCCCACCTCCCAAATGCCGTAACCAAGTTGTAATGAATTGACCTAGGATCTGGTACGTTTATGTATATCAACCAATATTAGTTAAATGAAAGCCTCGTTTCCTCTTGGTTATTCAAGAAAAAATTGAAATAAAAAAAGTGAGAAAGGACAAAATCACGGGTTCATTGAAAGTTTCATTTCTTAAACTTCTTCTTGACTTGTAGTTTGAAATGCATAGTCAAATTTGTGAAACAGTTGAATGAAGTCGATCTGGATCATACCTCCAAAAGAAACGTTTACTTGTTTTTTTGATTTGATTCTTTCCACTGAGTTCGCATTTGAAAGCGTGACTATATAAATTTTGAATTCAGCTGGTTTGCAAACAAAGGGGCATATCTATCTTCTAAATGCTTAGTAAAGGAAGTACCATAATGAAAATCCCAATTTTCTGTTATCGATGCAAACCCGACTTGATACTAATCGGAGACCTGCGCTCGAATTTATACTCCAAAGTTTCTTGAGCTTTCATTATAAGACCGTGTCGGATCGAGGGGGACTTCAACAGAGTGGGTTGCGAAATTGTCGAGAATTGTCTACATGAGTTATAAATGCTTCAGTAATTGTTTTTTCACTTGTAACTTGCAATAATTTTTTAGAAGTCTGAAAGTTGGAACTAACTGTTGAAGAAAGTTTTCGAGGCTGCTTTTTCTAAGATTTTAGGATATAGGCCCGCTATTCGCAAAAAGTTTTGTCACGCCTCCCTCCCCTTCCCCAGAAGAATTTCCCAGACCGCCACTGTTTCAGAAAAAAGTAGCATTTTACTTGAACAGTGGTCTGTATACTATCCTCGCGAATGTTCACGAAGTTGCATTCTTCTTTGTTTCCCAACTTAACTTCCACAGCCTTATAATAGTGTCACACAGTTCGAGAGTAGGCTAATGTAAGTGTTGATCTTGGAATTGGACACTGTTTACTTGCTAGATAGTGAAAACAGCCTGTATTTTATGTTACCAGGTGATTCTCTTGGTTTTCTTGGTCAGAGACGAAATATTTTCAAGGCTTGTTGCGGTAGCTATCTGTAGGATGATTTCCGCACTTATGCCTACATGCTTGGATCTTTAGAAGTCAGTTTATGAAACAATGCTTTTGCTATACTTCGTGAACATGGCAGAAAGAGTCTGAAGGCAGAAATTTGGGCAGAGGCCTTCGGATATAATACAAAATCACTTCTTGGTGCTCACTTCGCTAAGCATTTAGAATATTGGGAATCCTTTCGCTTCCAAATCAGCTGAGAAACGCCAGACATTTTTACCCTTTTACTTCTTATTACTGAAACTTAGGTTTTAGGAGCGAAGTGCGTGTGAGTTTATTCTTAACGGTTACACTTTGAGCTTCATGAATTTTTACATAAAGACGTCCTCGATGAATAGCAAGTTTCAAGAGACCCATTTTTGACCTGTCTCCAAACCCACTTTGTGCCCATATTGTCGGCACCTCGTCAGTTCTATATCACTTCGCCTGTACCTCACTGAATAAGCACCGTAAAGGTCATGCCATAAGCATGACCTGCCGTGATATAAGTTTGTTTACTGCGCAGAAGCCTAACTTACATAGCCACGCCTATCGTCAGCATTCCACCATTGCTCCAACGTGTGCACGTTGTCTGTTCAATTAAAGCTTAAATGCTTTCGTGTTCTATATAACACACTACAAGAGGCGCTCTTTCGCTTCAGGCTGCTAAGCCAAAGAACCACCTTCACACACCTTTTTAAAGACTTTTATGGTTTATCGGATAAAGCGAAAGAAACCGGGTTTAGTCATTGACATTAGGGCATTTTTCAGGGAGGCATAAAGTTTTGCTCAGTACTGTATTTATGCACCACCGGCTATGCTCAAGGGTGCTGCCATACTCAACCGATTGTCTACACTGTGCCGATGCACTTAACGTACATTACAAATAAAGTATGGCGGCATTCCGGCAGTAAATTAAAAGTGTGTCGTACTATCTTTTTCATTGTTTCACTGCTTATGATGGGAGAATTGCAAGTATGTCAAAAGCTGTCATGTCGCCAACTACACTATTAACTTCTCTGGTATATAACAGTGGCTTACCGAGGGGCCCCCCCCCCCGAGAACGGGTCGCGAAATTTTTGAAAGTTACTTACATGAGTTACAAAAATGTGCAAATGACTTGTTTATTTTTGTAAACAATTAAAATAATTTTTAAAAAATTTTAAAAATTCAAATTAGCCTTATAAAAATTTTTTTCGGGGCGTGGCTGACGCCACGCCCCCTTTTTCCAGATTTTAGGGGTCGGGGGCCCGCAAAAATTTTGAGAAGCCTCCCTAAAATTTTTTTGGAGCGCGTGGCTAACGCCACGCACCTTCATTAAAAATTTTTGCCGCCCCCCCCCCCCAGCCGAAATCCTGGGTACGCCACTGGTATATAATAATAACATTAATATGTTTCAGGCCTGTTCACGTGCTCATCACTGTTGCGACGCATACCCGATGGCAAAATAGATGTATTCGATTCTGCGCCAGTTCCGTTTGGTCTTGTACGATATGGTGTTGCTCCCGATCATCAAGATGTGAGCTCTTTAATACATATCACCCTTGTTGTTCAAGCACGTATGAATTCAGCAATTCCTGCAGGTAAAAAATTGCACCAACATCTTCGATAAAATGTTCGAGACAAATAAGGATCGCATCGCCTTGTTTTGCAATGTAAAGTACGTCTGTTGAGAATTTTTTTTCAAAGACCTTGGAGAATCAAATCTAGGATAGGATCTGATCTAACCATGAAAGAGCTGACACGGCACTACGATGCTGTGTTACTTGCCTACGGAGCCCATCAGCCACGCAAACTTCTTGTTCCCGGAGCCGAATCTACCAATGTGATCTCAGGATCTGCATTTGTCTCTTGGTATAATGGCGTCCCCAATGCCAAGGTTCCTGCCGTCAGTGACATTTGCCATCTTATATTTTTGCTTTTAGCTACCATAGTGCCATTCACCACTAAGCAATTCTCAGGGCCCCTTGTTGGACGATCCTGATGTAATTATTGTTGGTAATGGGAATGTAGCTTTGGATTGCGCGCGTGTTCTATCAACAGCAAAATGGCTTCGAACGACCGACATTCCTACAGAAGTAGTCACGATATTAGAGAATTCAAAAGTCAGGAGCATAAAAATTGTTGGAAGGCGAGGTCCTCAAGACGTTAGTGCCTTGAAAACTACAAGTTGCAAATCTTCTTGGCAATTTGCTGATGCTTTCAGAGTAACGCTCATTTAGGTATCATTCACTACCAAAGAGCTCAGAGAGCAGTTTAAAGTACCTGAGTGGAACACAACAGTTGAAATGGATGAAGAAGAGGTAAAAAGCTTGAAAGAAGCTGCCTCCGCTATGCCGCGGCGTCGAAAACGGCTCATGAATGTAAGTGTGTTGGCAAGTCACTTTTTCAGTTTGTGAGCTCAAAGGCTTTTTTCGGTCAGGTACTATTGGATGGAGTCAGACCACCAGAGGGCGAAAGGCAATGCAGATTTCTCAACTACCGTGAAGTTAAGGAAGTGATACCAGATCAAAGTGGTCGTGTGTCAGCTGTAAAGTAAATCTTTAGAACTGTTTCTGTGCTTTGCGTTTGGTCCAAGATCTTATCATTTTCAGCTATCAGCCATTGATCATTAGGCATTGCACTTTGTAACATAAAATCATATTCCAGATTCTACAATAAACGTAAGGATGAGGAAGAAGTTATTCCTTGTGGGCTTCTGATATATAGCATAGGCTATCAAACGTATGTCATTGATGGATTACCCAAAACTGAGGAGGTACAATCGTTTTTTTTTTTCAACTACATGAACTGTTAATGTCCCTTCCAGGGTAGGCTAGCGATGAAAAATAATTTTCGAGTGGACATGCCATGTGGATCTTTCGTATATGCCGTTGGATGGTGCGCGCATGGTCCGCGAGGTGTCATTGTGGACACACAACAAGACTCACTAAATGTCGCAGAACAAATGATGAAGGATTTTTCTACGAGAACAGACGTTACAGGTTTGATACAAGAACCTTCTTTGTCTTTTCACATGCATCGAATAGCAACTTCACGGTCGATGCGATCCTTCATAGCGTTTGCTTTTTCTCAGAAGCGGTCCCAGAAATTGTTTTTGGACGATGAGAAGAGACAGAAAAAAAATTTTTTTTCTGAGTCAGGGGCCTGAGCAGTACTTGCCATCAGAGCTTTTTGAAGCCTCCTTACTTCATGCGGGCCCAAACACAATTTGATAGTCATGTAGCCTACCTTCAAAAACTTCGCGACCTAGGATTTCTCACCCCTCCTCAGTCCGTTGCTACCCTCTTTCGGGAATACAGTAGGAGGCTTGACATTGCTTTACAAAAAGAAAGATGTTTTTCTATCATTGAAAGATAACCAGCGGTTGGTTTTCAAGTGTGTTTTTATACCAGTGTACCTTTTTGACATTTAGCATATCTGTATGTTCCCATTCATTGATGCAAAAGAACCACAATTTATTCGCCTTCGATCTAGGTTCTCTGCACGGCGCAAGAGCGTTATTGGACTCGCGACATGTGAACTACCTGACTTGGGCTGAATGGAAGAAGATTGATGAATTGGAATTGAAACAAGGTCAAGAGAAGGGGAAGGTCCGGGAAAAGCTTACTAAATTCGATGCATTTTTGCATAAAACTTTCTAGTCCTCAATAATTTGAGTGTTTAATAGTGTCATCCAAGATAGGTTGTTGATTGGATCTTGTTGTTTACCGATGCTGTTCTTGCTCAATCTATATGCTGGTCAGTCTCCCTATAACTAGGTCGCTTAAGCAAATGGAGGTTCTAGTGCTGCTAGTGCGCACCTCTTCTGCCGACTACTGGTCTTGTAGCTTATGTCATACGATGTGATATGAGAATGTAGTCCGAGAGTTAGATCTCAGCAATATTTGCTCCTCCATCGCACTTTAGTTGTGAATTTTGTAATTTTTTCGCTGTGATATCTCTCAAAATTTGGTATAATTTTTACAGCATTCTCATGAATCTCAATCACGAATAAATCTTGTTATAAATGTTTATGAATGTTCTATGTTCAGTCATGTTATATATGCTTATTGATTTAGCCTCTAACATGGAACACTATAGTGCGCATTTCATTCATATTCATATCTTTAGTATGGCTTCGCTAGAATCGAAATTATTGGATGGGAGGAATGTGGGCTACTGCAGCAGCTCAGATGAGGAGGATAGTGACTGGAAAGTGGCAAACGATGAAGACGAACACCAAGTAGGATATCGACATAGCGACTTTGCTGCTGACTTGTTTTTTCTTTCGCTATTTTTTTTTGGTAACATATTCAGAATAATGCTATGCGTCGTTTGGGACCAAGTTCAAACACAGGAGCCAAAGGTGTTCTGCGTGAATTCGCCGCTCAGAAAGAAGCAGCTGAGAGGACTAATAGGGCGAAACTTAGAGAGTTGTCAGAGTTGTCAAAAAGGGGGACCCTTGAGATGTCCAAAGAAGAACGCGAACAAGTTGGTTTTACATAACCAAATTCCGAATCACTTACGAGAAGTTCTCTGATGTTGCCGTCAAAAGTTGCTTGTCAGGCCCAAGCAGAAGATAGCTTAGAAAATCTTCGCCAACGTCGATTCATGGAGTTGAGAAAAGCTGCAGCAGGGAAAATCCTGGAGATTACGGATAAGGTAGATTTATATAATATCGTACACACACGATAGCAGTTTCTAGAGAAGATTTTAAGGACCAATTCACGAAAGCGATTGATGGTTGTGAGAATATGCTCTGCGTTTTGCTTTATGAGCCGGAGGACGAGATGTGTCAGAAGATGACCCATATTTGCAAGGTCGGCTATCTTGATCGAAGGCTTTCTAGTATAATCTAGCAAAAAAACATTCTAGCTGCTGGCTGCAGACTTTCCTCGGGTGAAGTTCATCCGAGCTAAAAGTACCCTACTAGGAATGAGCAAGGCCTTTGTACGTTCCCGCGTTTGGTCAGTTTATTGTGCTGTTATCGTTTTCTACATTTTTAGACAGAGCAAGCGTTACCAGCACTGCAATTTTATTTGAATGGGGAGTTAGTTGGCAATTTTATCCGACTGCCGTCTGTTTTGGGCGAAGAATTTGATGTGAACATTGTAAAACAGTTCTTGAGAAGGTAATTCGTCATGAAAAACTTGTTCATAATTGTTGGTATTTTTGTATCATATTTAAACAGGCAGCACATTGATTTGGTTCATGGCAATTACACTAGCGACTTGGAATCTACGGATGAGGAGGCGGAGTGATAATGTATTTATTGATCTTCTCTAACAAGCGATCTCAAGCTTTCATGCTTTATGTCACATTTTGCCTGTATGCTCCTCTTATTTGTTTTTTCTTACCTGTTTGGTTTCGCTTTCTTGTATAAACTCTAGTCTCATGGGTTATGCTCAGCATGTCTACCAATAATAACTATAAACATCTCAACCAATTTCGAGTCAATTTATTGGATTTTCCATGTTATACATAGTCTGTTGACAAAACTACACTGATCTCTTGTCATCTTCCATCCAAAAAAGATGTCATACGCGGCAAAAATGACTTTTACTAAAGCCGAGGTTGCTAAGGTTGCTGGTTTGCCAATGGAAACGACACCCACTTGTAGACGATGAAATCAGACAAAATGCATTTTTCAAGATTTTGAGGGTGGCAACAAATACCAGCGGCACTTGTGAGTCCGGCAAACCCGGCAACATTATATACAAGCTATCGTTGATTGTTGACCGCACGGACTGCTCAAACGCTCCGGACGCGAGCACGACTTGTACAATGGCGAATTTGTACTGGGGCGAGCGTCCTAAGGCCCTGGCCAGACTTCGCTCAAAAGCGCCCAAAAGTGCTCAAAAGCGCCCAAACTTCTCTAACCTCTCCTCACTCTCTCTCATCTCTCCTCACACGAGAAAGTGAAGAGACACCAGAGAAATTTGGGCGCTTTTGAGCGCTTTTGGGCGCTTTTGGGCGCTTTTGCGCGCTTTTGGGCGCTTTTGAGCGAAGTCTGGCCAGGGCCTAATGCGCCGCACTGACGTCCAGTCCGTGCTGTCAACGATTCGCCTATATACGGCTTCCCCAATGAGATGTTCGATTGATAAATTCCACCCTTGTAAAAATAGCGTATTCAGATGTTTGAAAACATCAAACTATCATTGTAGAGCAAAAAACAGTGATTCACCGTTGTAGTATCTATGTCAGTTGGAATATTCATCACTTTGCGTAGTTCGTAACTATTTTCGGTTACAAGGATAGCAGCACAAATCCTCATCGACCGACCTCATCGCATAAATGGTGACGCCATCAGACAACGAGGACATCGGTAAAGCGATACCAATGGGGATTTTGTTGGCAACGAAAGGAACAGCTGGAGATCGATTGCTGTTTCTGTACCCACCTTCACCATCAAATTCACGTTGGTCTCTATCACTGATCAGACAGCTTAGAGTAAAATTCCTCAGATAAATCAATGATCGAATCTTTGTTCAGAGAAGAGTGAGAGTCGAGCAAAACCTTTGGTGGACTCTATATCAAAAACAGATCGTGATTGCAAGCTTAAGACATGCACTGGTAAGTTAGTCTCGTTCTTGGCTGACACCATATCTTGCTACCAAAATAAGATGTTCAGCACCTACAAGCGCAGCTCAGCTCCCTATACTCATGACAATGCAGTATGTGCTTCAAACGCTGTTCTTTTTTTTTCTAGTTATGGTTTTAGGAATGCAAAAAAATCTGGAGAGATGTCTTTTCCAACGCAGTTCATGTAAGTTCATACTAAATCGTAGCTTTGTTGCAGTGCACTGCTTCAGATTATCCACCTGTATGCTAGCCAATATACTGAGTGTGAAGGACTCAGTGGTGGACGCACCGTTCGAGCTAAAAGTGGACAATGTGCGTTTTGCTGGTCACCCGAAAAAGGTGCGTCTTTCTTTATAACTGTGTTCAGGTTTGGTCAAACATTTTCTTTGCTAGAGCATTCACTTCGTTGCTGCCAAAACATACAACAGACCTTTTCCTATCTACAAACATCACATGAAACTATATCTGTTCAGTTAACAAGGGCATCAGAGGGTTCTTCGACTATATTCTCGATTGTCTTCGTGCTTCCTGCCTCTGTAAATTCTCATCTGGTGGAGTCTTTTCAGGTACTGTTCGCTCAAATGTTTTTACCAGGAGGAGAAACGGAAATCTGTCAGCAACGCTGACGCCACTAATATGTCTACTTTCATGGTTTTGCACGACGCGCAACATAGGAAATTTTCCCGTGCTCTTTTGTGAGAGCACAGAAATATTGAGATCGATTCATTTTCATGAAATAAAGGTCGTCTAAATTGAGACAAATAATTACAAAAGATGCCAGCAAAAAAGACAGAAGGTTTTTGTGCTGTCAATGAAAAATAAAGCCTTTACTTGAAGTTCCGCGTAGGTTGCTCCCATGCTTCTCATGAGTAATTTTGCACCACCACAGAATGCATAGATTGAATTGCTGAATGCGCCACGCGCCGATAGAGTTCATTTGACAGTGTGCTAATATCATCCTTAAGCTAATTTTCCTTCCATTTCAGTCACTGAGTAAGAAATTGGCTCTTGCTATCGATTCTCTTCAAACGCAGAGAGGCTATTTCGCTGAACAGGTACTTTTTGTTTTTACAAAAATTTGTTGAAAGTTGTTCCATCTGCCTGTTTTACAGGAACGCATAATGCGATCAGCACTTGACGAATTTGAAGCTGAAGTGTCGAGCAGGCCAGAGAGTGACCAGTCATTTCTCAATATCCCTTGGGATACGGTATGTGCATCCATTGCTCTTAGAGGCAGCGCCCAGGCAAATTTGGACCTATGGTATCAGCGGTTAGAGCACTACCTGAGCTGCAGGTTGGGCAGTGGCCACGTGAGATCCCTATATGTCCAGATTTGCCTGGACGCTGCCTTTAAACGGTGATGTCCCTGTAGATTTTCCTTGAAAAAGCAAGCGAGGTTTGAGATACGAGGAAAGAGTGCACTGGCCGAACTTCTTACCAAGGTGTTTACCGATGTGGGTAGGACTGGAGTAGTGCAGGTAAGATTTGGGCTCATTCATATAACTCGGTTATGAACATCCGTGAAAAACTGTATTGTTATTTTCTAGGTATTTGTCGATAATTTCATCGAGGTAGGTTTTTGTGTGCAATCAAGAGCGTTGGCTCATGCTCATTTGACACCCAAAAATCGTGCTGAGATTGATAGAATCGTCAAACAAATACGGTAAACTTTTGCCGCTCGTTCGTGCTTATTTGAATTTTTCTTTGAATTCAGACCTTATCATGGGATCTTATTATTAGAAGATGTTTGGCCTAGTCCAGATGCAAATCCCTCGGTGACCCTTCTTCTAAAGCACTGCGAGCCTGATCGGTCTATATTGGACATGTCAACAGCTTCGGGAATACCGCTGCTACAGGTCGGAGTATAGGTTTTTTCGTTCTTCTAAGCTGCCTCTTTCAAGGTATTCCTCATCGTTCGCCATCTCCTCTTATGGGCACGAGCCGTCGTTATCTATCCATTGTGTAATACCAATATATATTCTTCGGCAACACTACCAAAACCGCTTAGAAGGTGAGAAGTAGGATTGTGCCTCCGATATGATTAATCGGCTATCCAGATACGTCACGCTGTTCTCTCAGCAGTTCGGCCCTTCTTTTCACTTAGCTGATGCGCTTGCTCAGTTCGATCCTCCTAGTACTCTCGGAGATTATCTTAATGCTAATCAGCCGTTAGCAGATCAGCAAAACAAGGCTAAGGTCATTGTGGCTTTGCTGAGGCATCAACTCATCATGCAGGTTTGTCATCTATTTATTATTCTTTCATTCGGCTTTCACTTTCTCTTTGCATATTCTGGCCAAATTCTCAGCTTCATCGTTATTGCTACATAGTGCCTCCATTTTCCGATGCAAAATTACCTCGAGCAGGCCACCACTGCCCCGACTCCTTGAAGGTATTCTTATGTAGCTTTCCTTAATGTTTTATCATAGCATCATTTCAGTCAGAAATATGTGCTTGTGACGATATCGAAGACGCTATCAAACCCATTATATCAGATCTCTGTGGAAGTTTGTTGGATACACAAAGTTTTAGCAGTGTGAGTAAATCGGAATCTGAGTTGATATTCGATCTAAACAAAGTTCGCTTTAGGTGGAAGGAAAGCTACACTTATTTCTTCGGATGAGTCGTTTTATGCATGGACAGCACCACATCGAAGACATCGTCTATCGCCTGAATGTCGTACGTCTTTGTTGCTTTTCATAATACTGGTTTGCGCTTGCATGGATTTCCCTGCAATTATGACAAGTTTCAGGAGCGATCTGCAATCGAGGACGTACTTGCCACCTTCTCTCTTGTTCTTTGCTCATTTCTACGACCCGATTTTATCTCAGAGTAGTTAGCATCTATTTCTGGCGTTACTTTTGCTCCTTTTTATCTGTAAAGAATAGGAAATTTCAGTCGCAATCGTAGTAACAACACTTTCACTCTGTCAGCGAAGTATTAACGGGTATACACTAGTCAAAAATTATAGAATTCTTAAAAGCAGCTATTGGTATTTCTTTGCCTTTGTGAGAATGTAAATTGATCATTGGGTATGATCGGTATTCTCCTTGTTTACAGCTTGTAACTCGATTTGAATTCAAAGTTCTCGTTCTTGGAATGCATTTTTGGTGCCTCCGGTGTGCAGTGGCTTCTAAGTATACATACTGAGCGTGTAATCATAGCACTCGGAATTCTGCTAAGAACGGATCTGAAGACCTTGTTGTTTTGTAATGTATTTAAGATTAAAAAGGAACTACTTAGCCTGCTAACAAATAACAATTCTTCATGCAGTGATGCTGGTATGAGCAACTTCAGAAACCATTTCTCTTCACCTATGTTAGTTTTTTTCCGCAAGAGGTGGTATCATCCAGCGGTAAATTTCTTTTCGTCGCTGCTGATATATAATTCCATATAGAATAAAGTTGATTGCATGCAAATGTCATTGCCAGGAACGAAGTGTTATATCACTGAGTTACTTTTTGCACACTTTCTGTAACTTGAAGTGAAACAAGAGTTAGTCGTATGCAGATTCAATGACGAAATGACTCAGCAAGAAGATGAGAAAATTGAGCGATTTCGCAGCATTGTCAGTGGGCAGCTACAAGACGAACTCGCGAAATTAGGGAAGGATCGGCAACAAATCCTCGTGGAACTGCAAGATTATGCTGCACTACTGGTCGTTGTCCGAAACTTGCAGGTTATAATGTAACCGTAATCACATTAGTGGAGCTTTAAAGGCCAGATTGACAATCAAGGTCTGAGCCAGATTGTTCCCTGTAAGACAGCCATTGTAGATGAAGAAATCCAGCAAAGTCAATATCCGAACGTCGCTTGGCCATCAAGTGTTTGTAAATGCAGAACTGTAAGTATAACCCCAAGAAAGTCTAACAGTTCTCCAAAACTTAGCCTTTAGCGAGAAACAGGATTCTGTAATAGTGAAGCTGGCGGGTGACTTATTTGCCGAACTTAAACTTGAGCGAGCTGAGATATTCATCACACAGAAACTAGAGGTAAGAAATTCCATCAGGGTGTCATTAATTGAGTCATATAGTACACAAAGGAACAAATCTCAAGCGTCAGATCTCCATGTTCTTAAAGGCAGTGTCCGGGCAAAAACTCGATTTTGAGATTTTGTGCTTACCCGGGCCTATTCGCTACGCTGAATCCGAAATGCGCATTGGAGAGCGCAAAAACGGCGAAAAAGGGCTCTTACGCAGGAGGGAAATCAGAAGTGGGCGGGGTCTTCCCCACTGTGAATTTTGCGGTCCCGACTTCTGAAGCGATTTTCTCAACTCCGCTAGCCCTCTGAGATCTCCACAGGCCAGGTGCAAACGCATGACTTGAAGTCGGGACCGAGAAGATCGCTCCGGAAGCTTGGAGCGTGGATCCGCGGTGGGGAAGACTCCGCCCACTTCCGATTTCCCTCCTGCGTTAGAGTTCTTTTTCGCCGTTTTCGCGCTTTCTAATGTGGATTTTCGGATTCAGCATAGCGAATAGGACCGGGTAAGCACAAAATCTCAAAATTGACTTTTTGCCCGGACACTGCCTTTAACTACGATACGTATGTGTAAAACAGAGGAAATGAAATTTGAACGAGTTGGTGTGTTTATTTGAGTTTAATTTCAGATATTGCGGAAAAAAGCTGAATTATCGCTTGAGTTGGCAAGCAAGACCAAGGCAACCATCAAATTTTTGCTGGCAGCTATAGGAGAGTACGACAAATTGGCTGCAAAAAGATAGCAGAACCACATCATTCTTAGTTCTTTTTTTTACTTTGTTTTTCTGATAAAGTATTCAGCATGAATAATGGTGCATGTTCGGTCAATTACCAGCTACTATCTCATTTTGTTCATTCATCGCCTTCTTCAAAACATTGAATCACAGCATGGTTGCCACCTCACATATCAAAGAATCTGCGATACGTTCACTAATCACCATAGGATCTCGTGGGAAGAGAAAACTTACTTTAGATGCAAATGCATTACGTCTGTTAACAGCACTAGCGAACGCTTTAGCTTCGGTATGGTGAATACTCATGTCCTACTGTAGTAAATCTTACTCAGCCATGTAGGAAACGCTACTACGAGCAGCACAACGTGGACAGCAGGACGGACATTCAGTGGTCGTGGCTGCGGATTTACTACGAATTTTACCAAGCGTTCTGTTGGATTTCGCTGTATAGATACCAAAAGTGCGGCCAGTAATATTTTTATCCTGTCAAAAAGATGAGATAGTTATCGCACAATAAATAGACTCTTCAAGTTAAGTCGATACCAACAGAGAGAAAGACAATTGTATACTCTTACCAGTCATTTTTAATCTGGTCGATTTTCAGAGTACGATGCATTTGCACTCAGCTTCATTTGGCGTAGAAAATGGTCATGGAGCGACCTTACAAGATGTAACTTTTGTATGAAAGCATTCAATTTTTGAGTGTAGCTAGTTCAGAAGGGATAGGATAGTAAGATAATAGCGACTACCTGCTCTCAAAAAAAAAACTACAACCTCATACAGTTTCGCTTGGAGTTGTGGAATTCACAGCCATTTTCTGTAGCAAATGAAACAGACTGCAAATGCACCTTTGTCCTCAAAAACCACAACATTAGCAAAGGAAAAGAAAAGATAACTTGTACTCAGAGATCGCAGTACTCAAAGGGCGAACTGATGTTGATACATTTGCAGCGCTTCCCACTCAGCTTTGAAAGCTGCTTTTGGATCTTGTTGCGGTGACATGGCTGCTCCTGGAAATTATTGATCAGAAAGCGTCGGGGAAAATCAGATAGGATTCCTCTCTCGATTAGAAAGGTGTGAAAAACTTGGACTACAGTTCGAGATTAGATATTATAGATTATTAGATATAGTGAGTCCATCTATTTGTGTAGACTACTTATAATAAACAAACTGTAACCGAAAGTAGACAGAAACATAGAATGAATACAGAGTATGAGGCGAGATCAAGCAACTCCTTTGGACAGCTAAGGAAACTCACTGATTTTTTCACACCTTGGTGCATTGCTAGACAGATTCTTATTTACAGCGTTTCTTTACAGAGAAGTGTAGTGATGCATCAACTCAGAAATTATGAAACAATATCTTCAAATTACTCACCGGTCATCTGATCTTCCATTGCTTTGGACTGATCTGCTGCGTTTTCTTCTCCTAATATGAGTGTGTAAATTGATCTAAGTCCGAACATACAAAGGAAGTACCATGAAGCTGACGAGACCTTGAAAAAGGATCTAGCATCTTGCAAATATCAGATTTTCTGCGGTGATAGATAGGTATATACTTGTTGTTGATTACTTGTTGATAATTACAGAGGAGTTACGCCGTCCGCTTACCCACGCTGAGTCGAGCGATACAAGATCCACTCCTCGCTGTAACATGGCTTTGAACTTCAGTGTAAGTGGAAATGGCACCCGTGTAGTAACAAAGCCAGAAAACGTCCAGTTGATCCAACCTCCCACGACAATCATGGGAATCTGAGGGCAGGTTGCGTGTAGCAAGAATGTTGAGTAAACGAGGTACTCACCATATTCATCATATTTCCCTTCAGCATTTCTGTCACTTGACTTGGATCCATTGGGTTTGGTCCCTTGCTTGGCCGTTGCATCGCCTTGGAAAGATAACCTGAATTGATTATGTGCTAAAAAAATATATAAATCCTGCTCAGTTTGCATCATCGATATCTGCTGAATAATGAGTATGGTAACAGCAGATGGCCAGCGCAGGGACGTGTCATAATTTAAAGAAACATAAAAGTCTTCTTTTTTCCTTCATCATCTTCGCTCAACAACAAGATGTCTCAATTGAGAGCTCAAAATTCAGTACTATCATTTGGTAAAAGACTACGACTGAACATTGTTAAAAAAACATAATATAAATACGAAATATTTTGCATCGCTACCGGCTTTCTGTCATCCACTCACTGCGCAATTTGTAAGCTCTGCGAAGACACTGCCTATCAAGCTCGTTGTTCTTCTTGACGTATACAACATCTGCGGAACACAAAATGTTTTTAACTTTTTTGATGTTAACCAAAAATTTTTTTGAGAGGAGGAGCGACAGAATAACCTTAAAAAAACGGAGCATAGATCAAACGAATCCCCCATATAATTGGAATGCTTCACAAAATTTTTTGCGGGACCTATAACCCGAAAATTTAGAGAACGCCGTAGACCAATTATTTGAATTAATGAAAAGAAAACTCAATCTTAAAAATGAAAAAAAGTCATTTGCGCAGATTTTTTCTCTTTTGCTACTTTAAAATTATTCACGACCCATTCTCGCCCCATCCTTAATTTACCACTGTTAAGAGTTAAACAAGGATGTAAAACATCCTAATCATATCTCCGCTGTAGTTTACAAATTTTTGACTGATGTGTTGCAAAGTAATTACCATGATCTTCAGCAGAAAGAAAATTTCTGCGAGCATTGAAGGAAGACCTTGGAAGAAATCTGCCATTCTCTCTCAGAAGCCTAGAGCGTAGCAAATATTGTCCATCCGCAACATTTTCGAGTTCAACCTGAAGCAATCGAATAGTCGAATGTACCCAGATCAGAACCCAAACAAACCTTTTTCTTGCTCATTAACAATAGTGAAACATAATGTCGCAGCACGCCAATCATAAATGTGATAACAACTATAGGTAAAAATACCCAAGTACGGATTGCTGGATCCAACAATAGATCCGTCATCCTTCAAAATGTCAAGTATAAAATGAGAAACCATACTGTTGGAAAGAAGTAAGGCCACTTGTAGCAATAAGAAAAATAAAGAGAAAACAACTCTGATATCAGTTACAACTGAAGCACATCAAGTTTATTTCAAATCATCAAACACTATACATACAGCGAACGCAGTTATTGACTCAGATAAGAATGCACAATCATCTCGACAACTTTCAACTTTGTTACCACGACAAAATGGCTCAACAACACCTAGTGTGTCATGATATACTCTAATATACAACTAACATAGTTTGGATTCGCGAATGGCAAATGGCAAATTGGAAAGCAACGACAACCTGCGACAAAAAGAAGATAGGATGTAAGTATCACTAAGTAGCATCGTTCGAACTGCCGAGAAGAGTTAGAACCAAGTAAGGGTCAACATGCAATGATAGCCGCCAGAGTGAAGATTATGCATGAATGACTTTGATTATGTACATAGATGAGTGGCACGCTGCGTAAAATACAGGATAAGTGTGGCACATGAAGAGGAGGATGAGAGGGTGAGATAGCATCACCACTGGCAGCATTGTTGCCATGTGGATCCAATGGGCGTCGTGCCTCTCGCACCCAGTCGAAACGTATCATTACTACTGAAATTTTGATATGTGCTATCGAGATTATTTTTGAGAGGCTGCGTTAAAATTTGGTAGAAAACATTTGCAGCTATACAAATACTAAGGAAAACCAGGGCATTTATTGAGAAAGAAAATATCATTCGAAACTGGCTAAACTCACGTGGTGTCGTGATGCACACCCTGATCGTAATGTCGTTTCAAAATTGTTGCCAGCTCTAGAAATGCAGCGTCGACATTGACGTTACTCTTCGCACTAGTCTCAACCATTGCAAACATTCCTTAAATAAACCGTAGACTAATGCAAGACCGAGATTTGATTGAGAAAGAAGTACAATAAATAAGCAAGACAACAGAGAGCAGAGAGACAGAAATTATGTGAAAGACGAAATATAATACCTATTGATAAACTAACCATTTGCCCTTTGAACTATTTCACCTTCTTCCCTCTCAACAACTCTCTGTTCTTCCAAATCACATTTCGTTGCTGAATTCATTTGTACGTATTACAGTTGATGATTAAATCAACTTACCAACAAGTAATTTTACGACATTTGGGGCCGCAAATTTGGAGACATCGTCTATCCACCTGACATACACAATGCTTTGTACAATCAATGAATATTTCGGAATAGAATAGAAAAGCAAAATTCACAAAAAAAAAGAAGAAACAAAGTAATTTGTAAACAATGATACCTTTGCAGACTGTTGAAAGACTGTTTGCACGTTATGTCATAGCAAAGAACAATGCCATTAGCTGACCGATAATAAGACTGGGTAATTGTTCGGAAACGCTCTTGACCACCAGTATCCCAGATTTGCAATTTCACGCGCTTTCCATCTGAATCATGTAATAATCATGCTACAAACACATAAAACAAATCGATCGACGAACCTATGACAAGGGTTTTCATTGTAAAGTCAACACCAATTGTTGTTCCTTGCCTGTCTACGTAGGTACCATTTCGAAATCGTTGAACAACACAACTAAATGACGTCATTTGTGGATTTATCAAAGACCAACCAGCGAATTTGAGGAATGATTAGATGACGCTGATGCCAGCAATATTTAATAGGTGTTAAAGGCTAGCAAGTTTTACGAAAATCGAGGTGGTAAAGAACTAGCTCGACGAAACACTTTGAAGATACGTGAGAAAAAACTGAAAAGCGTAAATTTAGCACAAACGCTCTAAAAATTGCAAACCTACGTTTTGCCTACACCCATATCTCCGATAAGAACAATTTTGAATAAGTAGTCGAAGCCATCATCGCCATCCATACCGCACGAGAAAACGATACAAATTAGCTAATAATCTAGATCTTGATTTACACGCTGCACTGAAATTTGTTTGATCAAATCCGCACGCCTGATAGAAAGGAAATTTCTGCAGCAATGATGAGCTTAGTAAACGCTACTGCACTGAGCGAAATCGCAGCAATATCGAACACTTGCGCCCTTCTTCATCTTTGTACAGCTTACCCTCGATGGAGAGAGAGCGTAGCGAATGGGAGAGCTCAAACACACTGCTCAAACATTGACACCCAACGCGCATTTGCGTATACTTGCGTCTATCGTAATATTCAATTCTACAATGGCACGAATATATTCAAAACATATAGGCAAGTGATTATCGCTGCAATCTTGGGTCAGGGGTCAGGAATTTCATTCGCAACATTTCCAAGCCAGAAAGGCTAATAGCAAATGATAGTAGTTCCCCAAGCATATTTTCCTCCTGAAAAATCTCGCTCTACCACAACTGGCAAAGTGACGTCGCCTATCGAGTAAAGGTGTATCAGTCCCATAGCTCATAGGATTCTGGATCGCACAAAAAACCGCTTTCAAATAAAAGAAATGATTTTCGGCAGTGAATGACCGCACTGTTATGTAAACTATATTATCAGTCTGAAAACAAAAAATACTCCGAATGTGCACGCCTTTTTGATATAGGGAATCAGCCAGTGTTGACGGAGCGCGTAACGAAAAGAAAGACATACAACGCACCACAGAAACGCTGAGCTTTATACAAAAAGAGAATGGAGACTTTGACATACAACTAGCAAGCTCAAACCGAGACATCACTGACCAATGAAAAGAATTATTGACGGTTGATATCATCAAGCTCAAAAAAATTCACTCCAGTTGCTCTCCACTGCCCAAGGGGACTTATGTTCCGAGCGAACCTGTGAAAGCAATGAATAACACCGACGGGCATTTGCTTAAAGCATACTTGCGACTCACGTAACATTTGAGACTATCACGTCCTTCCTATACTTAGCCAGCAGTTGTGGAAGGGTTGCTTCCCATGGCACAGATTGATTTTTACGGATAAAAGATGCGATGGTGAAGTAGATACTAACGATGCCTTGCTCGGCTTCTGGCGTTATAATGCTGATTCAATGATAATGCATACAAAAGACTCACTTCTGTTCCTGAAGTCTCTAGCAGAGAGAAAACTAGAGTGAATGAATGACAGAACAGCATCGTCAGGGCTGAATCGCAGCAAGGCTAGCTGATCGGGGGTGCATCTACAAAACAATAGCGTTACATTTCAAGGGATTTCCATCAAAAAGATAAACCTGACCGTTTCCTAGCAAACTGCGTTTGTTCTACCAAGGCTTTCGTAGCAATGAAGCTCATCCTATTCCATTCTTCATTTGCTATACACTCGCCTAACACAGACACACCCTACAAAACGGAAACATGCCGAGATGTTTAGCATATTTGTTTGGGGATAATGGGGTCTAACGAAAGGAACCTGACAAAAGTACATAGTCTAGTAATTGAAGATTACTTGCCGGTATCGCTTTTCAATTTGCGCGGTCAGAATAATACGGTTTTCAGACACACTACATATCACGCATTCACGACAGCAACACAGCAATCTCTCGAAAACTGACCTCATTGGCAGCCCGCACTAATCCTTCCTTGTTATAACTTCGTTCAAAGAATATCTGGTAGATAGTCTGTGAAAACACCGTACCTAACCTTCGCGTCAGCTCAAAGGTCGGAACAACCACTTTTGGGGATGGAAATAGGGAGAGGTGTGGATTGGGTCGAACCTGAAACAACATTGGGGTTTAACATACTATTGTGGTGAACTTCAGCAATATAAAGCAAAGGTAGTACTGCTATCAAGTTTAAAGCACTTTCACCATTCTTAATCAAAAACAAATTAACGCACGTTCTCTTCGAAATCTACATATGGCTCCTTCACCGAGTCCACAACTTCCGAAGTGGCTGCAGACGCAACGGAGTAACGAACCGCGGTTATCGAAATCGCATGACATGTTGCTCTTCTCAACATGCGCGGTCCTGTAATAAAAGGACTATTTATGAGTTGGAGTAAGTGATTGAAACCATTACAATAACACAAAATCGGTGAAATTTCTCTTCTTAGGAACGAGTGTCAAAAGTTTTGGGGCCGGACAAACTGCGGGTTTTCCGTCCGCTGCCAAAAGAAGTGAGTGCTAAGCGAAAAAAGGAACTAGAGGTTTACTAGCTTCACTAGCTTTACTAGCTTCGGAAATACCTCCTGTCAAAATGAGACCTACACGAATACCAATAAAATTTAGAATCTTGAAAACATACACAAGACTGCCTATCCTCAGCACTCTTAGTATTCTTTCACATCACAAAACGCACAGTATTCTGCCATACTGCCCCTGATAAACACCCCATATGTACGGCTTCCGAAGCTTCTTGATTTTCAGGTGTATAGAATGAGAAATTCCTAGAGCCTACAGTTTTGCTTCCATGCATTTTAACACCAATCTGCAAACAACAACTCCGAAATGGTTCCCCTAAACTAAATCACAGCTTCAAAGAGCAAACACCCACCCGAAAAGTTTAAAGGACGCATGGTTTTTGAAGCGCATGGTTCGTGTAAAGCTTGCACCGAAACTCGGACAATACTCTCGTCTCGCGTAACAAAAGTCTCTTCCTCTTTTTTCAGATTGTGAAGATATTACATGTGCACCCCCAAGTTTTGAAGCTTTTTGTCGCCAAAGGGAGTAGTAGTGTGGAAACAAACATAGGCTGTCAGATTGGGACGAAAGCGGCACATGTGCAGGGCAGCAGTCGTCCGAGTTGTCCGTTGCGCATCTCAACAAATTTTCACTTGGCCTAAAATTGTTGTGAATTTATATTAAAGTGCCCGTTCCTTTACTTTCATGGTTTGCTTCATTTGCAGAAAGTATTGATTTGATGTGGTGGTTTTGAAAGAAAGGTCATCGATAATTTTAGCGAGCAGCTGAAATGGGTTTACGTAGGAAAGAGCAGAGTTTCCTCTCTGCTTTTCATTTTTTTTTGTTAAACTGCCGCAGAACCTCAGATTGTGACTCTTTGGTGAATTGAATCCAACTTCAAGGCTTTAAAAACTTGCAGTTTCTGGAAATGAGCGACAGTACATATGAAGTTTTCCAGAAATTTGATCGTTTACTTCCACAAATCGTGTTTACTATGTAAAATTGCTTGCGATTTGTCGGGCACAAAATGCAAGTACTAGAGGGTAAATCAGTGTGATCTCATTCCAGGTAAAATGCGCTACGTTTCGGCATACCTCCTTGCTCTTGCTGGTGGAAATGAACATCCCAAGGTAAGCAGCAGAAAAGTATTTGAAGAGTCTTGAATTTTCCTCTTTAGCTTGAAGATTTGAAAAACATTCTCGGAGCTGTCGGAGTTGACACCGATGTTGAAGCAGCTAAGCTTGTCATTTCACGGCTAGAAGGCAAGTCCATTGACGAGGTTATTGCTGAAGGATCGTCTAGCTTGGTTTCGGTGAGCTCTTTTCAAACTCATTTCCACCTTTCATTGTCGTTTCTTGTTCATATTGGTTTTTGATCAGCGATTTCTATTACTTGTCTTCAGCTTGTAAGATGCGGAGTTTTACTTCCATTTTACACTGCTTTGTTCTATTCATCTCATGTCAATGACTTTTCTTCAGGTGATGAATAGAGCGCAACCTTTGATTCTTTACTGGACATGTTTCGCTGGCTCCTCTTCTTTTCCAAAACATGTGCGCAGAGCTACCAGCGTGCTCATATGCTGCCATAATAAAAATCGCTTTCAAATGTGCCGCAGTGATTATTCTGAGAGATTCATAACATCCAAAATTGCATCGCATAATCTCCACTGAGCCGAGAACTGCTTTCTCAAGCTAAAAGTAATAGGTGTTTTTGAATGATATTTGCACTTTCTGGATGCCTTTTAATATACTCAGTAGGCGCATCGCAGTGGCATTTCGAGTACTCGAAGGTTTCATGCTGTTCAAAAGGTTTACCGTCTTGTTCTGTTGGAATATTAAAGAAAACTATCAGAGATGTTTACAATCTGCTCGGAAAATTTTGAAAATCAGCTAGTCTATAATTTTAGTGTGAAAATTCTATTTCATTCCAACAGTAACCATGAGCGACCGATGTGCTACTGTCGATTGTACTGGGCAGAGGACTATATGTCGCCGAAAAAGGGCGGTCCCCGCGGTCATTTGCGACAAATATGCACTCTTGTACATGCGCGGACATGCGTTCCTGCAGGGAATCCGCGCGGGACTCTTCCAAATTCGGCGACATATAGTCCCCACCCGATTGTACTGACAATCTGAGTTGGCTTCACTGCATTATTTTTCCTGCGATAAAGCTATGAGATGAGAGTGTTATCAAAAATCAAGTGTGGCATTTTTTGAGGCGCACTAAGCTTTTCCTGACGATTCACTTAGAATTTCATTACTTTTTTTTGTATTTTGGTATCTGAGGTTACCATTTGCTTTTAAACATCTCTTGAAACTGTGAATTTTTCAGTTTTGCTTTCCTTTGTGAGTATGCTTGAACTGGTGACTGGACTAGTGTTTTGCTCTTCCGTGAACATTAGGTCTACTAGGGAGTTTTTTGGTTTGCTGCTGAAAGCGCAAAGCCTTTGATCTAAGAACCTTAGAAATCTGAGAGCTATAAGTCACCTAAAACATCTTCTTGAATAGCTTACTGATTCAAAAGTTGGTTTATCCTTTTCAGGGATTTGGGCAGAAAAGTATGAGAAAATCGAATCTGGCCATAAATGGGATACCCTTAATTATCTTCGTATCCGTACTTGCTTATCAGCTCTAGAAAATGCAAATTTTTTTTTTCATTTCAGTTGTAAAGTACAGGAACCACCAAATTGATGCAGCATCAGTTCTCAAACATTTATCAGCACAGCATGTTCCCCATCTCTAGCTGATGATATATTCAAAGTCCATTCGGAACTAAGCAAACGAACAAGTGAAAGACATTGTGGATGGTATTAAAAATCATATCATTATTGAATGCGTGCTTTGTGTCGCATTTCTGAGGTTCTCACTGAAGGCGGAGCACTCAGTTTTGTAGTTTTTCAGTGGCAGTAGATGACTTTTACTCATGCCTCTTTTGTTCATTATGCACTCTATAAGGTCTAATTGCTGCGGGTTCAAATTTTTCATCAAAATCATTTAGGTATCTGGTGGTGGTGCTCCTGCTGCTGCTAGCGCTGCTCCAGCTGGAGGTGAATCTGCTCCAGCCGCTAAAGAAGAAGCGAAACCAGCCAAGAAGGAAGAGAAAGAAGAGTCTGATGATGACATGGGATTCGGTCTTTTTGATTAAATTTGCTGTTATGATTAAATTGTTATTTGGATGTTAAATTTTTTGCTCTGTTCGAAATGAATGGGACTTCCACGTGTTTTACTTCCTGTATCATGATCTGCTTCCCCAGGTCACCACTTTCAAACCCAGTAAAGAAAGTAATTTTTCTGTGGAACGTTTGCTTAGGGTAAGAAATGGCTTCTCAAATTTTGTCATGTGGATCTGCATGTTTTCGAAATTTTCGCGTTATTTTTGCACACGAACTGTTTTCATTGATCAATCCACACATAATTGAGATGAGCATATTCTTGTTGCTGAAGGGGGGGGGGGGCATGGCCAAGGGAGCTTTTGAGAATACACTGAGTACTATTACAAGTGAGCTCAAACTCTCACATGTTTGCTGAGATGTAAAAAAAACACCAGATGTCGAAGAGTAAAATTAGATGTGTCACCATTCGTAGTACAATGCTTTTTATTTCCAAGGTTACCTATGACGGTCTTCCCGATGGCGGTTACTTTTAGCCTACTCATCGTCTTCTAAAAACTGCGTTGAGGAAAGGCCCTCCACTTTAGAGGCAGTGGGTCCGCAGAATGAGACCCGTGGCAAAACAAGGTCACAGGGTAGAGCCCATAACGGAACCTATGGGCCAAAGTTCGGTCTTTCTCTGCCACTTCTAACCGCCGAAATTTCAAAGCGAAAGCAGCGCTCATCTCCTGTCTTCTCCGAACCCGCCCACCCCATGGACAAGTGACTTCCACGGTTAGAGCGCCAGCCGCAATGCTATAAGCATGAGGTCCCGCAACAACTCTGTGTCTTCGCCATGACGGGCTTCGAGTTCACTCGTCCATGGGGTGGGCGGGTTCGGAGAGGACAGGAGATGAGCGCTGCTTTCCTTTGAAATTTCGGGAGTTAGAAGTGGCAGAGAAAGATCGAACTTTGGCCCAGAGGTTCCATTATGGGGCCCCTACCTTGTGACCTTGTTTTGCCACGGGTCTCATTCTGCCGACTCACTGCCTTTAAGATTTCGGTGGCTTTGCCCTAGCCTAGATAGTGCTATGAAATGTCATGTCGCACGAAAGGAACATTATTTATCGCTGGGCGTCCCATCTATTCAGACTAGTTAATGTAATTATGAGACGATTTTAAGGTGCGAATATTGATATCTAGTATGATCGTAACGGTCCCAGCAAAATGTACCGGTTGGTTGGTATACGCGTTCGCTTGTTCTAGAGTCTTTGTAAGGGTCGGATACCATATCTGTAGGTGTTTAGCTGAGGCTTACGGTATGGAACGAATTAGAGATCTTAATTGCTAGCGTGTATATGTAACATTCAATGGTACACCTTTCAAAAAAGAGTGGAAACTTGACTTTGTAGATGCATGGGGTCTATACTATTGTCGATACTCCCTGTGGAAAGGTACGGTATTTTTTATTTGTACCATCATAAGATCCATAGCAACTTCTTTTTAGATGTTTGTTGGTGAGATCGAAAACGCATTGTGCGCGGTCTCCTTCAATCCAGACGTCGGTAATGCAGTCAAAACTTTGCACTTCAGCTATCCATTAGTACATTTCACTGAAGGATTTGTGTCCAATGCAGAAAATGTGAGATTTGTGGGGTTTTGTGCTTTCCATGGTCAGAAAATGCGGTGCTAGGCACATGAAGAACCTAGTCTGAATAAGTAGGGCAATTGCAGTGCATTCAGATTTTGAGACTCCTTCACGGTGAAGAATCAATTGAAAATGTCCGGATCTCCGAGCTTGTTTTCATGCGTTGTTCGGAATTCCAAAAGATAGTCTACGAACAGCTAATGCGCATTCCTCGAGGAAGCACCAAAAGTTATGCAGAGGTGGGAGGCGATATGCTTACAGTTTCACATTCGAGTAGGATTATTCGAATACAGCATCCCTTGAGGTTGCAAAATCTATGGGACGTCCCACAGCTTGTCGAGCAGTCGCAAGAGCTTGTAGGGACAATGTTCTGGCCGTCGTAATTCCTTGCCATCGAGTGGTAGCTTCAGATGGATCGCTGCGAGGTTATCGCTGGGGAATTGAAGTCAAGAAGAAACTCTTGGAAATGGAGCGAAGGTTTTAGCACGAAAAGTGATATTTCTGATCTCATCGATCACGACAATGCCTTCTTATCTGGTCACTTAGCAGGAGGAGCTTCTCTTATGTTTCTTATTTGTACATTTTCAATGTATTTATGCACTTTTTAAACTATTTTTCTCAATTATATCTCAAATAAATTAGTATATCTATAACATTGTAAAGAAGCATAAAGATTTTGAAAAACTCGTACTTGTGGTCTATAGCAAATATCCAAAAATTTACCGAACAGCACGATGCGTCAGGATGTGTCATGGGCGAAACGGCCGCCAGTTCGCCTTTTCTTTTCTTTTTATTTTCATGATATAAGTTCTTGATTCAAACGATGTTCGTCTTCTAGAAAATCGAAAATTGGTACTCCTTTTCAACAGACAGACATAATTTTCTTGAATTGAAAAAAAGTCCTCAATCAGGTGGAAAATTGTGGATTGAGAACTTAGTGCCGTTACAGGTTGTTAGGTGGTCAGGACATATGGGACCTGGAATCTTAAATTTGTTCGTGGTGATAAAAATCGTTGTTTTTATTTGTTTGTGAGCAGAAATTGTGCGCTTTACAGCATTGTTCCTGATTTGAGTTTGTATGCAACTCTCTGCTTCTAACTTCGGGAAAATTTCCAGAGTAGAAGCAAGAAGGTTACACATCGCATATGACCAGGTCTAGGACACATGGGACCTGGAATCTCAAATTTGTTCGTGGTGATGAAAATTGTTGTTTTTATTTGTTTGTGAGCAGAAATTGTGCGCTTTACAGCATTGCCCCTGATTTGAGTTTGTATGCAACTCTCTGCTTCTAACTTTGGAAAAATTTCCAGAGTAGAAGCAAGAAGATTACTCATCGCATTTTCTGATGAAAGAAATAAAATGCGGGCCTACGATTACACAAAAAAACTAAACACTTCGTAGAAAAAGTTTGTATTTCTTTAGCTCTCACCCTGCTACCTTTTGCTATTTTTAGTGGCAGTAAAAGGTACTTTGACCAATTTCATTCGCTTCTAATTCTCGCATTCTCTCATGACTTTTCACGTTAAGGTATCACTGCTGTGATGCGCATACTATCGGCACATATAGAATACATAACATCATAAAAAAATAATTCAGCTTTCCAAACTGTTTTTAGCGCATGTTTGCTGGTTTCCTGCTTTTCATTTTCAACTCGAGGCATCTCATTGTCAGATTTATTGCATGCGGTTGATGTGGTACCTTTCCTCTTTACAGTTAAAAAATCTAGGACCACCGTTGATGCGAATGTCCCCTCATCTTCCCGCAGTGCAAAAGTGTGCTTTTTAGACTCTCGAAAAAAGCAGGTAGATGTCGAATAGAGCAAATCCTGAACTATGCGGGTGCTTTCAATTCTTCTGATCTGCTGTAAGGAACTGTAAAAGATTATTTCTTTGGAGATGTCGCTTTTTTAGTCTGGCCATGAGAACGCAGCTGCAAAAATAATGAGAAAGCTTGCAAGTTTTTACGAGTTGAAGCTTGATTGCTATTGATAACTTGTTGCAAAACAATCAAGCTTGAGTTGCTCTAAAAAATCCTTTTTGGGTTCTCGTACTTTTATGCCCTACAGGTGCGCAAAAAGCCCAGGTTTTTTCCCAGTTTGTTAATCATTACAGACTTCGGAAATCTGATCTATGTAATCTACAGAAGCATGACGTAGCCAATGGCTTACTCTAATAATAACTATTATAGCTTATCAAAAATATCATGACAATCGTTTTTAGGAATTAGAGAACCAGTGTCACATGTTAAGCTGCTTAGAGAGCCATGGCGATGACATCAACACTGCAGAGATCAGGGAGAATATGTACATACCCTAATCTCACGCGTACAAGGCGCGGGGATTTTTTTCGTACGGCATAGGGATCGCTTTTCGAAATACTTTGGAGCGGCTGAGGGGCTTGATTGAAAAATCGAAAAAGGTGCGCCTTGTACGCGTGAAATTAGGGTAGCTATCAGAAAGAGCATAAAAATTTGAATCAAACGGTGCCCAAGCCATTCATTATGGTTTTTTGGGTTTTGATGATGGATCAAAGAAACCGACAAAGTTCCGGGACAACTTAATATAACACACATTTTTCTTCTTAAATTTCTGATACGAATATGTGTCTGTGAACGAACTCTTTGAGCACTCTGCCCGCTCCAGAAAGGTCACCTTGAAGACACTGACCTTTGAGAGACCCTGGAGGCATAAGTGCTCGAACTGGATCTGCTAGATCGATCGAGTTTCAAATCGCATGCACTCACCGACTGGCATGTGATCGCGTTCAGAAAACAAAGCACGTGCATTCCTGGCTCATCCGTTCCGTGAGATCCCAGAAATTCATCCCGGTCATGAGGGATTACACTGCTCTGCTGCTGCAACATCCTACGGTTAGACCGTTAGCATGCCTTTCTTAGTTGGTGCATAGTTTGTGAGAAGGGAAACTTGAACCTGTTTCAGCATAAAATTCTGTCCAGCTTTTTAGGAGCGTGAAGTTTTCTATATGATGTTTGGTTTGCTTTGGAAATAATTATTGCGAATGCTCTATAATCTCTTTGATTCTTCGTGCAAAGAGATTCTAGAAAACCATCTGAGCTGCAATAAAAACATTTGTTGGGTTACCGTTTTATTTCTACAAAAACCTCCGTAGTTTGAGAAAACAAAAGTTTTGCCGCATTATATCAAATTCTTCTACTTCTCTTTCTTAGCATTCCTCAATAATGTTTGTCTTGTAACGGATAAAGCAATGCTTTCTTTAGCATCAACACAGCTTTTTTGCGGTAGGTGTCAGAGATTGTAGACCATCGAATCTCTCATTTTTGTTGTTTGGAATTGCCTTGTAAGTTCCTAAAATCATTAAAATGTAAAAGAAGTCAGAGCAGTCAATTCCTACATGTGACCGAAACCCTTTTTCTGCATAAGGAGGTAACGTTTGTATGACAGACCCTGCATAAATTCACGAAAACAGATTTTTTAAAAAGCATAATCATAAGCATGAAACAATCATCACATTTTTGATCACATTTGCACTTAATAAAACCCGAAAATTCTCGTAATGGCTATGACTTATTATTTTAGTATCAGGCAGTGATTTCGAAAAAGATACCTTAGAGCTCTTCAATGTGAACCAATCTTTTGGTGTTTTTGATTACTACAGTGCAAAATTGACACAATTTTATGACTTACGCTGTTTTAGAAAGTTTTATGAAAGTTTATCAGTGTAAATTCCAGGATTTTTGCCCTGCACCTCAAGAAATTTGAGAGCCAGTCTTGAAAGCTCCAATCTCAAAACCTATCCTCGAAAATCTTCGATTCGAAAAAAAAACAAGACGTAGAGAACGAACATGAAAATAAAGACCGAAAAAACTAAAAATCTACAATCTAACAAGAATTTGTCTCAATATGCAAAATTTTTAACATCAATTGATTACATCATTTGACGTTTGAGGGAAAAATAACAAAATCAAGCAACAAAACAATCGAAAATCAGTAATCGACCGGAGAAAAAGTAAAGTTTTCCCTTCTTTTGGTATGCAGATTGCAAATGCTGTGCTATCGAGAATGGTTCCTTAATGTGTTTCAGGACAGACCAAAAGGGGACGCTTTGTAATCATCGTCACACTTATCTATCTGTTCCTACTATATTGTCGTCCTATGCGATGCACAAATAATCCCAAATTCTGCCTGCATTATCCTGCAAATTAAAAGATTCAGTTGTGGTATTCTTCAAGGAGAGTATCAAATGCTGTTCGCGGAGGAATTCCATGGGAGGAAAAGAGGAAGTAGATTTCTGAGACAGCTGTTCTGCAAGCACTCTTCGACATCCATTGATTTTGTTGAATCGTGATCAGTTCATGTGATGCTCTGCTCTTCTCATCGCACTCGACGAACTCTAAGTATAGTGTTTTTTGTCGCTCGTTGAACAACTGGGTCGAGTCGATGCATAGCAAACCGTAGCACTTGCTGGATATTTACTCGACACTCACACTCGAATTCCGCACTATCCGTTCGCTAGCGCTCGAAAAAATGTTGGCTAAAGATTTTTGATCGATTCGGGTCCAGATTTACCGATCTATCTTAGAACATCCCACATAGGGCTCAATAATTCTCAAAATAAAAGACAACCATTCTATTCTTTTCATAAATGTTTGCTCCTGCACAATTTTGACCAAATCCTGCTAAAATCGTTCATTTTTATGCCAGCGGATCTTCCAAGCGCTACGCTTTCTACTCTAGACGATTATGGAATGGCTAAAAAGAACTCATGATCTCCACATTAATGCATGTTCCTCATTATTATATTGTCACCTGTTAGTATTTTTTCATGTCTACTCTACCAGTCAAAAAAGTTCTCTTCTTCTGCTCTATCTACGATAAAGGTAGGAAAAAAGAATACTGTTTTGCAAAATGTCAGCTCTGATCTCATAGCCCTATACTATAGCTTAGTATATATTACTCCAAAGTAAATTATTCCTTCCTACAATCCAGAAAGCTTTGAGGCATTTGAGCTCTTCAAGCTCGAATGCTGCGAAGCTTCGAGCAATGACATAATTATGTGAATTACTGTCGAATCAAACCATCCCCATAAAAGGAAGGTGGTGCAGATTTTCTAAGTGTCTTCCTAGTTTCTAATAGCCTTTTGCTGGAACTCTGCTGAATCCATAAGCATAGTTTTCGCTTCTTTTTTCATTTCTCCTTACTATCCATGAAGCGGGAAGAATATGTCTAGATGTTAAATTCTAGAGAATATAGGTTTTGGTTTGCTGAACTGGGGCGATGGCAAGTGCGGAAAATCGCCAGCTGAAACCTCTTACTTATCTCACAACTCGATATATAGCGATTCAGCTTTTCAAGGTAAAGTTCTTACAAGAGTTTCACAGTTTTTTTCGCTTGTTCTCATTTTTTTGACTGATGTTTTTGATCCAATTTTTTCTCAGACAAATATTCGCTGGAGACGAATCACTGATGTAGCATACACCCTACGTGAATTTGTAGACCATCTCAAGCTTCCAGCAAAAGAAAAGAGAGTAAGTTTTTGATTTTTGGTTCGATACAGTATAACGTGTGGATTGTTCATAATTCCACTGAAATGGACAGTAGTAATTTTTCTACTCTAAGCGTGAACTCTGCTAGAATAACTAAAAATCAAATTTTGACTGATTGCTCTTCTGACAAAACAAATTTAGAGTATTCGTACGGCAGTGGCTGAAGTGCTACGAGAAGCTAGACGATGGGGTTTGTTATTTTGCAAAGATATTCTTCAAAGTTGTCTAAAATAATTTTCTTGTTTTCCTGGAGTTATTCTGGAGGTTTGTTCAAATATTGAATTTATTACTGCAGATGAAAAACACGCCGAGATGTTTGTGGAAAGCCCGAAAGCCAAACGACGAGTCATGAATCGAAGTGAACATCTGCGCACATTTTACGAGCATCTTCTCTGGAAGACCACAGCGTAGGAGCTACTTTTCCTCTTTTTTTTGTCCTACAGCCTAGCAGAATTTTTTCTACCGATTTTTTTTTCAGGACAGAAATTGATGACTATGCAACTGCTCGTCATCTCATTGCTACGGATTGCTCGAACTGGCCCCAGATGCAGTTCCAGCTGGCTTGCATGTACGCCGCCACAGACTGGATTGAGGACGATATACGTTTCGATAAATATCGTCGGATCACGTTCAAGTGGGGTTTCATTTCAGCCGAAAATAACTCTGTCGATGTGTTTGGTTGGCCGGATAGCCTTGTTTAAAGAAATACTGCGAAGTTCATTTGAAGAGGGGCAAAAACTTAACAATATAAAACATCTTTTTTGCGCGTATACTATTAGGTCGTTCCGAAAGTAATGTCGCTTTTTTCAAACGGTCGCCACATTTGATGGAACGAAGTTTTCTAAGAGATCTTGGAGGTATTCGACACAACATTTCATTCTCTTTCGAACGGTTCCAGATTCATTGTATCATAGTCACTGAGCTTTTGAAAAATTACCAAAATCTGCGACCCATGCTTTTTAAGAAGGCCATGTTTCACAATTTTTCTAGATTTTTATAACAACCCCCGGAAAGAGTCCAAGTGATGGATGGATAGAGCACACCCTACGGGAAACAACGCAACTTTTTTCTACTTTCCAGAGCTCGTCATAATTTTTGTATTGATTTTTTGATGGAACCACCGAGTTTCAGCAGGCTCTTCTTAAACACAAATGCATCAAACACCAATACTTCGGATTTTGAATCTTGCAAAGGTTGATTATGGTTTGACACTAATTTTACAAACCAAATGAGCATTCACCGCTTCAGATTAGCAACTTTCGAAAATTTCGGGTACAGCCTGGGACGCCTTAAAAAACCTGAATTATGATGTTTTTATCCCGGGAAACTCGATAAATCGAAAACATATAAGCACTGGTAGAAGGAGGAGAAAAAGCTGCGTCAAATGACACCCGAGTTGATTGCCGGTTCTTGTTCTGTGAGCTTTGAGTTGACCAAATATGAAATTTGACGGCATTGAAAAATTGACTCCAGAAACTCAAAGAAGCAAGCTAAGGAAAAGAAAAAATTACTCTGTGTCCTATAGGGTTTGCTCTATCTATCAGTCACTTGTACTTCTTCGGAGGAGAGGTACCAAAATATAGAAAAATAGCCGACCCTAACCATGGCAAAAAGCATGAGTCGTAGATCTTGGTAATTTTTGGAGAGCTCATTGAATATTATGCAACGTAATTACAATCATTAGAAAGAGCATAAAATGCTGCATCGAAGGCTCTCAAGATTTCTTGAAAATCTTGATTCCGTGAAATGTGGTCTTCGTTTGAAAAAAGCGACATTACTTTCGGAACGACCCAATATTATACTGGCAGTGCCTTTGTTAACACTCCACTAGCTCAATTGTTTTCTAACATCGATTCCAACTCTTTCAGAATGAAAAACTCATTTATAATATAAGTAGAAGCATACATCTGCGCTTTAGAGGAATAGTTTATACGCTTTTTCATTGTATCCATAACTCCCATTATTGCCGTCCCCCAAAAAAGTCTCTTGGAATTGTCAGCTCAATTTCTTATTTTTCGGGGCCAGTTAATCTGTTTCGCAGAAGTGCTGCCAAAAAAATCTGCGAGATGACCACCCTAGAATCGTTGAAAAGATGTTAAAATGTTATTTGTTGATAATTGATTTGTGGAAATTTATCAAAAATATTAATTCACTATGAAGATCACTTTATATGAAAAAAAATGAGAGATGAAACGGAGGTACATCGATTATTTTTTTTCTTGGAATTGAATTTATATTTCATTTGAAAACCATAACCATTTGTGAAATTATTCGATCAGCTCGAATTCGTCGTCATGGGTTTGAAAAATCATGTCGCTGAATATCCCGGATTTGGACCTTTGCGGATTTTTTGCCAACCACTTTTGGACATTTCACGACTTTATCTCCTATCGGCTCCTAACTGTGCAATGATGCTCATTACGAGTCATAAGTTATTCTATGGTAAAATCTTGGATACATTAAAAATCGCGTGAAAACTTTTCTAAATTCTACCGAAAAGAATGACGTGAAATTGCGGTCCAACTTGAAATCCGATAGAACATATGGTATTCGGCTAATGTCCATCTTATGCGATATAGCGAACATTGGATTGAAATAAAATAACAGAGGCTAATAGGAAATTTCTTTATCTATACAGTATATATAGCTCTGGTTACCTTCATTTCTGATCTGATTTATTGGAAAAACAGAAGCAGCCAAGGTTCTCCATTCGTTTTATTGCTGATCGTTAATTGGCTTTCTTGCAGAAAACAATTGTCGGATCATCCTGTTTACGACTTTTGGCTCACTCTTTTAGAAAGTAATTGGGAAGTGTTCTTCGATACAGGTAAGCTTGGAAATTTTCAGTAGATACCTCCATCAGATATCTGTGTAAAATCGTCATTAGCTTCAATTCTGTTTTCATTTTTTAGAGACGCGAGTACCAAACCAGAAACTCATGCAATGTTTCCAATTTGCCATTCGTCATGGCTATTGTCAACTGGTCGAATACATATGGGACAGGATCGGTGACAATACAAGAGAATACATAGGTATTCTTACTGTCACTACCATTTTTCTGGTTTTTCAGATCAAGCATGCACCAAACAGCGCGCAGGAAAATTCATACACGTTTTTGTCTGGGGAATGAGGGAAAACAAAACACTGACTATGCCAGCTCGTACATTCTCTCAAATCCTTAATAAACTCTTGCTCATTACCGCACTTGTCCACTTGCACAAATTAGCGCTTTTGAGTACGGTATTGGGTCACAGATGGATTTATACGCCGCAAATGAATTTCATGAGCTGTAGTTTGGATAATATTAGGTTGAACCGAAAGTTCCCGTCGCAAAATTTTCAGAAAATCGTAACTTCTTCCTATTACAAAGTTTCTGCATGGCTTTGATTTGTTAGAAAGGGTAAGCCGTGCACTTTCTACTGACATTTTGTCCACTCTCGAGAAAGCTTGAATGCAGAGCTCATTTCAGGTTCGTCGATTTCAGACAAGCCCTTTGAAAACCGAAAATTTGCAGTAAATCCAAAAAAGCTGGCGTTATATGTTTTCTGACCTCCTCTTTCTAAGTAAGGAAACTTTGTGCTGGTTGAACCTTTTCTGAAAAGTATGATCTTCCCAAAAATCAGACTCTTAGTTCTAAAAAATTTCAGAAAATCGTTCGATCAGCGCAAACTTTGCCTATCCAGAAAGAGGAGGCCGAAAGCTTATGATACTCAATGTTTCGGATTTTATTGCACAGTTTTTGATTTTTCCAAAACACTGCATCAAATCACTGAATGTGAAGTGTTTTTTTCCATTTTTATCTAACAATAAGCATTCTAGAGAGTGGGCAAGGTGTCAGCCAATTGTGCACGGCGTACGCTTCTTAACAAAAAGCTATGCGGAAACTTTGTGGAAGAAGTTACGGTTTTTGAAAATGCAACCGAACATTCGGTTCAACGCAATAGCTTGATCAAAATTTCATTAATCCTTGTAAGAATTACAGGTGTTTGAATGTCGTCCTTCAATAGTACTACGATATTCCCTAGGTCTCCTCCAATGGCGTTCGCTTTGTTTTCGTACAAGAGACAGAGACACAATGCGCTTCCTGTGCACCAGATTATGCTCAATGAATCCCGTGGGAGTGGCTAGGATCTCATGGACCGCATTCTTTGATACATTCTACAACTCAGTCAACGTGGGATTATGCACGAAATTGAGGCCAAAAATTGCTCTGACTTGTAACTCATTGCAGAATGAGCAAAGTGACATTGTTGTGGAGCACAAGTTTCGAAAGCGTTTGGAGTTTTTGATTGAAAATTGTTGTCCTGAACTTAGGAAGCGTCTGCTGAATATGGAAAACTTCAGGTAAGTGAGTCTTGCACTTCAGCAGATCGAACGTCCGTTTACTGTATTTGTCCCATATTCCTCCTAGACAAATAGTCAATTGCTTTGCAAAAAATTAGGCAGCGTGTCTGAGTATCAGTTTTTTAGAAAATTTTTGAGGGAACCATAACCAGAACCATACTTGATAAAGATTGCACTGACCAAGAGATTCTTGAGCAAAGTATGGGAGAGAACTCAAAATTGGTTCTTTTGGCCACGACTGAAGCGCATGATCTGCTGCGCGTGCAATGGTTCAAAAATCTCGCTAGCACCCAAATTTGCCTAAAACTGCCTACAGCTTAAAAATTCTGTGGGATTACTTGTGATTGCAGCTTTGACAATCCACTAGTCAAACTAAATTCCCTTGACAAAGTACTTTCATGTTCAGGATAGTCTCCGATGCTTTTCGTTACAATCAAAATGAGACATTTGCGTTTTTATTGAAATACATGGATGGTGATCAGCTAAGAGATGCCAGGTGAGCTACCCAGCATGGGAGAGGGGGGAGGGGGGAAGTTGCAGATTATCATTTCGGAAACTCTTTTAGAGAAGTGATTGATCGAATTCACGACCGGCTAAAAAACGCAAATGGAGATCGCCTCCGCCATGTGATGATCCGTCGGCAAATGACTATCGACTAAAATTCATATTTCATCGATGAGTGCAATGCTTTTCACTCAGTTCTCAAACAACTCCCGTGATAATTCATCTACATATATTTGTTGTACATAGTTTATGTAGTCAATTGAGCTCTAGTTCCAAAGATCTCAGCGCAATTAATCACGGGTTAGCAATGCTTTGCAAATTGAAACAATTGATTCGTCAATGAACTGGTATTATTTTGGTGAATAAATATATTTTTTCTCATTGTTGATACACAAAAAGCTGCACTAAGTATTTTTGAGGATGAAGCCTTTGACGACTCCGGCAAGCCACTCATGTGCCGCAGCATACTGTAGTGCAAAACGGCCGCAGCGTGATTTTCAAATCAGATGAGCTAATAGAAAATGCGTTTTATGTTTGTTCCAAAAAGAATCTCTATTTCTAAAGTTTTTTAGCGTTCCTTAAACTGCGCCTGGACTTTTGTGTCAATGAACAGATGATTTTGACCAATACCAACATTTTTGAAGACTGTTGCTTATTGTAAAGTTTTACAATTGTAATCTAGTTTCGGTTTTGCTCGTTGACAATGTGATTGTGTTCTAATGACATGGACTTTTTGGCTACTTGGCTGTGTCTTGCGTTCCATCCGTTCCTTGCTGCATTGTTTCAACTCTGGCCTGAAAAGATGAGGTGAATTTTGAGTTTTGCCACACAATTAGATACCTGTGTCTGGTCTGTAGCTGGTCTAGTCGATCTGCTATAAATCTTCTGGTCTTTCTTGTCCGATTCCGGAGAAGAAATTTTCTGCTAAATAGAGGCAACATGAAGGAACCAGTTTAGAATCCATTGATGAACTTGCTTTCTGTGGTTTACGCGGAATATCATCGCATGCAAAGTCGAGACGTTTCTTCATAGCAGGCGTGATCATGATCAGGTTGGAATTGCTGCCTTTATCATTTCTGTAGGGGGGCTATCGTATTGCCAAAGTAAAAGACAAATCAGCCTTTCTTACCGAACTTTCTGGACATCTTCAGCCGTGATGATACTTGAAATCAACTGTCCGTTCTTCCGCTTCGCATTTGGCCTGAAACATGACCTAAGTTCCTTGACAGCAGCAAGGAAGCTTTAGGGAGGTGTCCTGATCAAAATCAGAAGATGGAAGAGAAAGTTGATGTGGGTTAGTAGGGGAATCAATCGTTTTGATTGAAGTAAGACACCTGAACGACCGCTCTCATAATAGCATCAGATCCTCCAACTTTTATACTGCTGGATATTCAGAGCAGAAAAGAAATAGTAAGCTAATCTGACCCAGTTAAGTCACTATGTAGGATGAATACCCTGCCAAAATCAAACATTTATCTCAAACTGAAAGCATCTGTAAAAACTAGTACTCAAACATCTCTATGACGGTTTTGTTTAGTAGTATGCTTGTTTTCTATAATTCCTACATACATTTTTGGCGGATTTAGATTATTTCACGGCATTCCTCAGGTCCCGCCCTAATAAGGACGGTGAAATGAAGCCAAACTTGTAATGTAAAAAGATCCAAATAATTCTTTCAATTTTAATTTTTACCAAACAACGTAGAATTACAGTTTTGTTTCCAAAAAGGCTAAGTTAGATAAAATGGATGGGAAAAGGATTTTGAGTTCCAAGTTAGAAGAATTTGGGAACATTTGAATAATACTATTTCTTCGATTAGATGGGCCAACCTGAAGGTAAGAAGTACAGGAAGCAATTCTAAGTACTGGTTTGAGATCAGGCAGCATCTACAATTCATTGTGGCCTAGTAAATTTCAGACTATCATTCAGTTCCATACAATTTCAAGCGGAGCAATCCGCGTCCTCAAAGGCAGCTATCAAGGTTTTTTTTCATTCTGCCGAGCCACTGATTTTTATCACGGTACTGGACGAGAGTGCGAAGTCCAATTCCGTCAAGCAAGCTTATGAGCTGCTCAGACAGAGTTGAGGGCTCCTATTTACAGAATAGCAGCTGCCCAGACTCGCTTGAGAACCTCCGAGACGTCACAATTGCATGCATTACCGGGATTCGAAATGAGTAATTTTCTTAGAATTGACTTACTGAATAATCGAGTCAAAAGCTTTATCCTTCAGCAGTTCTGGACCCCACAATCGCTCTTTCGGCCTATACACAAGGATTTTCTCCAACAATGCAATCATCTGCTTATCCGCGTTCGGGCAAAGCTGAAAGAAAACTGTAATGCTCTTAACATATAAAAAAGTGTACATAAGAGAGCAGACCTTGCTCAGACCTTGGCCAACAATTACCCTGCCGTCGAAGCGAATTCGTGTAGGGACTCGCATCATGCGAATGTCTTCCTCTGTAGGACTACCAATGCAAGTGAATATCAACTTCAGTTGGTGCTTTCCGTTGCGGCCAGGAAAGATTACATTTCCCCGCATCATCTCACCCACTACACATCCGGCGGACCATAGATCTAAATTCAGTTCATTTATTGCAAAGTGAGCTTTACAACTTTGACACACCTACTGTCCAGTTGTAATATTCAGCACCTAGTAGTAGTTCTGGTGGTCGGTAAAATCTCGTCACCTGAACGATTCAAGTAAAGTAAAGACGGAAGCTTTCATGGAAATAAACTGTGTCAACGTCCATTCTATCAAATCACAGGCTATCAAAAGTTCTTTTTGTAGATATGCTTATTTTCACACTTGTAGATTTTTCGTTTGGGATTTCTGCCTCCACGACTATCGATAGAGGGCTGACTCCTATTGCTTTACTTACTACTTGGCAAAAAATTGATTTTTTTCACGATTTGCTTGTGATAAGCTGCAGAAGCACTTAAAAGCAAACCTGATATGCAGTGGATTTGGTTAGCCTAGTGACGACTTTTGCCGAACCGAAATCTCCGATTTTTAATAGTCCATTGGCGTGATCTAGCAAAACATTCATCGGTTTAATATCACGGTGAACAATCTGGTACTGAAAGTGTTACAAGTGCGATTATTTATTACTTGTTTTAATTAATATTTTGCTCTCACCGCACTGAGATAACGCAGTCCACTAAAGAGTTGCCATGTATAAATCTTAATATCTGTGGTGTCAAGTTTTTCCTTTTTAATAATTGAAGCTAGTGTGTCAGGTAAAAAATCAAAAACAAATGATTCACATATCTATAAGAGAATCTGATTGGGCAAAGTAAACTTAGAAAAAGGCTTTTCTTACTTCTTTCTTGTGCTTGCCTACTTTATTGGAGAATGCAAACAACATCTGTACAATATTTTTATGCCGTATTCGGCTTATACCAGTTAAGAAAATCATTTCGAAGTTCCTTTCTCGATTCTCTAGAAGTTTAAAATTGCAGAAGCTACTGTTGAGGGTACGATTTCACCTGGCCAGGTCTTTTTGATAGCTATCTCTCGCTGAGGAGCCGGCTCTAGCAGTGTTCCACTGTAAAAATTCTTCCTTTTGACAAATAAAATATGTAAGGCTTAATTACGTGCTAGGAGAGTTTGCTATAGAAGAGCGCGCCTTTCAGCCAATCGAGCTGAAACAACGTGCACATAGGCCTTCGATCCCCGCACAAAAACAGGCTACTTTTCGGGGCAATTCACTGGGCCCTTTTGTCGATTTATTGATTTTTGGCACGTTTCATAAACTGAGTTTCTATCAGTCGCTGATAAGTCTTTCTACGACCTTGTATGATCGGCAGCACTAGAACCTATAGAGCAGAAATGGCCGAGAGGTTGGTGCTGTTGACGACGGCGAGGAAAGTTTGTTGTCATTCAATTTGGCGGCGAACATAACTTCTTGGGCAAAGTTCTGCGCAGGCAGCGCCAGTCTTCCCATTTATAAGCAGGCGACAAGCCGGTTGAATAATACAACGATCGCATCAATATGGCCTGTTTATGTTTCTCCAGAATCTCTAAGTAAACGCTATTCCGTCGCTCTGAGGCGACGCGCATTCAGCCCGACGGATGCGAACAATAGGCTGGAGTTTCCGCCTCAACAAGGTGAACGGGAACGGCTAAAGTAGATAGTTCACCAAAGGCACGGATACGAGTTCTCAAAAAGTCTTTGTTTAGCAACATTTAAAGCGGGATCTTTGAAGCAATACCTCGCAAATTGGCAGATCTTCTCAGAAGGCATAAGGATGACGTCACCTGCATTCAAGACACAAGATAAAAAGAAGGGAAGGTGAGGAACATAGATGACGGCTTCAAGCTTCTGTACCACGCAACGTAGGCGTTGGCATATTGGTTTGCGAAGCACTGACACTGCACTTGTGAGAGATAGGATAACTAGCATTGATCGAATAGTCAGGCGTCTCATGAACGACTAGGAATAGGATGAAAAGATGCTGCTATTCAAAGCAGACCTTCGATGGCAGCGATCGGGCAGAAGTGGTGAGGACGAGTTTTTTACCCAGTACACAAGTAGGCTCCCTTATCCAGGCATCTTTCCAAGCGCGATGTCATTATGATAAAAAATTTCTAAAGAATTCCCTCCATAGCTCTTCCGATGGCCCACCAACGAGCCACAATTGTGTGTTGATTCCGATCGGGACCATCAAGCACCTACTATTCACACTATGATTGAAAACCTTGCTCTCTTACTACAATCAGTATCGTCCGGACTTCTTCATAGAGGGTGCAAAATCCTGTTTTCTACCGTTTCAAGCAATTTGGAGCCATCCTTGTTTAGCGCGACAGCAAGACCCAATTAAGACAGAAATCGTAGGTTGCCGCCTTGTCCGGACCTGCTCTTAACGGACATGTAGGAGAATGGCAATATTGTTCTTTGAATAGGTAATGAAATTATGGATGAAACACTTGACGACAGTGGGCAACTTATACTGGAGTTCGCACGGCTCATGACTCGGTAGCCAAACACACCACATCAAGATGGTCGACCTCGGCGAGTGTGCCAGTGGAGACCTCAGTATACCGCACAGTAGTTCGTCCAACAGTGCTACACGGGAGCGAATGCTGACTGCACATAGAAGTATGAGAGGAAGATTGCTGTAAGGCCTCGGGCAGAGTTCATGCGATTTGATCGTTGCGATTGATCGCGACAAGACAATATGACGATAGTAACAATATCATTGCGTGCTGATCTTCTTCATTTCGGTTGTGATAGTTTTCCAACACGACTAGTCGTGTCTAACTATCACAACCGACATACAAGAAGATCTGCATACAGTGAACTCGTGACACTTGTCTTGTAGCGAATAAAATAAAATAATAATAACGATAAAATCGCGTGAACTCTGCCTGAGACCTAATGGAGACATACTACGATGGATTAGTCACGATGCTTGAACATATCCGAACAACACCGTAGGAAGCATGGTGAAATTCGCATCGGTTATCAAGAAGATGCAAGAACAACGCCTTCTGATGTGGGCACGTAATGCGAAGAGAAGAAGCCACATAAGCAGACTAGCCATGCCGGTACAGCTGCCGATAATCATTGAAGAACAGTGCTCTACTGTTTCTCTGCTTAGTGCTTCGTTTTCAATTCCCAGAATATCCTGAATTTTCTTCAAGTTAGATTGTGATTTGAATCTTACCGATAAACGTTGCTAAAGACTCCACTGGCGTGCAAGTGCAAGTTTGTCATCTTCAAAATCACTGTTTTCATTTCAGGCATCTCCTTGGCTGGCTGAAACATGCGTAGTTAATAAGGTCTTCATTCGTTGTCGCAACTGCCGCCACCTGCTCGACGATCTGTGGGTCGCCCATACAGAACAGAACTGCAGGCAACATAGGCCAGCTTTCAACGAGAGTAACTCGCATGAAGGTTCTACTCCTTTTATATTGCAGCAAGCAGATAAGCCTTGTATGTAAATGATTGCAGTAAATATCGTGTCTACTTTATCATCGCATTTCTTTCATCCACACTCTATGGATGGGTGTGGGGTTTATGAAGCAAAGCTGACACAGCCGCGTTGCACATAACCTGCAACGGCACCTATCGTCGTCTCCCCGCGATAGATGGGGCGTGTCGTCTGCAAAGTCCGTAAATGTGCGTGTTTCGTACGGCGTGGCTTTGCCAACGTTTGCCAACGTAGGCGCGTGGCAGTTTTTGGCAGTTAGAGAGTACGAAAACTAATGTTATATGATGGAGATTTAACAAGTATTTAGACGTGGCATGTACCCTCGATATCATCCCATATGTCTTCCCTCAACATGACGTGGATTACCTGGCTTGATGAGGCGCCGCCTCGCCTCGGACTTGCGCCACGTTGCGTGCGCATTTTCGGCGTGATGTGGCAACAAGAAGAAAGTGGAAAAACCTGCGCCACTTTGTGTTGAGCGCCACGTCGCGCCAAATGATTCGCTTGCAACGTGGCGCGAGCCCGAGGCGAGGCGGCGCCTCATCAAGCCACGTAATCCACGTCATGTTGAGGGAAGACATATGGGATGATATCGAGGGTATATACATGCCACGCCATGGCTAATACCGTACGAAATACGCATGTCTACGGACTTTGCGACGACGATACTTGCCATCTCACAAAGAAACTGTTATAATGCGCGATCCATCGTGACTGAGAACAGAATTTGTTCAAAATAACGAGGAAAATGCTAGATTGATCAAAGAAGGAGAAAAGCGCTAGATTAGTAAAGGTTACATTTTCATCAAATCACGCTGAAGTTATGGATATTGTAAAGAGTGAATACGGTTGAACAGCAAACCAGTTGACTCCGCTTTCGAAGTCTCAGCAAGTTTCAAAGTCTTGCATTTTCAAGTACACCTACCGTAAACACGCCAACGAAGCTCTAACATGTGGAATGGGTGTAATTTTCGCACTCAGGATGTCGATTTCTGTACGCTCTGTCCATTACTTGCGACAATTCTATTTCTTCTGGCGTTTCAAAAGCGTCATTTTCAAACATGATTGCTCAAAACACTCAATCCACAATCCAGCACTCTGTGCTAACGAATGACATCGAACCTTGCTGAAGAAACACCGGCAATTCGGTAATAAAGTCATGGGGTTAGACACAAATCTTCCAAAGGTCAGGCTGCCGCTTTCGTAGCCTTTGCCTGACCCATTCAATATGCACCTTGCAACGGAATACTTCGTAAGCGATAAGGAACGGCGCATCTACAGGGGATTCCAATCTGAGTGTTACGGTCAGGTCGTCTCTCGCTGTGTTCGCCCTCAGAGGAGCTAAAGGCTGCTGCATGAGGAAGGCGCAATATCTTTGGGCGCGAATGCGGCTTTATTAGCCGCAGAGCGCATAAGGCACAGAAATTACAACGGAGGATACGCGCGCGCCGCGGTCGCGCCCGCTTAATTTATACTGCTTCTGCGCCTTCGTCAAGCAGTAGCTTTTATTTTCCCACGCCTCACGCTTGGGCAAATACCGTATCCGTGGCGCTAGTCTTCTTATCAACGGCTCCTTTTCATGCTTCTATGTGTTTACAAGACAATCGGGACGTTCTAGTGTATTTCATTTTTGAGTGAATGCTGCAGGTTGCGTTCCTCATTTTCACTTCGTTCTCTATCAGTGTAGATGCATTTAGCGTCGATTTCTCAGATGAAGATGGTGCAGTGCTATAATTACCACTGAAATTCCAGAAAAGCGAAAAATCGACTTACAGGGCCGTTTGTCCCCATTGCCACAGAGCAATTCAAATCATTTCTTGGTCGACATCAAACAGAATGTGAAAAATATAGACATCAGTGCAAACGAGTGGGTTATTCAATTACCAAGGAACTAGCAAAAATGTTCTTACATACGTAGTTCATAAAGTGCTTCTGCAATTGCAAAGATCAGCTAATATTCGCAAGTGCTCTAAATGATGCGGCTGAATTTCTGACTGAGGAGCAGCGTAGGGAATCTACGTCCGTAAAGGTAGAGATCTTCTCAGTTTTCCGTTCGGAATAATAATTCTTCAGACAAATGCTTGTGTGGGAATGTATGCATATTGCCTTTCTGTCGACTTCTTCACACTGAGGAGAATCCTCAGGCTAGAAACACCAGACGCATTCTAATAATTGATGTGCAGCATAGCTTATTATTTCACATTCAGTCATTTTACTTGAGTTTACAACTAATCAACAGCTTAATAAACTGTTTTGATTGTTGGTTTGTGCACAAATCATAATTATTGTGCCCAAAGGTTGTGTCGTTGTTTGCTTTGCGCATTTTCGGTAGTTCAGTTCAGCTCACTGATAAAATTAGAATTTGGATGTTGCGTGGTGGTTTCTCTATTGACATATGTGCTTACGGTAAGATACGGAGACTACATTTCATTTCGAAGATCGGCGTCTCCGCTTACATTCCAGAATGGGTTTGTGTTCTCCGCATGGCTACTTGGATCGATTCCGAAACTCCAAAAATCTCCTTTAGGGTGATCAGGCTTAATCATCAACCCAATTCATGACTAAAAATACCAAAATTCTTGAGAAAAACCCATATGCAGAAATTACAGCGAAAGGTCTGTCCCATGCTATTGTATTTCTTTCTTTCCATAGCTGAACAAGATTTTCTGAACCATGAAATGCAAGTTTCTCGAGCTCCGCTTTGATATGACTTAACAGTACTTGACAATAGAATTTAATATGATTTTCAAGCGGCTTTATATTTCCTATCAGACACTATAATCATTCTTACTTCTACTGTTTGCGAGTATGCACAATCGTCTTAGTGGCACCTTTTCACTGTTCTTATCAGTACTCTAGTTCTTCATTTTGTTCGTTGATCTGATAAAAGACGTGTTAGTATTCCTAATCTATAGTTTTTTCTTGTTATAATCGCATTCCTACTACTTTATTTGCCTCTCAAGATAACATTTCCTTTGCAACTTCATTGATCACCGATGTAGCTTCCGTGTGCTGAAGCTTCAACAAAAGCTCTCGATTTCTTTGTATTCAATGCTGTCAAACCTATCATCTGCTAGGTTTTTCAACTTCGATATTTCGATACTTGATGAGGAATGAATAACAAACGAGACAGTGTCATTCCAAGTATTCACGTAAGTTATTTTTTTCTGATCTTAATTGATAGATGGGCGTTGGAAAAGTGCATAAATTTAGCTTGATACATAAGTCCTATTAAACTTACAGGAAGCTTTTCAGAACCTACCGCTGAAGAGGGTTTTGATTTACGGGGATTGTTATAGGTTTTTGTTATCTTCTTGCTACACGAAATATCCAACTTCTGCGAATTACAGAAAGTTTCAATATTGGTAAATTTCCGACTTGCTCCACACAGCTTCAATATCCGAGTTGCTCGTACGCAGTTGCTTCACAAAGCCTTTAAAAAAGGAAGAAATGGAAGATTTTTAATGACTCCATGTACAAATGAAAAATGGAGATAAAATTGCTATGTTCATGGATGGGCACGTTTTTGTCCTTTCTCTATGTCCCAAGTATGAAACTTTGCCGAAGATTCTATATTCCAGAATAAAAAAGTGTAACAATACAATAAAAGTTGCAGTTCGAAATCTCACCATTTATGTGTTCCGGATTTATTCTGCATTTTGAAGTGATTTACGTGATATTTTACGTAATATAAAGGTAATTTTCCACTTCTGACTACCAGTATCACAAGATGCTGGCGCAGTCTTACTGATAACTATGGACAATGAAATCATTCTCTTTGCACTAATGAGTGACATAATGAAAGATTGATGCGCTTGCGCAAATATCGAATGATTTTTCTTTTTTAGAAAGCTCTGGAGGATGCCAGAAAAGGCCAGGTGGTCATAGATGTGCCAAACGCTAGCGATGCTGAACTCGAGAATCAAACTAAACGTAAACGCCATCGGATGAGAAAAAATAGCGGTAAGTAACCGAGAAATTTTTGCGGCGTGATTCTTGTCTGAATCTGCAGCAGATCTACCACCAATGATGACTGCTCCAAGACATGTGCACGGTGGAGACTGGAAGGATATGCTTTACATGACGAATTTACGGAGGAAAAAAGTGAGAAGAACATATCTCTGACACATCAAAATAGCCATTTCTTGAATAATACTGCTCAAAAGAAAAGGCTTCTCTCACTTTTTTATTTTCAGCGCGGAAATTCGGAAGCGAGCCAGTCTTCGACCTTCAATACTATACGCTCAAGAGCTTCTACATCTTCAGTGGTTTGTTCACATCAGATTCAATTCCAGGTTTTTACACTCCAGATTCTAGAAAAGTGGAAATGCATGGATTGAGCGCAAGATCAAGAAACGGGAATGCTGCAAATTTGTTCCATCTCAGAAGTATAGCACTAGGCAAGATCAATCCCTCAGAAGATTTTTTCCATCTGTAGAATTTGATAAATTCAGATGTGGTTGCGGAATGGCAGAAGCTCAACATCCACAGGAAACTCGAAAACCTCTGCAACCACACAAATTTCTGACACTCCCAGGAGCAGATGATGAGACTACGAACGAATCCGACAGTCATGAGCTGACAAAGGTCTGCTTGCTGCTCTCGTTGATTCTAGGAATTCAATGGTCCCATAATTTCAGAGTGGACGAAAAGCACATGGGCTAAGATGGACAATAGCAAAGAATACACAGCTGACACCAACAAACTCATATGGAACGATTGTGTTTGAAGGTTGGTGTCGAATTTGCGTTATAAAAATGTTACAAAATAATAGCACAAAAGTAAGAATCGCCTAATTATAATCTCTGCTACTCTCGATTTCAACTGCTCATTCGCTCAATGAAATAGGTTTTCTTGATTGAGTGGGAATTATAGTGAACTAGCTGGCTTACCCGGCTCCGCCGTATCCGGACCAAACTTGGCACACATACACTTCGGGCCCCGGCGGGTGTCACAGTCCACTTTTCGTTATCGATCGATGTCGATTTTACCGATTTTTATCGATTTTTTTGCAGAGTTCACCTACAGGGCTAGGAGTTGGCACAGGGGGGGAAGTGAGCATGGGGATTCCGAATACAACATTAGTTTTCAGGATCGTCCATAACTTTTATCGATTTTATCGATTTTTTTTGTAAAGTTTGACCTGCGGGGCTGGGAGTTTGCACAGGGGGGTAATCGAGCATGCTGATTACGAACACAATATTAGTTTTCAGGATCGTCCATTACTTTTATCGATTTTATCGATTTTTTTTGTAAAGTTCGACCTGCGGGGCTGGGAGTTTGCACAGGGGGGTAATCGAGCATGCAGATTACGAACACAATATTAGTTTCCAGGATCGTCCATTACTTTTTCGATTTTATCGATTTTTTGAAAATTTGAGCTAGGGGGCTGGAATTTGGCACAGGAGTGTAATCGAGCATGCTGATCACCCCCTTGGGGGTGATCAGCATGCTCGATTACCCCCCTGTGCCAACTCCCAGCCCCCTAGCTCAAACTTTGCAAAAAATCGATAAAATCGATAAAAGTAATCGATAATCCCGAAAACCAATATTGTATTCGGAATCCCCATGCTCGATTAACCCCCTGCGCGAACTCCCAGCCCCGTAGCTCAAACTTTGCAAAAAAATCGATAAAATCGATAATCCCGAAAACCAATATTGTATTCGGAATCCCCATGCTCGATTAACCCCCTGCGCGAACTCCCAGCCCCGTAGCTCAAACTTTGCAAAAAAATCGATAAAATCGATAAAAGTAATCGATAATCCTGAAAACCAATATCGTATTCGGAATCCCCATGCTCGATTACCCCCCTGTGCGAACTCCCAGCCCCGTAGCTCAAACTTTGCAAAAAAATCGATAAAATCGATAAAAGTAATCGATAATCCTGAAAACCAATATTGTATTCGGAATCCCCATGCTCGATTACCCCCCTGTGCCAACTCCCAGCCCCGTAGGTGAACTCAGCAAAAAAATCGATAAAAATCGATAAAATCGATATCGATCGATGACGAAAAGTAGCCTATGACACCCGCCGGGGCCCGTAGTGTATGTGTGCCAAGTTTGGTCCGGATCGGTTCAGAAATGGAATTTTCTATTCGGAACATACGTACACACATACATACATACAGACAGACATACATACATACATACAAACAGACATTCAGCTTTATATATAAGATATCAATCAACTACTGATAAATTGTATTGAATCCAATTTTTGCGGCTTTCTGATGGGATGTGGCGCTTTGACAAAAATGCACAGAACTCTTACGTTTTGTCTTAGAGTTATATTCAGGAGGTGAAAGGATACTCGAGTTATGAATTTATGCAAATAGCTTGTTACTGATTAAAATTAACTATACAATTTCGTAAAATTTAGAAAATCGAGTCAGCCTTGTAGGCGGCTTTCTTTGTGAGATCTTATCGCACAAGCTCCCAAAGTTTAAGACATTTCAGAGAATCCGAACTTTCAATCAGCAAAATTTCCGTTACGGTTCCCTTCCCCTTCCTTCAGAAAAATTTGCTTCACGGCTACTGATATATTCATCTTATTGTCATAATTATTTGTCTTTATGATCTGTTTTCCTTATTGAAGAAAAAACGTTGGCTCCGTCGTGTATCGAATTTATACCGATTTCAGGATGTGCTCATCAAGCACGAGCGCAATTCGTTCGTGCCAGTTTTGACACAGACCCAGCTATTCTCACTGACCTTCTGGAAAAAGTTTGGAAATTACCTCCGCCGAAACTCATTGTGACCATACATGGCGGACTGACTGAGTTCGAGTAAGTTCCACTCATTCCGTAAACTGCATTCTCCCATAGCATTACATATTCTGACTTTCCTATCTGTCATTATTATGCACAAACTTTCCTTTATCGTCTCCTTTCAGTGTAATTGATAAACAATAATGCGTCATTGAATGACCAAAATGCGTCATATCGCTGTTGCCATAAATTACCAGCCTGATCTTCGCTTGAATTTATGATCACTATAAGTTCGTTATCGCTTTTTACGGCGTGTTAAGATAACGGCTTCGGAAACGCAAGTGAAGAGGAAAAAGTGAAATGTTATACAGAGTGTCCCAAAAAGATGTGCACACTGTTTGATCGTTAATAACTCCCTTTTGATGTCTTTTGCCGATCCTCATGCACCATTCTGTAGAACGAGGTTTAACTTAGATTTACAGTTTGAGCGAATCACCAATTACTCTTTATACTGTAGGATTCCGGTATGAACTTTCAGCATACAAGCGTCACAGTGAAATAGGCCTCTTGATGAATCTGCAAATTCGTGTAGCAAGGTTTTTAGGTGTGCTGATTTCATTATACAACTTTTTACCAGTTTTTCGAGCGTTCTTGATGGCGTAATCACGTTTCTGACGAGCATAGGGAAAACAGTTGTTACCTTAAATTTGAAATAACTTATGAAAGAAGCGCTATACCGAAATGCAAATTTCATATTTAGAATCAGCGACTTCGGTTGGTTCAGTTTAAGAGTTTCTGGCTTGTTTGGCTTTCTTTCTATGGTAAAATATCGCTTAAAATGGCCTAACATCCTCCTCGACGTTCCTAGTAATCCTAGAGTAATGAAGTGTAATTGATAATTCGCTCCATACTGTAACTCTAAGTTGAACCTCGCTCTACAGAATGGTACCTCAAATCTGGCAAAAGAAAAGAAAACAAAAAGGTTATTAACGATCAAACAGTGTGCTCATCTTTTTGGGACACCCTGTATATGGCTTAATTGAAAAGTTCAGAGACAACGTATTAGTCGACTCAACTTTTTGCAAGTTTTATTTGATAAGTTATCATAGCATGACCGTATTCATCGAGATAGAAATCCCAATTTTTCTCAATTTGTTCTTTATTGTTAAATCTCCATTCGTTCTGAATGAATGAAATTAGGTTGGCGAATAATTACACTTTCTCTGTAAAATTTCTTTAAAATTCCAGAAGCTTCCTAAAATCTTCATATTCGTCTCATACATGGGACAGAATAGGTCCACCCACTAGCATGGCTGGTGTCGCAAATGCACAAATAGTCAGCAAGTTTATGACACTTTTATAAACACAGTCAAGATTTTCGTTTGTTTTTCTTGATTTTTCTCTTGAGTCTAAACGTGTTTTTCTTTCGTGGATTTTGCTTGAATTCATCTAACAATAAGTACTGTCTCTTTTATAGCATCGCGCAGTCGCTAGCGTTCCAAAAACGAGGGGTGATAGATATTTCAGAATCAGAACATGTCGAAAACTTTTTTATGCATCATGTAAGATCTGATGCGGAAAGACTTAGAATAGTTTACTTTAGTAAAAAATGTCTTCTATGTCAAAATGCGATTGTGCGCCAGTGGAACTTTGCACCCATTTAATAGCTTGAACTTGAGATTTGTTGAATGCTTCTTATTACTTCTTATTTTTTCAAGAAATAAAATCAAAATTGTCACAGAAATTACCTGCCAACCTACCATTTTTGTAGTATCTGTCTTTCTTACTGCTATGATCTGCAGTACATGGCAAGACAAAACTTATTTTCTTGTGTTGTTAATAGATCTCACATATTGGAAAAATCAAAGAAATTATTCATGTATTTATTCAGTTTGCAACCAAAGCTAGCACGCATTTTCCGAAAAGGAATATTGAAAGTTGCTCGATCCACTGATGCTTGGATCATAACATCTGGGTTGAATACTGGTGTGGTACGCCATGTCGCTTCAGCTTTGGAAGGTAAGTATTATCACTTTTTATGGTACATTGTCTTTTATATATTTTAAAATCGTTGAGGGCAAACCCCCTCCCCTCTCGAAAGTTTATTGAAGTTATTTATGAGTGAGTAACTGTGCAAATGACTCGCTTTTGCTGGTGAATTAGGATCATTTCATGGTCCTTTTGGGTTTTTTCGTAATTTATGACGCAAACATGATCTGCATTTATAGTCAGACTAGCTGGCTTACCCGGCTCCGCCGTATCCGGACCAAACTTGGCACACATACACTTCGGGCCCCGGCGGGTGTCACAGTCCACTTTTCGTTATCGATCGATGTCGATTTTACCGATTTTTATCGATTTTTTGGCAGAGTTCACCTTCAGGGCTAGGAGTTGGCACAGGGGGGAAGTGAGCATGGGGATTCCGAATACAATATTAGTTTTCAGAATTATCGATTGCTTTTATTGATTTTATCGATTTTTGGCAGAGTTCACCTACAGGGCTAGGAGTTGGCACAGGGGGGAAGTGAGCATGGGGATTCCGAATACAATATTAGTTTTCAGGATCGTCCATTACTTTTATCGATTTTATCGATCTTTTTGCAAAGTTTGACCTGCGGGGCTGGGGGTTTGCACAGAGGGTAATCGAGCATGCAGATTACGAATACAATATTAGTTTTCAAGATCGTCCATTACTTTTATCGATTTTATCGATCTTTTTGCAAAGTTTGACCTGCGGGGCTGGGGGTTTGCACAGAGGGTAATCGAGCATGCAGATTACGAATACAATATTAGTTTTCAAGATCGTCCATTACTTTTATCGATTTTATCGATTTTTTGAAAATTTGAGCTAGGGGGCTGGAATTTGGCACAGGGGTGTTCGAGCATGCTGATCACCCCCCTTGGGGATGATCAGCATGCTCGATTACCCCCCTGTGCGAACTCCCAGCCCCGTAGCTCAAACTTTGCAAAAAAATCGATAAAATCGATAAAAGTAATCGATAATCCTGAAAACCAATATTGTATTCGGAATCCCCATGCTCGATTACCCCCCTGTGCCAACTCCCAGCCCCGTAGCTCAAACTTTGCAAAAAAATCGATAAAATCGATAAAAGTAATCGATAATCCTGAAGACCAATATTGTATTCGGAATCCCCATGCTCGATTACCCCCCTGTGCCAACTCCCAGCCCCGTAGGTGAACTCAGCAAAAAAATCGATAAAAATCGATAAAATCGATATCGATCGATGACGAAAAGTAGCCTATGACACCCGCCGGGGCCCGTAGTGTATGTGTGCCAAGTTTGGTCCGGATCGGTTCAGAAATGGAATTTTCTATTCGGAACATACGTACACACATACATACATACAGACAGACATACATACATACATACAAACAGACATTCAGCTTTATATATAAGATTAGAGGAGTCATAAAGTGTTATATACTAGTAATTGAGACAAGTACACGAGCATAAGTCTTCTTTCCTTACGGAACAATCTCACTAATTTATTTCTTTATTTGGCAGATCTCGGCTCATCTTCACGCCTCCGCACCCGAGTGACAGCCATTGGTGTAGCGCCATGGGGCATGCTAAAAAGAAGAAATCGCTTCGTTGGAGCGGTACACAAACACATCCACGAAATTCTTCGGAAGATTCCTTATTTTAGGATCTCACTGTTCATTACGCTCCAAATCAGTTCAACAAATCACGACTCGCAGAGCTGAACGATCGCCATTCGTACTTCATATTCGCTGATAATGGAACTGTTGGCCGGTAGATGAGTACTTGGAAGAAAAAGGCGGCAAAAGTGCCAGATTTAGATACGGCTCTGAAATCATACTGAGGAAGCGACTTGAAACATATCTTGCGCAAAATAGTACTTGCTCTATTCCTGTTGTCTGTGTGGTGCTGGAGGGAGGAGCATTCACGATCAAAATCGTGCATGACTACATCACGAGGCAAGCCAAATCATTAATGACAAATGTACCTTACCGTACTCTTGCTTTGCAGCATTCCAAGAATCCCAGTTGTCGTTTGTGATGGAAGTGGACGTGCTGCTGATCTTCTGGCGTTCACTCATCACGCTATCGGTGACGATGGGTATGTGTTCGTTCACTTTTGGTATACATATTCTTAACTTTGAGGTGACCCTGTCCCTGACATGTAACCATAAGTATCCTAACTTGAACCGCTCTTTTTATGAACTTCTTTTTCTTGATAATTTTCTTTTCCCAAGATATGAATATGATAGTGGCGGTCCAAGGGTTTCGCGGAAGGGGGGGGGGGGGGGGATGAGATTGTCGCGACAATTTTTGAATGAAGGTGCATGACATTAGCCACGCGCTCCGGAAATTTTGTGAGATGCTTCCCCAAAGTTTTGCGGGCCCATAAGCCTCTGCAAAAAAATTTCGAATTACAATTATTTACAAGTATGAATAAGTCGCCTGCATCTCTTTATAACTCATGTAAGTTCTTTCAAACATTTTCGACCCATAATTCCCTCCCCCCTTCCCCCGGTCCGCCACTGGGATTAATCCTTGAAAAAGATCCTTTTTAAAAGGGTTACACTTTCAGATTTTTTTCGATGTGAACTTACCTTTCATTTTTGATATCAATTCATCTTTCGCGTGATTGCAGGAAGCGAATAAAAATTCCTGACTCTAGCATATCGCAGCGTTAAAGTTGGATAAGCAATGTTTATTTTGTTACCCCAACAACTATTTTTAAAATAATAAATGGAGAAATTACAAACAGCAGTTTTGTCACAGAAAGAGTTTTGAGTAAATAACCCAATTCTTCGGTTTACAAAAGTTGTACCTGAAGTAAAAATAAGAAGTTAAAACAGCCTATTTACGAGCAGATAACAACAAAACTTCTCAACAGAATTATTCTATAATGTTTGAGAAAATTTTGTTCCAGAAAGCTATCAGATTCTGTGCACTCCCAGCTTATGTCTTTGGTGGAAATGGTGTTCAACTATGATGAGAAAAACTCTGAGCGTACAGTACGCCATCTAGTGGAGTGCGCACGCGAACGAAACCTGGTATGCCTGACTTATGGTAATGACTTCATAAATCTTTTAAATCAGATGACCGTGTTTCGCCTCGGAGAACAACGACAAGATGTCGATCATGCGATTTTGACTGCATTGCTTAAAGGACAAAACCTCAGCAGTCCTGAACAGCTACAATTGGCTTTGGCATGGAATCGAGCTGATATTGCGCGATCCGAGATCTTCACTTTGGGAACGGTGCGTAGCCTTCGTCTGCCTATGTGTATACGCATAGATGTCGACTTTATAGGAGTGGGGTACACAAGACCTGCACAACGCAATGATGGAAGCTTTATGTCATGATCGAACCGATTTCGTCCAACTTTTGCTCGAAAACGGAGTGTCGATGCATCGATTTTTAACTTATGGTCGGCTGGAACATCTGTACAATACGGTATTTGCTTGATTTTTTCAAACATATTTCTGAGCCTAAAGGCAATTTGAGAAGAACTGCATACTGATTTTTTACATGACTCATTCGCGAGCAAAAGATCCAACTCTAATCGTAAGGCAGCGTCTAGAGTAACCCGTATGCCGGCGTGCCATCGTCCTGCCAGCGCCGTGCTAACGCCGTGACGAACCCATGTGCATGCATCTCGTATTGCTCGACTTGAAACGATGCCAACACGACGCTGAAAGGGAAATGGCACGGATAATTCTGGACGCAACCTAAAATTTCGGGGATCATAGTCGTTTGTTCGCTCAAGCGGAGCGAACACCGTACAACTCTGCAAAGCTGATTGGTCACTTCAGCAAGAGAGTACGGTTTGGGCGAGAGTTTAGAATGAATTGCCGATCGTGAATGACTCAGGCAAAAGTATCTTATCATTCTTGTAATATCCATTTCGCTCAGGACAAAGGCCCTCCACATACGTTGCTTTCAAAAATGGGAGTGTCATCGAAGAAACACAGGGTTAAACTAACAGATGTGGGTTCCTCTCCTTTTTCATAAACCGTAAGTAGAGTCTAAGAACAGCAAAAGGGTCTAGCACCTTGACATTTAGGTCGGACATACCATGGAAGATCTTATGGGCCACGCTTACAAATCCAACTACACTAAGGACGATTTCAAAGCCAAATACTTCGTATTCTCAAATAGACGACATGTAAGTCACTTTTTATGCATTAATTTAGCCTTAAAGATTGCCAGATCTTAGTTGGGATACGAAAAACAAACAGATCAAGAGAGGATGCGCTCGGAGAATCTGAAAGACGACAAAGAGGTGGAACACTCGGCCAGGATGGATCTTTTGCACACCGCACGAGCTTCGATTATATCAATTTTCGCGGGGAGAAGCCAGAGCAATGCTGATGATGGTGCGCATCATAAAACAAAAATATTAGAAAAGAGCTATATATTTTGTAGATGATTTTTCCAACTTCGAAGACGATTCGCTTGATTTCACATTCAAATACCCATACTCTGAACTTCTCATTTGGGCTGTGCTTACGAAACGACAGAAGATGGCGATGTTGATGTGGAAACATGGAGAAGAGGCGATGGCGAAGGCAATAGCAAACAATCAGAATTTTTTCATCGAAAAGGAAAAGTTTAGGCATTGGTTGCATGTCGACTTTTTGACTCTCTTGCCAACGACGCTTCACAAAACTATCTGGAATTAGAAATATGCGAAGAACTGCGGAAAAATAGCGAGTGAGTAACTCCATCAGTAATCCTGAAGGCAGTAATCAGTCAAATGTGGGGACCTAAGCTGTTTATGCGGGAACTAGATGAGAATTATACGAAGTCAAGCTCTAGCAGCGTTCTTATGGTTCTTTTTTTATTCAAAAAATTGACGGTATACACCCACGTACTGTGCCCGCGGAATCTATGCTACGGTACTGGGCGAAGGTTCAAAAAATTTGTTAGGTACCACATCTGCCTGAACACTACCCTCGAATAACTATAAGGAGAAAGTGTAAGAAACTATTTTCTCACTCTGTTCTATTTAGGGAGTTCCGAGTATTGTCGATCGAGGCGCTGCAGTACTGCACTGAGCAGGACAAAGATATAACTTTGCAGTTGCTGACGTACGAGTTAACAAATTGGGGAAATGAGACCTGCTTGTCGTTAGCGGCACTGAACAACAATCGACAGTTCCTCGCACATCCGTGGTGAATATTTTGTAGATCTGTGGTATGTGATCACAAAAATCATTTTTACTGCTGACTTCAGTTGTCAACTACTGCTGTCCGATCTTTGGCAAGGTGGTCTCCACATAAGAAACAATGCTAATCTGAAGGTTGCCATCTATTTTTCACAATTTCTATCGCCTGCTGAGTTGCTTCACAACCAGGTGCTATGCTCAGTGATAATACCAGCAGGAATCTTCATGATGGAGTACAAGACCAAGGAAGAACTAATGCTCCAGCCACACACTTTCGCGGAGCACATCGAGGACCAGTCCAGCGACAGCGACTCTTCGCTTAGTGACGATACGAGCTTCAGCGATAGCAGTTCAAGTTCCAGCGATGAGGTTCGTGCAGTTCGAATAAATTTTTCGTTCGATATAGTGTTCTTGCGGTGCCGAGAAGATGCGGTAAGATTTGGGCGTGAACAAATAGCCACATTAGTAATACCGGAATTTTGCGCACGCAAGTGACCGGCGCCATAGGCGTAGCTTGTTCACACGCAAATACCGCATTTTCTTGGCACCGCAAACACACTATATTAAGCGGAATATCTAGTGACTGTAACTATTAGGTTGTCCGGAAATTAATGCAGGTTTTGAATTCCAACTGCAATAAGTCATACACTTCTCATTTCTAAGTAGGTTGCAAAAGACCATTCGATAAAGCACAGCAAGCTCTACAAAATGGCAATCTTGCTTTAGCAACAGCTCTGATCCACCACGAGTTTCGAGCCAAAAACTAAAAAGATTCAATTGCCCGAAAAATTGAGAAAAATCGTAACTCACTTCTAAAAATCCTACAAAAATTCTAACTTGCTCACGTAAACACAATCCACATATTGCATATACCTACACCGTTGCCGTATTTTTTTCTCTGTTAGAAATCAAGAAAACGAAAATTTTCGTGCATTTGTCAAAGTGGTGCTCTGCCTTTTCCACATGTGTAGTTGTATACTACAAATTGTAGAAGTACAAACGTAAATTTCCAGCTCTCTACAAGTTTTAGTTCTTGAGAAATATCGAATAAAGTTTTTCCTAGTCATGTGGTCCAAGATAAAATTCGAATTTCTCGAGAACTAAAGCTTGTAGAGAGCTGGAAATTTACGATTGTACTTCTACGGGATTGTAGTATACAATTACTTATGTGGAAACGGCACAGCACCTTTGGCAAAAACATGAAAATTTTCGTTTTCTTGATTTCTGACAGAGAAAAAAAGACGGCAACGGCGTATGTATATGCAATATGTGGATTGTGTTTACGTGAGCAAGTTAGAATTTTTCTAAGATTTTTATGAACTGAGTTACGATTCTTCTCAATTTTTCGGGTACTTAATTCTTTTTAGTTTTTGGCTCGAAACTCGTGGTGAGTCAGAGCCGTTGCCAAAGCAGGATAGTCATTTTGTAGAGCTTGCTTTGTTCTATCGAACGGTGTTTTGCAACCTACTCAGAAATGAGAAGTGTATGACTTATTGCTGTTAGAATTCAAAACCTGCATTAATTTCCGGACAACCTAATACCTTGTGTTGATCATCACACACACAGTTGGGAGGCAGCTAAAATACTTGTAGGCCATCTTTGGTGATTTTCATGTGAGACTGTAGGATATGGGTATGTTAACAATCTCAAAAATTAAGTCAAACCAAATTGGAAAGTGGAAACACACATTGTGAAAGAAATGATGATGTTGCATTTTAGTTTGTAGAAGATAAATGAGGCTTTGGAATGATTCCGGTAGTTTTGAAAAGCCGTAGTATACCTATCCATAATAGCTTGACATTTAACAAATAGGATGTTCATCATGAAAAAGGCCCAAAACAACGTGCTGGAAGCGAAAAGGATTCTTTGCCATTGAATATACAACAGGTATATCTTTCTTTCAATATTACATATTGTAATAAACGAAAGTTTGGCAATCTCTTAGCTTGTGGGCGATAAATTTCCTTTCTCGCTTGGAAAAGATCGGATAGCTAACGGCAATGGAACAATCATCACTTCACAGGAAAGTCAGTACCCTTTGCGTGGTTCAGTTCATAATCACCACAATGAGGAACAGAACTTGCGTTTCCAAATCTTGAATTTATCATAGGAGCCCGAGCAAGGACCATGTCATTGTCGAACAAAAGAAGAAAGTCGAAAAAGGATTTAGACAGCGACTCCAGCGTTGGGAGACCAAGAGGTTGCTTCAAAGCAAAAATTGGTGGGAACTCAGATTGAGGACTGTTTTCAGCACGAACTCGTCGTCGATCGACGAAGAGACACTCGACATTTTACGTACATCACTCCGGCGATGAAAAGGGCGAGCAGAAGCAAAAGGAATACACGGACACCACTGCTCGCGATCGCGATCCAGCCAGGAGCACGGTGATATCTCGACTTACATTATAAGTTTTTCAGAGTTGCCTGTGTGCCAGCGCCGTGCCAGCGCCATGCTAACGCCGTGCTAGTAGCCTGCCACATGTCGACTGATGCGGCGCTGGCACTGGTAGCTCTTCACAGTCAAAGAAACCAATTTAATCTTTCAGCAACGTTCAATCTCATGGCGTCGGAAGATTCGCGAATTTTACTCAGCTCCGATCACAACTTTTTGGCTGTGGTCCCTTAGCTTTTACGTATTCCTAGTCGCCCTCTGCTACACACTACTGCTGAAAACACCAATGTTTGTTTCCTTTCACTTTCAAAACTTTGAAATTCAATACTGTGTTTTAAGATATCCTTCATGGGTGGAATGGTATCTGATCTCGTATGTTATCGTTTGGCTGCTGGAAATTTTACGGAAGGTGAATTTAATGTTTTTACGTCTTATCTCGCGCAACTCAATCTTGTATGAGCACAACTCTGACAAATAATATTTTCTGAACTGTTCAAGTCCGATTCGTTCGATTCGTGCTCAAATTTAAGTGCAAGATTACCTATCGAAACGCTTCTATCTTAGCATTTGAGACAACTTTTTGACGAGACTCCACCATTAGTTGACCAAAAAGTTTGAATTTTTGAAATGCCTACGGCATTTCAGCCCCTCTGAACATCATCATATCCATCTGATTTTACATGCTCTTCTTAGCTCGTCATGTTGATAATGATCGATCGAAAGCGAAAAATGTGGAGAAAGGTGACCATGTATTTTGGAAACTACCGCAATGGTGTGCTCCTAGTAGCTACAGTCACTTATATCGTGGCCTTTTGCGTTCGTTGTGATCCATCGTCCAGGTGAAGCAATGCCTGTACCATTCCTTTTAACTGTCATCTATGCATTTTGGAATGGCTGGTCGCGTTTTTCTCGTGTGCAATTCCGTACTATGGTGTCTGAAACTGTTGGACTACATGAGAGTGTTCAGGCAGTTGGGGCCTTACATCACAATGGCTGCAGAAATGGTAATCACTTGTGCTACAGTATCCTCGACTGCCTAAAAGGTGGATTATGTTACAGATCCCTCGCATGCTTCCGATTCTGGCGATGCTCTTTGTGTCACTCCTATCTTTCGGCCTAATTAGGGAGTCCATAACCTATCCATACGAAAACTGGCATTGGTTGCTCATAAGAAACATATTCTATAAGCCGTACTTTATGCTTTACGGGGAGGTCTATGCCCCGGAAATTGATACTTGCGGGGATGAATGTAAGCTATCCGACATACTTGAAATAATATTTCTCAAACTCATTTCCAGTATGGGACGCCCACATCGATGAAGGTGTACCTATCCACTCCGGCCTGTTAAACGTCACGCGTAAGCATCCTCTTTGAGCATTAAGAGTTGCGATGGTGCTACCGCTGTACCTACGCCGTCCCAGCGCCCTGCTAGCGCTGTGCCGAAACATCGGTCAATAAATACGGGCGCAAGCACGTCCACAACGGCATTTGCACGGTACTGGACCGGCGCTGGAACTACGCTGGCACAACGCCATACAAGCAACCCTAAACGCAGCCTAACTCTTCATCCCCGTTCTTAGGCCAAATTTAGGTGATGGCTGTGTCCCCGGATACTTCGTGGCGCCTATCTTCATGACGATTTTCATGCTCATAGCCAATGTTCTTCTCATGAACACAATGGTTGCGTGTTGCACCTATGTGTTTGAGCATAATGTGGAAAATACACAGGAGATTTGGCTCTTCGAACGCTATGCCCAGGTGAATATTCTACTTCTTTCCGATAGAACGAGCCGTTGAGTTGATTGATGGAAAATACGTGTTCAGTCATAGGTGATGGAATTCGACAGCACACCTTTTCTCCCACCTCCGCTTACTATTCTCTACCATTTATACTGGCTATTTCGATGGCTGCGAGTTCGGAACTTCTCGAGGAAGAATCTTCTCGACGCGTCCCTAAGTGTGTTTTCATAGTTCTCCCCATTGATGCATTCTTCCTAGTCTCAAAATCTGTTTCTTCAGAGCTTTTCCTCTCTGACGAAGAAGTTGAAAGGATCCACTCGTTTGAAGAGGAATGCATAGAAGATATGGAGAAAGAGAAAGACATTCGAAAGCAGAGTTCAAATGATGAGCGAATTCACAGAACCGCTGAACGTTCGGATCAAATCTTAAACAGGTATTACTAATTGCAATAGAGCACATTTTGAGCTCGAACATATTTCAAGGATGAACATCATAGAAAACGTCGTGAAAAATGACGTGCGAAATTTGGATCTGATACTGAAAACCATGGAAACTCGTCATGTAGGTTGTCAAAAACTGTTTTCTAGCACTCTTTTGTTAACAGAGGAGTAGTAATGGATGTGATTCCTTTATAGAAAGAAGAAATGGACTCGATGAAGCTAGTGATTTCTGCGTTAGAACAACTACTGCGAACTCAAATTCAAAACTTCCCGCCTAACAGTGGACCGTCGGATAATCCTCCACCAGCTGCTAACGAAATATTGAGAAATATTGAGAAGAAAAAGCGACGTGATGCAGTAGATATAGCGTTCAACAACGCAGCTCAGGTAATTCAGCGTCAAGCAACTAGATCCCAAGCAGGGTCAAGCGTGTGATGCGACTGTTGCAACGGGGGGCGTAAAGGGGGCACCGGCGGTGGAGGGGGGGGGGGGTCGTAAGAGAGGGTGGTCCGAATTAAAAAAGTGTGGAATGTAGAAAATAAGCTTCTTAATCGCAAACATTCTCTACTTTTCAACAACAGCATTTTTCTCCCTGCAAAAAAGGTCGCAGACGAGGATCGAACTTGCTGGCTACAAGTATGACCAAAGATTCCGAACACACAGAAGCTCAAACACTAGGCATGTATGAGTGACAAGAATGTTGAACGTACCAATTGGTCTAGAAATCCTGGTTCCGAAGCATTACTAAAGTCTCGCACTCTCGACAAAAGTGCTCATCTTTACCAGCGATGACCATCGATAATTTTTAAAACTTTTTTGTTATGTCCTTCAAGGGCCCATACAATTTACATGTACTTTGGAGAGGCTCTGCTACAAATGTGCAAAATCTGGTTATATTTCATAGCCTGTGGATTTTTTGAAAATTTAATATGTGGCAACAAAAAATGAAAAAAGGGGGGTCGTATCTGGGTCGCATCTAAATTTTTTCGCCGCTATGGAGGCCTGCTCGCTGTAATTTTGCTGTATTACGAGCCATCCTTCTATTTCTATCATAAAAATTTTAGGCTCTGTTTCATAACTTCTCCGGTGAGTTACAAAATTTCAAGCTTAAAAATCCCAGTTTTTGCTTTTTAGGATCGCATCTAAATTTGCGAGAGTCGCATCTAGATTTTTTCGAGCTCACTGCACCTCAATGGCTGAAACTTTTTTCATCGATAGTATGGGCAAAATACCACGCGGTCTATTCATTACAGCCTCTCAATCTTTTTCTGAACTTAGTTACGAAATTTCAAAGTACGGTGCTCATGCAAGTTTTTAGCATCGTTCTGGAAGGCGCTAAAACGGTTTTTTTTTTTCGCAGGAAAATCTGTGTAGTAGATAGAAAGTAAACTTTTTATTCGAAAACAGTTTTTACGCTTCAAAGATATCGTTTTTTCTCCCTGCAAAAATATATTGTCGCGTATGGGGATAGAAGACGGAACTGTCATTCAAGTCTAAAACGTTCTAATTCCCAAAATCATAGTCTATATCTTTCGGTACTATTGGACATTGAAAGGATTATGCCGAGCATTCATAAACAGCAGAAAAGTTTATTAACCTTTACTAGAAAAGAATTATAAAATAGTCAAATGTAATGACTAAAGTAAACCGTTCCGTAATGCTGAATTTTTCTTGGTTGTTATTTCATTTCATTTTTATAGGTAGAGTACAGCTCAAAACCATACAAATCAAAATCGATGTTCTGCTTTGTCAGATAATGTCCTTTCCATTCATATTTTCCCACAATAAGCATAGCTAATTTGTAAAATTTTACTACTTGCTCAATCTATGCAGAATCATTCGTTTTTTGAGTGGTGAAGCATTACTTGCATTATCTCCCAATTTGTAGGTAGTTATCTTTCTCTGACCTATAATTTTGATTGAGGTTCATTAGAGGCATTTTTTGAGATTGACATTCATTCGTTTATGCAGGTTACCTCAAAAGTAAGTGGAAGAGGGGGGGGGGGTCGTAAATGAGGGTCCCGGATCGCATCAGCACGCTTGACCCTGATCCCAAGTAACCTTTGATTTTAATGGCATGGCGGCTGGAAGGCGGAGCTTTGTGACCTAATTTAGGCTACTCGTGTCCGCGACGCAGTCTGCGTCTCTCCCGCGCGCGTGCTCTCTTATCATCACCCTAGCCTCAATTAGGTTACGAAGCCCCGCCTTCCAGCCGCCAAGCCAGTTGAAGCAAGGGTATCTTCATATTCCAGCCTCGACGACGATCCCTGCCTAAAGTTACGATAAGGGAGCCCTCAGCGATACCATCCATCGTTGTGGATTTGGTTGATAAGAACAATGTTGAAGAAGAAAGATTTCAAGATTCAGCAGCCCATCCACAGCCGCCGTTTCAAAGCATCATCAAATCCAACAGTGAAAACAAAAGCATAGTAGAAGTGCGGCCACCGCCGACGTTTCAAGATAGATCGTAAGCGACATATTACAATTATATATGCAAATAGCCTCTGTCTCGTTTAGCTCTTCCCCACTAGAAATTCCAATAATGCTCATTAAGCAGTGTTTGCAGTTAGGCCGAAGACTCAACTTTAGAAAAAGTATAGTCCCATGTTGGTATACGTTATCTTTAGGTTCCAAAGACAACATCATGAAGAGTACACTTCTATAGCCGATAACATCCGACTGGACCGTGATCTGTACAATGTATGGGATAGTTCGTGTCTCTGTCCTATATTACAATCACTACTGATTTCTTTTTATAGGAAAGCTCATACATCACCTATGTGGCTGAGCCTGTTTGTTGTGAAGAAGACAGTGTATGTAAGGTCAGGTTCCCACGAAATTTGCAATTTTTATCTATTTTCAGGAAGTCGCAAATTCCGATGATGCAAAGAATAGCTAGAGAAATGAGCGTGTCTCAACTCACGTGGCTGTATGTACCTGTTTGATAGATTTGATAGACTTGCTTATGCAATAGCAAATAAAATTCAATAAAAAAGGTTACAAGCTGTTTATGTGTAAAACTGAGACCATTTCGTTTAGTATTCACTTGATAGCTCACGATTAGTACTAGCGATTACTTATGAAAAAATAGGCAAAGATGACTAAACGCTTTGAAGATTACTGTCATTTTTGCAAGCTTGGTTCGATTGATTTTTTCATAAGTGAAGGAGAAGATCAAATCTATTCATCCGAAAAGAAGTGAATGAAAGCAGCATCCTGGCAGATTCTCGATTTCCATTTTTCATCTTTAGCGCCGATGATTATTAATTATGGAACTAAAAACTTTATTGAGGCTATTTTCGAAAAGCCATGGATGAGTAGCCTTGTCGAAAGCAGCATGATCACGTTAAACAGCATGCAATCAATTGTCCTTGCCATGTAAAAACTCGAAGGGTTGGAAAAGGAGGCGGGTGGCGCACGGGAGTGGGCGGTCCTTCCCGTGTAACAATTTTTGCGAACAAACTACTGCGTACGGGACAGTAAATCTTCATTTAAAATGAATTGTAAAACAATCTACCTCAGTATATTAAACAATATACGAAGATTGGTCATCGTTATACTATCCACCTTAATCTAAACTTCTACGAAATCAGTGGTAAGATGATAGCTGGCTCTAAAGTAACAAAGTTAAATGTGATGTTGGTGAGTTTACGAAATGAGAACCAGTACAGTAAGAAATCAACAGTGAAATGAGTGTAGTGATAGGAAAGAAACAACAAGAACAATCGAGGAGATTACGAAACAAAAGAAAGATGAACAAAAAATCAACAACATCGCTAGGCGACCGAGTGGAATCGTTGAAAGAGCGATGCACGTCTAGTAGAGGCGTTTTTCGAATCTGAAATGATAGCAGTTCTTCTTGAGTTTTTGCGAAAACGAATTGGAGGTGTGCGCCGTTGAAGGGCGCCAAATCACAGAGAGGTTACATGCATAGAGAAAGGGAAGAATAGAGAAAAGTGGACGGAGCGCAGGAAGTAGTAACCCGATACTAGTAGTTTGTGAATTGTGCTTTTCGCTAACACTCAACAACAACTTTCCTACCAGAAGCAGCGTACGGCGATACGTTTGAGCAGCTATGACGAGCGCAAGAATCTATGGCGTCAACACTGGAACAAAGTGCGTTTCCTCTTGCATAGCAGTATCTTTTGTTGCCGGAGGAGGACGCGAACATGCCCTACCTGTAACCTGCACTCTTCCCAGAAAAAAAAAGTCAGAGCAGAGAACGGTGTTCACTGGCAGAATTAAGAAAGAAAGGAAGTCAGTAAGTGTCTTGATAGCTTACATGAGAAGTGGAAATCCTCAGTGAGCCATGCCGTAGGCAATGTCTGGGCAACCCTGGGTATCTGACCTAGTAAGGTGAATAATCACCAACAGGGGAAGGAACTCAGTCAGTCGAGTTGAAGGACATCGAATGCTGATTTCGAATCTGTCCCCTGTATTTGCGAAGCGCCTCTGGATGAGGAGTTATGAGCGTTTTACGAGTCAAAAAACTAAACGCCTGATCAGAATGAAATCCATGTTTACAGTCTTTTCAACTCATAAGTGGACTAATGGTGAACATGGGGCAGAAAGTAAACGCTTTTCTTTTCATAGAGTGGTTTGCAGTCAATTGAAGTTCCATCTCCGAGAAATATCTATGAATGATTTTATTCAAGCTACTCGTCCAAATTCTCGTACAAAAGTTCTTACAACTCCTTGTCCAGTGGCGCTCCGCAGATAAGGAAGACAGAGTTAGAATCAGCGTTCGATGCCCCTATATGAAGGTATGTGTCCCATCTGGAAAGGTTACTTCGACTAAGGTTCCTTCCCTAGTAAGAGACTTCAATAAAGCCGTTGCCCAACCGACAGCTGGCAAAACTTATTTGTAGACAGAAAATTCATCATCAAACTCTCACCCAATACCGTACTCAAGAACGACGACTGCCCCACTCGGTAAGGGTACAGTAGGCAAAATAATCGAATTTCTCGGTTGCGAATGGATATACGAGCTGCCGCAGGCACAGGCTTACACAAAGCCAAGTACTTTCTGCCTAAGAATTCTGGGCATATCAAATTGCCATTGAAGGCACCAATCATCCAGACTAAGATGGCAGATGGATGGCGAGGTTTTAATGCTCTATAATAGCGGAGCCAGGGCCCGGCACGCGTTGGTTTGAAGCATTTCTGGAAACGAAGTCCCCCATGACTTCGCGAAAATTTACGAAGTCCCTCTTGACGTAAAAATCAGTAGGGAAACCCTTAATTAGTCAAAGTAACATTAAAAAAGCGAAAAAAGCGCATTTTGAGGTAACTAATACAGCAAAAAAAGCAAAAAGAAAGCATTTCGAGTTGATTAAAGGCTCTGTCATTGGGTAGTGTACCATTTTAGCGCTCAGAATGTCGAGAACCTCCTAGGCCAATCAAATCTGTGGCCTCAACAATCTGGCAGTGCATTTTTCGCCACATAGTTCAAAGGACACCACGTGTGATTGGAGCGCAGTATCTATCAAGGCGTATAGATTTGCACTACTTTTGGCTCAAAAGAAGAGGAGAGGCAATGGTTTGATTCGCTCTCTTCACTATATAATAGGTTTTTGAGCATTTTAATCGTCCAAACCAAAAAGGTCCAAAACTTATGTGAACTCTCCGAAATTTATGCTCCGAACCAACCCAGTTGGTTCGGTGGTTGGTCTAGAAACCAACAAATCCGGAACGGGTATTCAGACACATAAGTTTTGGGAACTTTTACATAACATAGTTTGGAGTAATATTGTATACTCATAGCCCAAATTCGGAGCCATGTGATTGTTTGTGCGCTGTAAACAAGCCATTTGTTTGTCTGAGTCTTGCGTTTGAAATTCGCGCGCTTGCGAAAGAACACGTTCAACTCGTGAAACCTGACATGTTCGTCATGTTTTTTGGCGCTTCCTCCAGGACCTCATAAGAACGATGTCCCCGTTGCTTCTAACTCCAAAAACGAAGTCCAGTTTGACCCCAAACCATCGGTGCCGGGCCCTGAGCGGAGCCCTTGACTAAGTAATCGCACAAGTCCGCTGCAAGATGATCTCGAAAGCGAGAAATCGCTCCAGAAAGTAAAAGCGGGCAAGGTGTTTCCGCCGCTTGACGTAAGCGGTCTGAGGATAACTAGTCCAGAATTTGCCTTCACTGCCCTTTGTTTTGCTTACCGGATTTTCGACATACCTCTGGAGTCCACGTTTGAGAACATTATCGTCAGACCAGCACTACCGATGGGCCGAGCCACGTCGCCGCTTCTACCTTCTGTGAATATTTTTTTCGCATCAAAATCCATCTTTTGCGGCGGGACTTGAAAAAATTCTTACTTAGGGGCTTCGCTATTATGTAGCACCAAAATCATACCACCCTTGGTTTTAGCAGACGGTGCTTTATCTGTTGTTGCAGCGCGCATATTCGCAAATATTACAGAAAGAGTTGGCGGATATTAGCACGATTGAAAGTGCCCTGTTGCGTATGCATGAGAGCAAGAAATCATCGTACAAATTCTATTACACATACCTCTGGGAAATGGCATACAGAACATATCTCTTTCGTTGTATCATCACTGTTTTTGATATCTATAAGTAGATGCTTAACATCGATACGAAGTAGATAAAGCAGATGTCGTTTGCCGATTCGAGTAGTAACCCTCGCATCTGCTAAGAGTTTATTTACGTCTCACAGTATCGCTTCAAATGAGAAGTCAAAAAAGATAAAAGTTTCGGAAAGACCAGCTGCACTCAAACATTTAAGAATCAGAAGTTTTATTCAAGTTATTTATTTTAAAGTGATGGACAAAGTCCAAAAAGATTACTTGACTTATCATGGACAAAGTCCAAAAAGATTACTTGACTTATCAAGTTCGACTGAATTCAAAAATTTGTGAGTCGTCTTCGGCCTGGAAATTCAGACATCGGCTAGTTAACCCCTTTTAGCAGAGAAGGCAACCGGTTAGTTACGCTGATAGACACAAGCAAACAAACAGAACTTGTAAGGTCACGCACACCGAAAGTTATTACAATTCTGAAGGTTCGCAATGACTCCTTAACTGACCTGTTGTCAATGCTCAAAACGATTTTAGAGCGACGTGGTTATCCTTAACAACCACTGTTGGGGTAAATATTGTTCATGGAGCATACAAACTTTCTACATCACTATCAAATTTACAGCATGATATTATCAGATTAAATTGAATTTCCTGTCAGATGCAGATGTCAAAAAAAGCTTAATAACACTGTGCGCTCCAGTAGGAAAATCATAAAAGCAATGTCAGGCTAGGGGGAAATCGGTCAAAGAGCTTGTTGGTAGGGGAAACGAAGGCCGCCAGTTTGAGCCGCCTTCCACTGCCAATAGGTCCTTTTGCAGTGTTGTTGCATTAGTCCCAGGACCAGTAGTCCGAGGAGGTGGCCCAAGCTGGCGGCCTTCGTTCCCCTACCCGTCATGTTGAGCCACATTCCAAGCGACAGCCCACACGATGCATTTGTGACCGAGAAACAATTCCAACTCTCGCTCAGACACAGTCCTTCCAAGGGACCAATCACCGTGCAGTAATCGAAGAGATTGATACGCTCGGAATTACGGTGTGGAAGTTCAAAGTTGAATTTTTCGGCCATAAACGACTCACAGAGCTCATCATGAACAATGGCTTGATCATTGTTCACAAAGAGTTACCCAGATTTGCACATGGCTCTGCCGATCACTCGGATGACTGTAATTCCGGATAACAGTGGCGGTCACAGGATTTCCGTCCCGGGGGGGGGGGGGGTTCCAAATAAAAGTTGCGGAACGTAAGCCGGGCAATCCGAAAAAATTCTTAGGGTGCTTCTCAATATTTTCGCCCCCCCCCTCGGTCGCCAATGCCGGAAAATCCAGAAAGCGTCAAGGATATGGTTGCTTCCATCGTATAATGTATGCAGTGAACCCAAAACAGTTTGTTATGAACAATTTGCGTTTCTGGAAAGTTTCTGAAAGCAACCTTCTTAATCTAACTTTCTCATTAGAGGATCGCAAACTGAATAATTTATCGACCTGGCAGCAGGGTATTACCAGGATTGAATCATGTTCGTCTAAACTTATGCTGTGCTCACTGACGATTTCCGCACACTCTCTAAATTTTCCCAAATCGACCCCAAATTACCTATACTGAGTACACTGGCTGCTGCACGTTTTGAGGAGCTTTGAATCTACAAACCAAAAGAATAGATAAATGGATTATAGAGGACATAGTCAGCATGAAACCACGTCTCCGCTTAGGCAGGTAGCTAGCTGTCTTAATATTAGTTGCACTCAAAGGAAACAATAGGTAGGCTATAAGCAAATAGAAAGTCATTGCTGTAACAAGATTAGAGAAGACTGTTCTCGGAGAGAGATATGATGTTCTTATGAAATATGCAAAAGGATGCGTATAGAGTCCCGTGCCAGCCATGCCGAAGCCGTTCCAGCACCACGTCACGTCCGTGGTCGAACAATAGTGGGCGCGACAGAGCTTCGCCGCAGCGCTAGCACGACCTGGCACGGAGCTGGCATAGCTCCCGAACAAGGGCAACTTCAAACGCAGCTTATATATGAGCGGCTGTCTATTTCAGGTCCATCTAGGACGGGCATCACACATAGCAGAGACGGTGCTTTATGCTTTCTCCTTTCTCTTACATGTCAAGTGATCTTATGAATAACTTACGAATGCAGTGAATGCACGCCACCCTCGAGTTGAGCATTGGGTGACCGTCTTTCAAAACGCACTTCGCCCGAGGCAACTTTCGCGCTGAAATTTGCATTTTTATTGAGTAAGAAGACAGCTGAACAAACTCACTGAAGCTCCTCCAAAGAGCGTACACCGATGTCCTGAAATCCATGCTGAACTCCGCGCACGAGGTAAGGCACAAATTTATGGCAAGACCCTCGATCCTTCATCGTGGCTGAAACACCTTGCGCAACTTTGATTTGATCGGCATCACTGAAAGATAGAAGTTTTTTTTCTTCTGCAAGTGATTCATACACTTTCTCACGATGTGAAGTAGCGGTCTTGACTAGATGCATGCGCTTCCATAGCATCGAGTGAGCCCATGCCACGGTACTTCTTTACGCGCACACCACCAGGTCCCCAGAAGTATTCGCCTGGTGCCTGCAAAGGCGGACTGCTTTGTTCTCTGCTCACTTTCCGAGTGATCGTACCTCAGTTGTGGCTGCCAGAAGACCACCCATCATAACGGCACTTGCACCGAGCGCCACAGCCTTGGTGATGTAGCCGACGTCACGAATGCCACCATCGGCTACCACTGGAATGCCCCTCGTTCTGGCGTAGGAAGATACCGCATAGACCGCAGAGCCCTGCGCTCGTCCCACAGCCATAACTGAACACCTTATTTATCCATCTCCATAAACCTCTTGATTCTACCGTAACCCACTGTCTTGTGTGATGCAAATGGATCCGCTTCCCATGCCTACGCGCAGAGCATCGGCACCAGCGTCGATAAGCAGCTTTGCTTGCTTTCTCGTGACTACTGAAAATAGCAGGAATGATTATGCTGTGTTTTGAACGAGAAATGCAAAATACCATTTCCGGCAATCACATCGACTTGAGGATATGTCTTCTTGATATATTTGAGCATATCGATCTGGTAGGAGGAGGATCCATTGGATGAATCCTGCAGTGCAAAGTTTCATTCTGCAAAATCGAGAGGCACACAACAGGCTAAAAATGACAACGACTGCATACCGCTGCTATGTTAGTGTGAACTGCGTTCATATCAGCATGCCAGCGCCGTGCTAGCACCGTGCCAGCGCCCATGTAGACGCGATCCTTATTAATCGACCGACAGCGTGCACAGCGCTAGCCCGGCTCTGACATGGGCAACTCTAGACGCAGCCTTACGACAAGGCTTCTTTCCGCAGTCAGGATAGTAGTGAAAATTTCTTAGGGCGATCTTGCTCCAAAATAATATAAAATTTCAAGAAACTCACGATAACAATCACATCTGCTCCAGCTTCTACTAACAGCTCTATAGTGTGTTTTGAAGTTTCTCTGGTATTCACCGCAGCGCCGCATAGTAACTGCCCTTTAGAGTCATAGGAAGCCATGGGATAGTTGCGAGCCTATAAAAAAAATTGCAATTACTGCTTTAAATATATAGGTAGGACAGCCAAACCTTGAGCAGATCCGAACGACATAACAGTGCAATCAACTCGCCTTTCTCATTGACGATGGGAAGCTTACCTAGAAAAAAACCTTGATAGATAAGCTGACATTGCAGCTTTGATCTGATTACCAAGGCGATGATCTTTGAGCATTTTTTGAGCTTTTTCCATTGGAAGCGAAATATCTCCCAAGACGAGCTTCTCAACTTCCACCATGATCTAAACGGAAGAAATAACGATAGGAGTTCTACTAAGAAAGTAGCCGAATGCTCACTTCGGTAATAGGTGTTCGTTTTTGAATTTCGTCATCGACCTCGATAAAATCAAAGTCGCGTGAACTAATCATTCCTAAAGCATGAAATATTTGCTTATTCCTCAGTCAAGTCTCTGAAGTAATCCTCGCTGAAGTTATAAATTTTACACAGGCTCTCATTCATATTTGATTTTCAGGAGGTCAGAAAAGAAGATGAAATATGGATGAACTATGAGGAATAGCCAAAAAGAATGTGACATGAATCTGTTATTTATGTTTCCAAAAAAACGCACCTAAGAGTTTTGAGCCGACTTTACCCGTTTCCGTCACTGGTGCACCCGTATATCCATAAACCTTCTTGATTTGCATCATATCCCAAAGACTGAATATGAGCTAACTGTGAAAGGAACATCTAACGCGAGTACTCCTTACCTAGCATCCGGTTTCAAACAATGCGGTTGCATGACAAAACCTTGCTTGAATCTCTGAAAAAACTCGTTTACATCACTCAAGGTTCTATGGAGACAAATAAAATGCCATCAGTCAATTACCTTAACTTTCAATACCTCTGCTGCCTGATCCTCGGGTTTAGGAAAGTTGCCATGAATTATACCTATACCGCCGTAAAGCTAAAAAAGATGAATGATCCGTGAAGATGATAAGCTCAGCAAGCGGACGAACCGCCATGACAATGGCCATCCCACTCTCGGTTACCGTATCCATCGGCGACGACACCAGTGGAGCTTTGATCCGGATATTTCGCGTAAGATTTGTGTCAAGTCTGACATCATGTACGGAAAAGTCGATCATTCCAGGTAAGATATTGAAGTCGCTGGAACACTCCGTTTGATAGGTGTAGCCAAGGCACGACGATTTTACTTAACTATTTTGAATTTCAAAGATTAGTATGTGGGCTTCATTTATAGGACTGATGAGGCAGTCACAACTACGCCGTTGCTCAGGCGACAACTTATGTAATTTATTTGCGACCTGCGGATGAATTTCAATTCTGCCCTCCGTATTGTTTGCTAGATACCAGGCGGATCAGTCAACAAACATATAAGAATCAGAAGTTTTATTCTCTGTGGATTTGATTCTCTATCCTCGCCCTCCGTATTGTTTGCTAGATGTTTCTAGGCGGATCAGTCAGCAAGCAGTACCAGACGTTAGCTAGTCCGCTTAGGATTATGGTAAGGGCTAGACGGATTTCCAGCCACAAATACATAATATGAACTGTTGATAAAGCATTCAGCTAAAGGTTTCCAAAGAAATCCATCAGCAGCGGTGCGAGGAACTTTTTCGAAACAGGGCGCGATAGGAATTCTTCTGAACAGAAGTGAAGTTTTTCGCATCCCCTTCCGCCGCTTCCATGTTAGCCACACCTCAAAAATTTTTGGGAAATTTTACCAGATCGAAAAAGTATGGCAATAGCCATGCCTTCAGATAATTTTCTAATACATTCACGACAAGGCCTATCTTTCGATGATTACCATTACAAACTAGAGCATATTCGATATTATCTGGCCGCTTATGGGTCTCATGGCCTTAGCCATGAGACCCATAAGCGGCCAGATAATATCGAGCCTGAAGCATTAATCTTCTAGGAAGCGATTTGTGAGATGTAAACAGGACCGTGAATCGTACTGTCCGAAATAGCAAATAGCAATAGCACGACCCACTTTCCGGTGGTATTGTTGTTAATGTATGAAATGCCCCTTTTTGTATGTATTTTTATAAATTTTGAAATCTCATGACCTACTATAGAAATATCTTACAATAGAATATTTACATATATACGAGCAGTTAATAACCAGATTTGCGGACAACGCCATCAAAATGTAATGCCGGAAGCACCTTTAAATGACTATCAACAACAAACAACAGCTGTAAATTGAATGTATTTACAGTAAGTGCGACACCTGAACTAATAGCTCGAGAAAATGATATCAATTCACGCCAGCTGGTAATTGGTAATGGCACGTAAAGTGTGATAAGCTATAAACATTTTTTGAACTTTACTTTTTATGAGATTTACACCTTCTTTACTTCGTTGCCAATTTTTGCGAGTATACCACTTCCTGACAATACCGAAAGATTCACAGCATTGCCTTGCAGTTTCACATCAAAGCATTCATCAGACAAACTGCTCGGTTTGGAAAGAGATGTACGCTCGTCTTTCTCCGAGTATTAGGCTGGCACATAAGTTTTGCAACTTATTTCGAAACTCGGGCACAATGTAGACTAGGTAGTAGGCTACAAATCTGCACAAATTATTTGATTTTTGGTGGCGAAGTGGAGAAAATGTACGCTTTTTTCGAAAGCTGCTCAAAAGCCGCAACTATACGGATCACTAGATATTCCTTTATCAACAATCTAAGTATAGTTTTGGCTTGATGCGTTTGATTCAGATGATTCAGACTCAGAGTGGCTTTATTTCTAGTTTTGCGACTCTTGAGATACCGAATTTGAACAGCTTTCGAAAAATGCTTTGATTTTCTATAATTCGCTATCAAAAATCAAAGTGTTTATGCGGATCTGTAGGCTACTACCTAATCTACATGATGCCCAAAAATGAATGCGCCAGAGTTGAAATGAGAAAAGTTACGAGATATGTTGCAAAACTTACTTCGTAACTTTTGTGCTTATGTGCTAACCTAATACCTCGGAATGAAGTTTCAGAGAAAAACGTCTCTTTGCGGCCGAGATTATGCAAAAGGCAGTTTGAAGTTTGGCAGATGTGACTTTGACTAACTCAGCATTGAATTACAGGACAGAGGAAGTAGAGCGTGAAAAGAAGAAATGATGTCGCTCTTTTTGGGCGATTACGCCAGATCATCTCAGCTGATTTACCAACACCTCAACTTTTTACCAAAAAGATTTAGTGTGCATTAGTAGCTTAACAGCACTTAACACACCAACATGATGACAAAAATTTGGCAGAAAGTAACGGTCAATCCATGCATGAAGCCTTATATAAATCTGATGTAAACGCTAGATAATCATCTCCTGTCTCCCGAAAAATTCAACTCTTGTTCCTCGCAACACAAAAACAGCGGATTGACAAAGCTTACACAAGACGCACAAGATCATTAGCATCGAAGTGATGTGATCTATAATAGTAAGTCGAGTGGAAAACATGTTTGAGGCTTGAATTAATTTTCAGAGAGGATCAAATTGCTGTAAGTGGCAGACCTCGCTGAATAATGACTAATTTTGTTAAAGGAGAAAACGAGGTCCGTCCGTTCGCTTTTTCAAAGAAGATAATTTTAACGACTCGGAGAAAAATTTCTATTTTCAGGCTTATCTTCTGACCTGTAAGCACTAGTACACTTATAGCAAAAAATGTGGCTGAAAAACCAGAAAAGGATGTATTTTTCTGTTCACAGGGTGTTTGGAATGTACCTGGCCTAAAGTACTTCTAAATCGAGTTTTGACGCGCTTTTTATTTCATTGTGCTCATCAAGCCCAGATACCATTATTTCGGTGAAAATCAGGTTTCTTTGTGGGTTCTTTGGTTTTTTATGAACAGTCTTTTCCTTAAAACGCTTGTTACAAAGAAGGAAACATAATTCACAGAGAATTTGGTACACCTTTCAAAAATCCCTTCTACGAGGCACCTTATATGTGCTTCTCTTTTCGTAGAAGTAAGTTCGTTTTAAATACTGTGCCTGAAAGGATATTTATATTTCATCTTCAAAACTTTTAAAAGCGTGTAAAATTTTTGAAAACGATACAACGAAGGTCAGAGAGGCGCTACAAACGCCAGTTGATTAAGACCTTATAATTTCGAAAACGCAAATTTGTGCCGCTATTGTCTGCTGTAATTTAGCACATGAAAAAAATCTTTTTTCGCTAGCTATCGAGTGTCATGTAAAAGTGTAAGCTTGAGACCTTTGTAGCTAAAAAAAGGAAAACTGTCTCCGTTTTCCGGCGTTAAAGAAAAAAGTAGAACAAATCAGACGACGCACTCCTCCGCCCCTTCAAAAAAGCTGAAAAAAATTGTTTACTTCCAAATTCTTTAGGGTATCTTGAAGTAAGCAAATTTTTTCATTGTTGATTCAGTGGTGTCTAGGTTTGGCGAACAAACAGCAAAAATCAAGTTAGGATTTGCAGTTGAAGCACTTGAGCCAGAAACTTTTCAAACACCCTGTATCTTTCACTAAATTTTTCCAGCAATCGCACAAATGATTAATGCTCGTTAACTTACAGGTGATTTTTTGTAATCACTTGGTAAACAATGGTCAAAAAATATCTTGTGGAGTTCAGAAATAACTTTTTTGCAACCGGATCAACCTGATCTCCTATTGCTAATAATTCATTCAATAATGCTCTAATACTAAATTATAGAGAAAAACATTTTCTCAGTTTTGAGCAAAATAACATCATCCCTTCCATGTAGAATCAATGTATTATGCTCGTTTAAAAGCCTTCGAGCAATTCTAAAATTGGATTGAATTTCGCCCAGCATGCACTCAAGTCAGAAATCGATATTCCATTGCCAAGCAGACAGCTCAATCGTACTAGCATTTTATAAGCAAAGTACATACATAGCCAATTCGCTCGCAATTTCTCTCGGCAAAATCCCCACTGAAAGCCGCGAGATTCGCGCTGGGAAATTTTTTTCTCAGGGATGTTTCGTTGGAGGTCATGGTGGTTTGATTCCTATCCAACTTCACGTAATTTTGAAAAGCTATGACGTTGAGCACAAATTTCCAACTATAAGGACAACCCAGAATGCATTCCATATATAAGCATCGTCGGAGCCCTAATATAATGCGCTCACATTCTCTCCTCATAGTAGTGAACTGAGAACTAATGCAAGAAACAAAAAAGTCTACAACATGGTGTTTTTCCGAGAAAATGTGACCTTCTCGTTACATCAAAAGCAAATACTATAGTCTTCGAGACTTCATTCAAGGTGACAAATTCGTCTGCAAATTTCTCGCAGAACGCTTGACACTTCAACAGCGGTCCATGAGAACAACATCAAGAGGTGTAAAAAATAGTCCCCAGCGCAATCAGTATTCATCATTCAGTAGCTGATATGAGCTGAACTGCAACAAAATGTTGAAGAAGATAGCTCGATTCTTATGAATTAAATTCTCAACAGCTTTAAGGGGTTATTCTAGTAAAAAAGCTCTCAGATGTGTCCGGATATAACAGGGTGAGGAGAAAGTTAAGAAAAATGTTTCATACTTTTTCCATTTTGAGATTTTTGGAAAAAAATTGACGAACTCACTTATAGGTCAGGCCGATACTGTGACCCATGAGCTCATCCGCAGATTCGCCATCGACCAGTTCCGGATCGTCCATAGTGGCCAGCTAGGAATATGCTAGTCAATTCGATGACATATGGTGTGTGAGAGAAAATGCCTTCGCGAGAGATTCGGATGGTAACAGCAAGTCGTGAAGCGGGACATTACAAAAACATTACTTTTTGTGAATAAAGATATGAAGGGATGTTGTTATGACCAGCTCTGAATGTGAGATTTTGGGAATAAGTAAGTGGGAAGTAGGGACACTCCATCTGTAGCTCTAAAAATGTTATGAATGGTATAAGCAAGCTTAATCCTATTGAGATGATAAAATTTTCTCAAAGCTTATGATGATGGTAAATCTGATATCGGGTATGTAAAGCCAAGTCTGCTAAGAAGAAGAGCATCGTTCAAGAGAAATAAAGTCATACGTCTTAAGAGCAGGGCATACTCCACGCGATTCAGTCGCGAAGCGATTTGGCAACATTCCAACTGTTCATAACTCATTGTAAGCACATTTTGAATGTATAGAAAATAAGGCTTTTCATCAATCCACGTAAGTTATACACACTATGCATGTGCAGATTGCTAGCGTTGATTCTGAAGACTTCTGGCAAATTGCCGAATCGCGTTGCAACTGAAATCGTGTAAAGTATGCCCGGTCCTTCAGACATAGCCACTAGTTTCATTACTCGGAAAATGATTGAGTGAGGGCTTAAATCCGATTATTTACATGAAACAAGATTACATAATACATGATAAGCAAAATAACGTTTCCACCGAAGTATGGAAGCACTTCAGAAGGTCTCAATTTGACGCTACATTGTCATGACAACCGGACACTTTTGCCATCAGCGAAAGTAAAGGAGCAGGCCATAGCTTCGCAAACTACTTTGGCTTCCTGTGAGCTCTAATCGGATCCCGATAAATCCAAGAAGTCGGATAATCAAGGTTTTGGTGCGTCTCAGTGATACGAGCAGGAACTGTGATGAATGGCGGATACGGCTATAATTCAAAAATATGTGGAAGAAGTGAGGACTGAGCAGTTTTTGGTCCGATCCAGCAGGACGTCAACATCATAAAGCAGTGTAAGCTGCCCTGGACTAGTTTACCCTGAAGCGACTAGCCGTCTGGGTGCGGCTCGAACTGACCTTCTCGGAACAGGCAGCCTCGCGTCATCTGCCGCTGCTGCATGGAATGACGCGGAAGCGACCACGGTGGGGGACGAGTAGCGACCCGCCCTCGCCGTCTGTTATCGAACACTTGCAGCGGCGATTCGCCGTCTGCGGATCTGGTGTCGCTTTTGCAGTGCAGCTGCAGAAACCGAAGGGGACTAGAGCCCGGAGACGCAGACAACGTGTCCGACTCGGTGTTTTCAATTCCAAGGACATTTCCTTCTGCTCGACATTTCATCGAGATTTTTCTAATGCGCTACGTGCGGGAGAGATGAGGAGACATGGTGCGTTGCCGTGGGAACGCGCACTCTAGATGAGATAAGCGATTAGAGGTGACTCATAAAACAGCTACCGCTGAGAATATCTCTCCCTCACCTGACTAAACTCTTAGACGTGAACGGGAGTTTTCAGCTTGCAAAGATTGAAAATCTCCAAAAAAGTGACACACGACTCGGTTTTTGCTGTACTAATTACCAATTTCAGCGATGCGAATTCATGTTTCACCAATATCTCAAGAATAACCCAAGAAATAAGCGAATAAAACATTCCCCTTTTGCCTTTCTCTTTTTCGCCTTTCACAACTTCAGCGCAGTTCACCAAAAGCCGACAACATATTCCACTTACAAATATTACCATCACTCTCCGTCCATCCCAAGGAGTAGACATGTTGCTCCTAGAACAGGTCGAAGAAAAAGAAGTTCGACAGAGCGAGTCAACTACATAAAAAAAGCTGTACTCTTCGTAAGATTGGTGTTACAGCAAGTAATGAAGAACAGTTCAATCTGATTGTAATGTCAGATGTTAGCACAAAAGACTGCAAGTATATAAAAGATTTTACCAAACATGGACGACTTCAGAGGAGAAATAAAACTTCAATACCCATAAATATCTTAAACACAATCTGACGACTTAGTTTAGGAGAGCAACATGCTTTAACACACCCAAAACGCCCTTGATGGGATACCTAATCAGCAATAAATAACCAGAAAACAAAAAAAATAACAACTGCATAACATTGACTTCAACAGATACGACTTTGCCGGATTCTACGACTTGATCGAATTGCGGAGACTATAGCGAGGCAAGCAGTGATTCAGAGCGCGCACGAGCGTCCGTTACTTTCTGCGTGAATTGCGTGTCTTCAGCGCTGGCAGATTTTTGTTGACTCTTCTGAACACTAGCGATGTAGCCATCCAGCGCATCCATGATTGACTTCTCATATCTCAGCAGCTCTTGAGCCTTAAATAAAATCTTGCAAATTCATACCGCGGTATAGAATAAGCCTAATGGCACTGTGCAGAAAAAGCAATCAGGCTTTGTGCAAAGTATTGTGCAAATGCATAGACATCTCCCGTGGAGTTAAAACGTTGACATACCTTATCATAAGACTCTTGGCTGTCCTCTTTCAAAGTTGCAAGCGCCGACGACAACTTCCCGTTGATGTCAGCACGATCCGTTTCCAGTTTCTTTTTACCATCCTGAACTTTCTGTGGATACTTCCATAACAATAACTACCGAAAACGAACCTGCAAGACCGAAACATCGCGTGATGTTTTATACTGATTCACAGCATTGAGAAATTGCGTGAAAATACGATTTTTCTTATCGACCAACTGGGAAAGCCCCGACACCTTTCCCAAGATACGTTCGCGTGCTTCACGTGCCGGATCCTAAAATATTTCGATTTATAGGCAAAGATCAAGTATCGAATAAACTAGTTCAATGAATCAGGGCAAAAACGCTCGATAGACGTGACAAACTTTCCAAAGCGTAACTTACCGCAACGATTGTGAAATCGAACCGCACATAGATAATTACAACGGTAAAGAGTGCAAAGAAAAATGCCGTGGCGAGCAATGGTTCGCGGATCATTTGCGAGAACTCAAATTCGTAAAACAGCTGAAAATGTATGACATAATTTCCAAATTCTAGCAAAAAAGGACATCGATTTATTCAGATCGAAGAGCATCAACTCACAGTGAAAGACTGGATATGCTCTGGAACAAGGTTTTCTTTCTGTAACACTATGACTGTTCTGCCAGTTGTGTCCAAGTACGTAGCGCGGACTTCATCGGGTCTTCTCTCCATGCTGTATGGTGTGGTAAGCCTCACTTTTCTGAAATCAAACATGAATTTTAGAAAGCAGAGATGCGTTACACATCGGAAAAGGTTAGGTGCAATGTGTAACAAAGGGTGGCTTGGTTTGTCGAGCACCCCAATTATATGTTGGTTCTTTCTCAACAATTCAAACTATATGACCCTTTTTCTCAAGACTGACAGTGGTGATCAAGAGCTTACCTTATCATTTCTGGCAGGATGATCTTCGTCGTAAGCTTTTCAACCACAGCATTGTCAAAAATATGGTCGAGAACTCTCATTTTTAGCGCATAATTATTGCCCTTATTGTAAAGATATTCGAAAGAAGGCACATTATAACCGATAACGTAGGAAGTGCGCCATCCTCCAAAAAGTGGGAATCTGAACGATAAAAAAGGAATAAAATATTAACAGAGGCAATAAGTACGTGATGTGTACCTCGGCTTCAGTTCGACATCAACAGAATCAGCGCGAAGTCGCACAGCTGATGTTGATATGTTTCCAATCTCATCTCTATAGTATATATCCTTGGCCGACGCTGGTAAAATCGTCTGAATGGGTAAAGTGGAGCCTATTGAAAAAGTGCTTCTTGTAGCGATTCTATACAAGCTAATAATGAATCTAATGCCATTTGCTAGCAGCTCTTAGCTGCTCCTAGCCTCCTATTATATTTTGCATCATTATAGAAACAGCTCTTAGACTTTAAGAGCTGTTTCTATGATGATGCAACAACAAGCAAGAGTATGAATGCTCTTTTCATCATAACTTGCAAAAGCGATAAAACTTATCACAAAGTTAGAAAAGATGATATACGAAATGAAAAGCACGTAAAAATTCCTTCACTTCCGGATTTCTAAGTCACAATGCTAAAACGCAAATGGGACACAGTTCAAGAACCACTTTTGCTGGATCGCAAATTGTGGGTTCAACAAAGGGCTTCTAGATCCCCTTCTCAATCATGATGCGAACGATCAAGAAGATACCCAGAAGCAGCAGAAGAGTAGGGCCGTCTTTGCATTCGAGAAAAAAAAAGCAGTGTCACACAGTAAAATCTGTTAATAGTGGGACTTACCGTGAAATGCAGAAGAGCCGGTTGTCGACGCCCCCTACGATCCAGTTGATGATCAATGCGAGAGAAGGGTCCCTAGATGACTTTCACGATGAGCGAACAAGTGTTGACTACACTCAGTGTCCAAACGCTTATAGGCAGCGGCTCGGCAGAATAGACCTACCTTAGATTTTGACACAGAGGATAGGAGGCCCTTCAAGTGAACCAAAAGAGCAACTCCGGGCCGAAAATATGAATTCTGCAAGCCAGGGGGGCGGCCCAAGCCTCGCTCCCCTTCCTCCTTTCGCTCCCCTAACACCTTATTCGGACGAGTATTCTCCGCTAGACGGCGCGGGACCCCCAACCGCTTTTCCGCATTGTGCATGCTATACAAAGCCAAAATTACAGGCAGCAGGGTCTTCGTGCCAGGTCCTCCCGACTCTCCTTTGAAAAATTCTCGTCCGAGTTGCCTTTTGGAAATTGAAAAAAACGCCCCGAAAAAGGCTTTTCACCCCTTTTAAAGCTCAGATTCGGGATCTACGGGTCGAGAAGGCCCAAAGCATGCAAAAAGATGGAAGTGCAAAATCTGCCGAGCCGCTGCCTTTATGTGAGAAATACAATGAACAGATAAGATATTTGATCAAGAAGACAAAATCACCTTGAGTTCCGCTCCCTTGTGCACCAGTTCGATGTATTCCTCCACGGCAATATTGCCCCAGTGTGATACTTCGATAGTGCGCTCAACGACTGTTGCCACCACAAATGGAGCATTGTTCTCATAATGTATTTTTATGGGTTTCTGTAAGATTGCATATCAGTGTGGTTGTATGATACACTGTAGATACCTTATTGAATGCTGGTTGGTCCTTGTACGGGCCATAAACGACTCTCTCGTTTTCTTGAGCGGTTGGTGATACTTGCGACACAGATAGCGTTTTACCAGGGCCAAGCTTCACTGTCGTCTTCTCTTGCTCAACAGGATAAGCAGCTGCATAGTGCGCATTTCCATTATAAACGACATACCTGGAATTAGAAAATGTAGCGGGGAAATACTATGCTTTAGGCTGCGTTCATACTAACCTCGAAGACCGGGAATAGCCTCAGCACAACGCTTAGTTTGAGCACTGTGCTGGAACTGTTCCCGGACTTCGGGGTCAGTATGAACGCAGCCTTAGAAGTTAACCAATAAGCTAGCATGAAAGGGAACAGGATAGCGAACCCAAATATTACTTAGGGCCGCATGCACTAACAACCCCGCTAGGGAGGGGATCGCAGCTCAGAAGAAAGCTTCATATTCTGAAGCTCCAGATATCTAGATTTCATGCTGTCTACCTGTCCGCAAGTATTCCTACTATGCTACGAACATACTGAACAGGAGCGAGAAGTACAAGCCGCATTTTCCAGCTTTTGTATGATCCCTGGCGATCCCCGGCGCTTTTCTTTAAAGCCATTTTTCTTTCTCCGAAGTTGACGAAAACCTTCCGAAGTTTTACTAATCATTTAACACAACAGTGCTAAGCATGCTACCGATGAGAACAAATGAGTTTTCAAAAAATCGAATTTTTCGATAGATCACAACTTTCGACTTGTGGTTCATCGCAAATTTCATGACTCCGATACATCACTTGTTCTTATCAGCAACATGCTAACAAGGGAATGGTCAGAAGTCGAAGTGGCCAATCCATACAAGCTGCATACCATTCGATGCAGCATAGAATGCTGATTTCAAATGTGTCTTCCGTATCTGCAGAGCGCCTTTGTGGGCGAAGTTATGAGCAGCTTTACTGCGGAAAAATCGTCCACAAAAACTGCGAAATCAGGCAGATCACTGCTCTTTTAGCTCACCTTTAGGTACGAGCCATATGAACCGACCTAGTTACACGTTTTGGTCCAACAATGAGCCGAGAATGGCTTTGTACGGCCAAGTTTGACCTTTACACGCACAATTTCTTAGCAAAATGATGACATTTAACGGCTTATAACTTCGCCTACAAAAGCGCTCTGCAGATAAGGAAGACAGATCTGAAATCAGCATTCTATGCTGCATCGAATGGTATGCAGCTTGCTTGAATTGGCCACTTCGATTTCTGACCATTCCCTTGTAAGCAGTGTTGGATTAGATAATCTGCACAACTTGGAAACTTTTCGTTAATTTTGGAGAAAGAAAAATGACTTCAAAGAAAAGAAGCGGGGATCATCAGGGATCATACAAAAGCAGGGAAATGCGGCTTGTACAGCTTCTCGCTGCTGTTCAGTGTGTTCATAGTGGAGGATAGTAGGAATACTTACGGTTACGTACACAACGTGAAATCCAGATATCTGGAGCTTCAGGATATAAAGCTTTCTTCTAAGCTGCGATCAACTCCCCGTGGGGATGTTAGTGCATGCGGCCCTTAGACTGCATATTACAATAAAACAAGAGAAACTTCTGAGCACTACATTGTGAAAAGCTTGCAGTTGTGGCTAACAGATAAGCAAGAAACACAACCGCAAATCTCACTTACTGATTTTCCTTCTGAGTAATTTTTGCCGGAAGAGGCTGTAGAAGCTCGATCAGCCTATACTCAACCTTCAACTTCAATTCAGCACCCTTTCCCACTTGCTTTAGCAGCTCGATTTTGTACGACTAAAAAATAATGTGCAAGGAGGCATTATATCGTTGATAATGAATTACAAACATGAAATCCATTCTTCTCTCCTTTTTGTTTTGAAACTTTCAATCTTCCCTTGCTATTGCCCTCCTGAGCGGAGATATAAGACAGATGTTCGTTCTCTTCGTTGCTGAGTACCACCTCTACATAATTTGCGTCCGAAGATCCAGTATTCGAAAGCGTCAACTGCGAAGAAACTTTCACAATCTGAAACGAAGATAATTCGGCCAGACCCATGATCAGACGGTTTCTAGGTTTACGACGATCACTTCGTTGAACAGTTATTGCTTGCCGATATGAAACTTCGTCTGGAGAAACCAGTTCATTATGAGCGCACACAAAACACTGTTCACTGATTGTAACTTTTTGAAACACGGTAGGGACAGATGCGAATAATGAAAGATCGCTAAACGCTAGAATGCAGCATTCACAGCCGATTACAACTACCTCGCTGTATATTGGGGTACTCATATACACTGAGTTGTACTCGCAGTCGTGTGAAATGCGAAAACCGTTGTGGTGCTATTTCGGAGAATTACTTCATCGTGCAATGTGGATGCGGCATCGTTCTCTTCCAGCTGTATAGGGCATTTGAAAAATCGTGACGATGGCGCGACCGCGCGCGACATGCACGCACTCCCATTTCTTGGTTTATATCTTTAATCAAATAGTTTTTCTGCTTAGATACGATAGTATTCAGACACTGGAAGTGACTGAGCTAAGTGTTGAGGTGATGCCTTTTTGTATGGGTGTTTTATGCTCCTGTGTGCGCAAGGACCGCAATCAACTCATCGTCACGCTTTTAAAAATGAACCATATATACTCGATTCATGACACGCAAAGACTGGGCGCCGTTGCGCCCGTCCAAGATAGTTCGTGCTTGGGAGAGACCGCAGATTGTAAGAGAAACGAACGGGCGCTAGAGAGACGCCGATACGTCCGCAATATATGCGTGCTATGAGTCGCCTATAAGATTCAAACAAAGATTAAATACACTTTTCTCGCTAGCAAGGAACCACCACTGAGGCACGAGCCACACATACTTTACCTTTCTGTTTCTTATCTGGCGTTGCATGAGACTGGTTCATACTGATCCCTAAGCTCCGGAACAGTGCCAACACAGTGCCCGAACTGTGCTCTGTGCTGGAACTGTTCCGGAACATACGGATCAGTATGAATCCAGTCTAAGAGAATGAAACAAGCGAGATCTGACAACACCAAATGGCAAATCATCAGTGCTTTTGGAACTCTGTGTTTTCTTCTAAATCGGATGAAGTCAAACTTTGTGGAATATTCCCGCTCTGTATAGCAGAACATTTCAAAAATGGAAAGTGTGAAGATCCCACCTGAGATGACAGATCGATTGTCCTCTCGACATTAGCCACTTTCCAATCAGCAGCAAACGCCACTCCCACAATGAGGATCAGTGGTAAGACCAGCATCCTGGAAAACTATTCACCATAGAACGGGGTGTTGCTCGCAAAGGATGACGGAAACAAGAACGAAAGCCGAGTCGATGTTAAAGAGAGTATGGAAAGAGAAACTACAGCTCTTCTTAGCACAAAGTTATAAGAGAGTAACGCCTTTTTGAAGTTTCTCCTCACTGCTTTGTCAGATAGATTTCCTTTGGAAAAAGTTTATCTAATATCACTGGTTTTTAGATTTGCTATTAAAGCAATTGGGAATTGTAAGTTTATATACTAAAAGGGTAGGACTTTGTAGTGGAAATCCAAAGGACGCAGTGCTCATTGATTACCAGAAGCACTGTTCGCGTTTGCATGGCTTGAAGTCTTGGGGACCTGTCAGGGACCCATGTTACTTCGCCCGAAAAAGCCGAAAAAAAAAACAGAAAGGCCCGAAAAAGCCCAAAAAACCGAAGAAGCCCGAAAAAGCCCGAAAACGCGGAAACGGCCCTTCCGTTTTGACGCTAAGGCATGTGTGTTGATTTCGCAACCGAGTCTTTTTGCTTCATTTTCTGTCGTCTGCACATCAAAACAATGTCAGAATTTTATCAAAAGTTCGTTTCTGCGTTTCGGCTCTTTCGAGCTTTTTCCTGCTTTTTTGGGCGCTTTAGGGCGCTTTTGGGCTTTTCTCGGCGAAGTATGACGGGTCCCTTGCATCTGAAAACGTTTGCTTGAACGCAATTCGCGCACCATAAAAATCCAGTGATGGGAAACAAAAAACAATGAAACACTCGAAAAACGATATTTGTCCCGCATAAAAAATGCTGAAGCATTTCAAATCACCATTGCGTCCACGACCAGCCACGTCACCTTGGCATTTGTAAAGTTGACAAAAGTCTGCGAATATAAGCCTAAACTGAACTATTACTAAGACTCAACAAAGAATATTATAATACAATTCTTTCCAGGCTATTAACTATATTAACTACCAACGTTGGCAGATGCGGAATATGCCCGAGAACCTCATAACTGCTTGAGAAAACAATGTAACCATAAACTAATGCAAAATAGATACAATAGCCAAATAAACAACGAAGTCGTATTCCAGCTTGAGGCTTGAAACAAGTAATAGAATGTGGACGAGTTGATAACCAGTAGTTACACGTTTGTACCGGCAGCTTGCGTGAGTGCGAGGACCCGCGTGAATTCTCCCCCGCGCAGATGATGATATTTGCAAATTGGTTTAACTTTTCAAATTCATTCTCTTTCCATTTGACCTCTACTTTTCTTGCCGCTCCAGGATATCATCTCATTTTTGAAGCTATGGGCTTCAGGCATGCACTTAGCAGTCCGTCTACGAACTTTAAAGTTCGAGTGCGGTAGTTTTCGCCGGATTTCTGCTTTCAGTTTCTACCAGAATTCCTGTTTTCTCAGATCTTCTTGAAGAAACGTGCAGTTTTTGCTTGAGAAGCTTTAAGATGATTCAATCTCGTTCATTTAGATTAAAGATGGGTAAACAGCGAAAAGGAGGTCTTCCATACCTCAAGACTTCTCTGAGCTTTACCTGGAGTCTTTCTGTTTCCCCTGAGCAGGAGACCGTATTCTCTGATGTGCTCAACTATCTGGAATCATGTGGATGTGGCAGTGAAGAGCCTGAACCGTCAGCTTCTAATCGCTATTCCTGTTTTGTCAATGATGCTGCTGGATTTGCACTTCAGAATTGTTTTGATCTTGTAAAAACGGAGTCCATTGGTATTGTCTTCTTGGACTCATCTCTTTCTCGTCCAAGTGCTGTCGGAAATGCCCTTGGAATGTATTTCAACAATTTCTCATCATCCAAAACCTACTGTATGCCTGGACTGGAAGAGCGACTCCTTGCTAGTTTGAATAGGAGAGCGAACGCTTTATTTTTACGTAAATGTCCATCTGAGCTTGATGAGCGCATCAAGTTGACGTTCAATCCCGTTGTTGTGGAGAAACGAAAGGGTGGATCATACTCGCCTGTTTCGCTTATCAAATCTCAGGGTAAAGGTGTCAAGAACAAGACTTAGTATATATCAGTTACTTGTCAGAGTAATTTATTCTTTCTTTGTCGCATGCGACAAAGAAAGTGCACTTGATATTTGATTATTTATATCGTTATCACCCTTTATTTTGTAAGATCGTTGACTCATTTGAAGCATTCCATGTTCAGATATTTACCTTCCTCATTATCATTTTGTAAGTTTGTCTGAGATAAAGTCATTGCAATGTTCCAGTGGTGAAATATGGTCGCACCAGTCGCAACGCAAGAAGAAAAGGCAAAAGAAGACAAATCAGCTAAAGATGACAAGAAAAAAACCAAAGAGGAGAAGAAGGATGAGATGGTGAACATTTTTTGCCTCTTGTTCGTGATTCTATCATGATTCGTTACAGACGGAAGAGGACAAGAAGTTAGAGGAGGACTTGAATATGCTAGTACAACGACTCAGTGTCAGTGACTTTTCCCCTGTTTTCTTCCTGCACAGTCGAAGGAATATCCTTGAGCTTTTCCATACTATCAACTATAATTACAGGAAAATGATGTCAGTCTGTACCAGCCATCTCTTGAAACTATGCGAACGCTTATCCGAGCATCCACCACTTCCATGACTTCGGTTCCAAAGCCTTTGAAATTTATGCGGCCTCACTATAATCAGATGAAACAGATCTTTGAGAAGATGCAACCCGGCCCTACTAAAGTGAGAATGTTATTGGCATTTCGGCAAAATCTTACGTTTTTGTTCCAGACCTTGTGCGCCGACATTATATCGGTGTTAGCCATGTGTTCAGATGAAAAGAGTGACTGCATCAATTTTCGAATGAAGGTCAGCTTTTTATCTGCTCGAATGTCTTTTCTTCGCATGTTATGTCCTATCCTGCCACATGCTACACTAATAACGCTGTTTAGGGGATGCTTGAACCAATCGGCGATTGGGGTCATGAATATGTTCGGCATCTGGCTATGGAGATGTCCGAAGAATGGAAACAAGCTTCTGATGGGTCGGAGAAGAGCAAAGCTAGGTAAATTCAAGCTATTTATGTTTGATACTCCATAACTTCTACGTACTGCAGGCGTAACGAACTGCTAGTGCTGGCCAGGGACATTGTGATGCACAACATGAAACATAATGCAGAGGTAAATTTCGGTTTTTGTTTGCTTACATGATATCAAACACTCAGGTTTTTAGGTGGAAGCATGTGATTTACTGATCGAAATTGAGCGACTTGATCTTCTTATGGAATATGTTGAAGAAGTAGATCATCAGCGAGTTTGCCTTTATCTTCTCAGGTATTCACCTTCCATTAAATTTGGCTTTTTGTCTGTTACATTTATATCTAGTTGCGCTCCACTGACGCCTGATCCAGACAACATTATACTGATCCGAACTGCTAAGGACATCTATTTGAAGTACAATCGGTATCTCGAAGCTGTTCGATGTGCTATAATGTTGAATGACCCCACTGAAATCAAGAACATATTTTCGAAGACTACTGACCTGTAAGTTCTTCATCTCGTGTAATTTCATTAGAAGCGTTCAGTGTTATCATGTAAGGTTATCTATCAATAGTAATAATCCGCTTATCTGATGTAAGTTCAGGCTTCTTCAGAAGCAAATGGCTATATTGCTGGGAAGACATCAGATCTTTTTGGATTTTGAAAATATGGCAAACGGCGAGCAACTAGGTGAACTGAATTCGAATGCTCATCTCTACGAATACTTTCATTCTCTTGCTCGGGAACTGGACATCATGGAACCTAAGACTCCTGAGGGCATCTACAAGAGCCACTTGGAACATAGTCGTAAGCTTACTTTTGCTGAAGTAACTTGCGGTGAATTTTGATTAGTGTGTTTTCTAGGACCTTTTGGAAACACAGCAGCGCCGGATTCAGCACGTATGAACCTTGCCGCTGCATTCGTCAATGGATTTGTTAATTGTGGATTTGGAGTAGACAAAATGATGGCTGAAAGCGAAGATGCTAGCAAATGGTTCTACAAAAACAAAGAATATGGTGTGTTGTAGTATTCCGTGTACAGTGCGAATGATGTTGAATTTGATAACTAGGTATGCTATCCGCTGCTGCGTCTCAAGGCCTTGTTTGGAGATGGGATATAGACTCTGGACTCGGACAGTGTGACAAATTTTTATATGTCAATGACGACTTCATCAAGGTATAAATCTCTCAGAGGTCTTGGAGTTTGTGTAAAATTATTCTTCAGGCAGGTACTCTCCTAGCAATTGGAATAATTTCTTCCGGAATTCAAGATGCCTGTGATCCAGCGTCTGCATTACTTATCGATCATATTCATTCAGAAAGGTATCGTTCTTGCTTTTATCATTTTCTCTACGTTTTCTCCGAAGGGATACGACGAATTTTTTGTTCAGAGCCGTAATTCGAGTTGGATCTGTACTTGGCTTGGGCCTTGCTTACGCTAATTCAAAGAGGGAAACTGTGGTCAAGAACGAAGAAGGAGGCGTGATTTTTGAGCTAAAAAAGGTAGTTTGCTTTTTCTTCAATTTTTAAGATGATTTCTTCTTTCTTTCTAAGGTTCCACTTCGCTTGGGTAACATATCATGTTTGCACTCGGCTCCTGAAATTTCGACTTTTGGTTACAGGTGCTTACTGACACAAAACCGTCAGCGACGAGCGAAGTAAAAGGTTTAACAGGCTTGGCTCTTGGTCTGATAATGGTTGGGACTGCCGATCACACCGTAGCAATGGAGATGTTGCAAACCTTGATGGAGCGTAGCGAGTCAGAGCTTAGCGACCCTAACATGCGATTTTTAGCCCTAGGAATAGCTTTGATTTTCCTCGGTAAGTGCTCGTTTTGCTTTTGTCAGAATCCCTTCTACATTTTGATAAAGAATTCCATCGTCCATCTTTCATCATTCAGGTACGCAAGAGAAGAGTGAGGTGTTTGTGGAATCTTTGAGATCTTTGCCTGAACCTTTCGGGCCCATGGTTAGTTTAGTGGCTAGGTTGTTTGAGAGGTAACCAAGTAAATGCATAGTAACTGTTGTGATTGCAGGTGTCCACACTCGTTGATGTTTGCGCATATGCTGGCACCGGTAATGTGCTTAAAATACAGAAACTCTTGCATATGTGTTCAGAACACTATGAAACTGAGGACAAGAAGAAGAAGGTAAATTTAGTGGATATTATTCGTACTGTTATCTTCCTCTTTCTATAAATAACTTCGATTTGCAGAAGGATGAAAAATCCAAGAAGGATCCCAAAGAGAAAGATAAAGACGCTAAGGTTGATTTGTCATCTCAGCAAGCGGTTGCTGTGATTGGAATAGGTCTCATTGCTATGGGTGAAGATGTTGGATCTCAGGTATGGTTACCCTCCCTCATGTCAAACCTCATGTATTAATCTTCACTTTACTGGTTTTCATTCTGACTAGCATTTTCAGATGGCTCTAAGGATGTTTGGACATCTAATCAGATATGGTGAGCCAGTAATCCGGCGAGCCGTGCCTCTAGCGCTGGCCTTGATATCAGTATCTAATCCTCAACTCAATATTCTGGAAACACTGAGTAAATTTTCACATGATGCCGATGCTGATACTGCTCATAACGCCATATTTGCCATGGGTTTGGTAAGTGTGTATCGTATTATTTTTCTCCCTTCATCATTGTTTTCTTTCTCAATCTGTTGTATGTAGGTTGGTGCTGGTACAAATAATGCACGATTGGTAGCAATGCTGAGATCATTAGCGAGCTATCATCACAAGGATCAGGTAGGTGACTGAAAAGAAAAAGGATAAGGTGGCCTTCTTCAATGTGTGTTCGACCGTGTGTTTTCAGGTCTCACTGATGTTAGTACGGCTTTCTCAGGGACTTACCCATTTGGGTAAAGGCACAATGACCCTGAATCCATGGCATTCTGATCGTCAGCTACTCTGTCCTAGTGCTATTGCTGCGTTACTCACTATATGCTTTGCATTTTTGGACGCCAACAACTCGGTAAGTACCGCTAGTCTGGTTGTGGCTTAAATATTGATTCTGAGCTTTAAGGTATTGAACAATCGACAACATTACTTGCTTTACTCACTAGTACTAGCAATGCAGCCTCGAATGCTAGTCACATTGTGCGAAGATGATAAGAAACCAGGACAGCTGAAACAAGTACGGCGATATCTTATCTTGTTGGAGTGAATCGCTTGTTGATTGCTATATAGTTCAAATGCTACTTCCAGGTTGGGGTGACTGTGCGAGTTGGTCAAGCGGTAGATGTTGTAGCTCAAGCGGGTAAGCCAAAAACCATCACAGGGTTCCAAACACATACTACCCCTGTCTTACTGGCATACGGTGAACGAGCCGAGTTGGCCAATGAAGAGTGTACGTTTCAGCATTTTACGTTTTCACCGCTTGACGCGAAATTATGCAATTATTGCAGATATATCTATGACACCGTACTTGGAAGGTCTGGTGATATTGAAAAAGAATCCGGATTACGATGTGCCTGTGGCAGCTAAGAAATGAAAATAATAATTGTGTTGATCTGTGTTTCATTGATCTTTGCTTAAATTTACACAAAATTATTGTGACAGTGTTGGAGCTTCGAATGTTGTTTGTCTGTCCTAGGGTAGATTAATGCAATGTATCTATGAATAATATCTCTTAATAATCTATTGGTGTAGCACTTTTGATCTTGTACGGTTTCACCTCAACACATCTGCGACTAGGTGTGACGAGTTTTTACGAATAAAATAAGTTCGATATGGCGTTGTGATAGGAATTCAGAAAAGAGGAACGTCGTCAGAGCCGTCTAATATAAGATTACTACGCAGTCTATGAGTAGGCCCGAAAAGTGAATCGCCTGTATGGGTTCGCTCCGCTAATGTGCTTTTAAGGGGGGTAAATCAACCTGCGATCCGGAGAATCCCGTTCAGCTCCTCTCATCCAAAGATTGTGTTCTGACGTGGCAGGCCGTGGAGAAGTGCACCCACTGTATATATTTGATTCGTTGACCGCACGGACTGCTCAGACGCTGCGAACCACGTGAGGTGCGGCTAAAATGTTGCGAAAGCACGATTTATAGTATGTATGTACATTGGCGAATTTGTACTGGAGCAAGCGTTTTACCTCGCGGCGCGTTCTCCGTAGTGTCCAGTCCGTGTGGTCAACGAATGAGCTATAGTGCAGGTGGTTTGGAACTCATTTAAATCAGGGTCTAAGAATGATAAAAACATCAAAGACGAAAGTCTAGGTTGAGCTGCCTTCTATTAGGTTGGTGCGAAAGTAATGCGCGTTTTGCGAGTTTTCACTTTGACGCGCTATAGGTTTCTTAAAAATCCTGTGAAAACTAGGAGATCTAGACTATCGACTCACATAAATACTGTTCGCTAGAAATGTTTTTTTTTTTGATATAGTTAATGGGGTGTTTTTAAGGGGTGTGCCACACTCCATTAACTATATCAAAAAAAACATTTTTAGCGAACAATATTTATCTGAATCGGTAGCTTAAACCTCGTAGATTCCGTAGGAATGTTTTAAGCCTGATTCGTCTTCTTAGCTCTAAGTAATTTTTGGTGAAAGCACAGCCATCAAAAGCGGAAAATGGGAAAAACGTGCTTTTGGATGACTTCTAATTTCACAGTTTGGAGGTCTTTTCAAGCGGGATTTCTGGAATGGACAAAGAAGGATAGGTGCTTGTCTTGAGTGCAAAAACGGACAGCTAATTCACCTTTGAAACAAAGTTAACCATGCTGGAATATGACCATTTCACTTAGGTAGCCTAGTATCTTGAATCTTCGAAATTCGCTCAAACTTTGTTTGCAGGGGTTAATTGACATGCTAATTATGGATATGATACAAATATCATGTTACCACTATTATCAGATTACCCAACTACACCCGCTCCCCTTTTGGCTCCTCAATACGACCCCTCAGGTGTGGCGTGCCACACTCCACGCGTGACCCTGATCATGACTCCCTTCAAAATTTGTTAGTATAAATGCTAAGTAGCCTATCTTGTAGCCGCAATCCAGTAGTTCGAAAGAAGATGGAAAGTGCTCAAATAAAGAAGATTTTTGAAAAGAAAAAAAATCAAAATCCAAAAATGTCCGTCCAACGCTGGAACGTGAAACATTCTCTAAGGCTGGAGTCTTGGAATGGTGGAGAGGAGGGGGGGGGGGGGGGGAGGAGGACCTGCGAAATGAAGCTGTCCCATTCCCATTGCGGCACTTTTACCTATTTTACAAGTATAGGACGCACCCAGGGTTGAGCGTGGGGTCAGGCGCGCCCGACCTGGGGGGTCGTACTGGCGTAAGACAGAGGGGGGGGGGGGGTCGTGATTACTCAGATAGTTGGAGCGTGCGGCGCACGCGCGTTTATGGTCAATGCGGCAAAGCGCGTTCCTTATTTGTGGGCGTGCCCGGCACTACGCCAAACGCGTGCCGTCCTAGACATTTAGTGCGTGCGACGCGCGTATTAATGGCCAACATTGCGACCCGCGCGCTACGTTTATTTTCGATCTCGCCACCCGCGCGCCTAATTTTGTAGCACGCCGCGCGCGTGCCTTTATACTCTACCCGTGCGCCCCGCGCGCCTGCAATTATCACATGCTGTGAGCACAAGGGATACCCGCACAGTGTACGACGCAGTGGTCAGGCTGCCTCATCATTCAAGAGGTTAGGTATTACATCGTAGTGTATGAATGGTCGCAGGAGTGGAAGTTGTTTTTTTCTTCCAAGCGTTAGCCTTCGGTAGCATTGCAAATGGATGCTGAATCTGAATTTTTGGATTCAAGTACGAATTCATATTTTTTGGCGCATGACATTGCAAATGGATGCTGAATCTGAATTTTTGGATTCAAGTACGAATTCATATTTTATGACGCATGAAGAGTGGAATTTATTATCAAGACCTGTGGTATACAGCGCAATGAAAAACTGAAAAAATGCAGCCATCCGCGGGCCGGCACCAGCGGCGCGGCATCCAATGTCCCGCCACCCGCGCACTGGGTGTCGCGCCACCGTGTGATTGCGCGCGCGCTGCCCGCTCCAACTGTCTGAGTAGGAATCGAATTCGTTCGATTGAGGAGATACTACGATTAAGGTGAAGAAGAAAAGTGCTAGTTTAGTGGATATCGCGACCTCACCAGTACTGAAGGAATGAACGGTCTTAAACAGCATACTGACTGATTCCACAATCAAAGTTTCGGCCAAAACTCAAATCTTCATCTTCTACCTTGACATATTATAAATTCATCAAGGAAGCTTGCTGTGTGAAATGGGTATCATTTCCGAGCACGTCAAATTACCTCTATGAGCCCTACAAACCATTATTTACTGCATTATCTAGTGTTTCTCAACGACTAAAAAGCGTGATTTTCAAACATGATTAACTTGTTTTCAAAAGTGAGAAAAGTCAATTTTTTTGTACTCGTAACAAAGTATTGTTCCCTACTAGTCTAGGCTAAAAATCGCGCTTTGTATCGCTTGCAAATAGTGGAGTAAGAAATAATGCCAAAATTCCAACCGGCGCGTTTTTCTCCATGACTGCTTCAACTCCACGGATTACCTCAAGGCCGAAACAAGTCGAATCAAGTCCAAACACTTACTGTGGAATCTTCGAGGGTTGTGCTAGCGATTCACATAAAACTTGAATAAAAAAGCTTCTTCAATGGTAAAGTTAATCGGGTCAGGCGCAACCCCATAAAAGGTCAGGCCGCCTGAGCTTTTGAGGGGTTGCGCCTGACCCGATTAACTTGTTTTCAAAATCTAAAAATCGCTCCATTTCTGCTATGAGTATTGAACTCAAAGCCTCTTCTTGCAATGCTGCAATTTTGGAGCCAAACAATACACCCCTGTGGGAATTATAGCTCTACTAGCTGGCTTACCCGGCTCCGCCGTATCCGGACCAAACTTGGCACACATACACTTCGGGCCCCGGCGGGTGTCACAGTCCACTTTTCGTTATCGATCGATGTCGATTTTACCGATTTTTATCGATTTTTTGGCAGAGTTCACCTACAGGGCTAGGAGTTGGCACAGGGGGGAAGTGAGCATGGGGATTCCGAATACAATATTAGTTTTCAGAATTTTCGATTGCTTTTATTGATTTTATCGATTTTTTGTAAATTTTGACATGCGAGGCTGGGATTTTGCACAGGGGGGTAATCGAGCATGCTGATCACGAACACAATATTAGTTTTCAGGATCGTCCATTACTTTTATCGATTTTGTCGATTTTTTTGCAAAGTTTGACCTGCGGGGCTGGGAGTTTGCACAGAGGGTAATCGAGCATGCAGATTACGAATACAATATTAGTTTTCAAGATCGTCCATTACTTTTATCGATTTTATCGATTTTTTGAAAATTTGAGCTAGGGGGCTGGAATTTGGCACAGGGGTGTTCGAGCATGCTGATCACCCCCCTTGGGGATGATCAGCATGCTCGATTACCCCCCCCCCTGTGCCAACTCCCAGCCCCCTAGCTCAAACTTTGCAAAAAATCGATAAAATCGATAAAAGTAATTGATAATCCTGAAAACCAATATTGTATTCGGAATCCCCATGCTCGATTACCCCCCTGCGCGAACTCCCAGCCCCGTAGCTCAAACTTTGCAAAAAAATCGATAAAATCGATAAAAGTAATCGATAATCCTGAAAACCAATATTGTATTCGGAATCCCCATGCTCGATTACCCCTTGTGCCAACTCCCAGCCCCGTAGCTCAAACTTTGCAAAAAAACCGATAAAATCGATAAAAGTAATCGATAATCCTGAAAACCAATATTGTATTCGGAATCCCCATGCTCGATTACCCCCCTGTGCCAACTCCCAGCCCCGTAGGTGAACTCAGCAAAAAAATCGATAAAAATCGATAAAATCGATATCGATCGATGACGAAAAGTAGCCTATGACACCCGCCGGGGCCCGTAGTGTATGTGTGCCAAGTTTGGTCCGGATCGGTTCAGAAATGGAATTTTCTATTCGGAACATACGTACAGACAGACATACATACAGACAGACAGACAGACAGACATACATACATAAAAACAGACATTCAGCTTTATATATAAGAAAAGTAGGGCTATCCAAAATCCAAAACTTGCTGTCAAGTTGCGTGTGCTGTGCAATCGCAGAAAGTCGACCTACAGACCTCCAAAAAACAAGAACTTCCCAAAAACGGCTGATCTTTTCGAATTATCACAGCCTGAGGTCCTGGAGGTGAAGCAGAGGGGTCGTTTAGGGGCTTTCACTGGGGGGGGGGGGTCGTTTTGAAAAGACTTGTGCCTGACCTCTTGCTCAACCCTGGACGCACCCTCGATTTTTTAAAAGAGCCGCTCAGCCGCTTCACTCTACTTCGGAAAACGAGGCTTGTGCCGCATGGTACTCCCAGACAAGATGCAGCACTGTATATAGTTCTTATTGCGAAGTCCTTCGGCTTGTCGGTGTTGTTCGATTTTAGAAGAGAATCCACCGCGTCCTGTACTCACGAAATCAGGGTACTTACGTCCCATTCCTTTTAAGCCATCGTTCTTTCCCTATATTGTTGAGATCCTAAGACAGTTTCGGATAAGAACAGTTAAGGTCAAGAGTTGTTCTCATGATCTTGTAATCCACATCATTCGCAAGATGTGGCTCATCGAGGATTTCACTGCTCTTCAGGTTTTTCGTTTCGAACACTTCCTTAAGATTGAAAAAAAAAACAAGATTGTCTTGTACTTTTCGAACCCAGCGGCTATGTACTTGCAAATGTGGAGTATTGAGGGAAAGAATGAAACGGACATTAGGGTCCTAATCACAATTTTATGCATCGAAAATGATCTACATGAAACTGAAGATGGTTTTCACTGGTAATAGATATAATAATTTTCAGAAACTTAACGTTTCTCGAGTTGAGTTTAAAGGCACCGTCCACCCAAATTTTCGACCTCCATGTTTTTGTCGTTCCAGGGCCTTCTCATACCCCTGATTCCGAATATCAAATCGAGAATCCACGAATACTTCGAAAAAACCCGTTTCCAAAACCCGCAGGGCGAATTCTCCGGGACGATGATTGGTCGGGTGCGCAAGGATGGGCGGGGCAAAGTCACGCCCACTCAAAGGGGAGGAGCCAACGTGGCGAGACTGTCATCCGAGCAATTTTCGAGGCAATTTTCTCGCTTCAGAAGCAACTTTTACCAGAGCGAGTTGGACGAGAATACAGCTAGGGGCCCCAGCACTGTTAGGCATCAAAATCTCGTCAACTGTTGATGATTTCTATATCATCAACCCAATCCACTCCATTTTCCACATCGCCTATGGAGTTCCCATAGGCTGAATTGTACGCCACTCATTCTTGAGTATCTAATCACTCGAGAATGATTGGCACCTGTGCACCAGGAGTGTAGCCGAACGGCGGCAACTCCTTTTAAGCCATGTACCCCTCCTACGTTGTACATTGTACCCGGGCAAGCTCCGCCTTCTATTCGTGTATATAAGGAGCCCCCGACTGTAATATAGATCGCTCTCAACTAATCTACGCCAGTGTGAATAAATATTCCACACAACTTCGTCTACCCTAATTCACTTGGTACACACCAAATTGGTGCATCGGCCAGTGAACTTCCTTGCAATTCCTGAGCGACTCCTTTACCTAAGGAACGGGAATTCAAGGCTTAAGACCCGCGTGGCAGACACTCCACTAATTAATTGAACCCTTCTGAGCTCTCTCTTCGTGAGACGACCAGAAGTTAGTAAAAGCGTTAGTTGGCAGACACTCCACTAATTAATTGAACCCTTCTGAGCTCTCTCTTCGTGAGACGACCAGAAGTTAGTAAAAGCGTTAGTTGGCAGGCTTCTTCACTGATTAATTGAACCCCTCTGAGCTCTCTCTTCGTGAGACGACCAGAAGGTAGTAAAAGCGTCAACCGAAGAAATTTCACTGGTCAATTGAACCCCTCTGAGCTTTCTCTTCGTGAGACGACCAGAAGGTAGTAAAAGCCCCAGCTGAATACTTCTCCACTAATTAATTGAACCCTTCTAAGCTCTCTCTTCGTGAGACGACCAGAAGGTAGTAAAAGCGTTAGTTGGCAGAAAATCACTGATTAATTGAACCCCTCTGAGCTCTCTCTTCGTGAGACGACCAGAAGGTAGTAAAAGCGTCAGCTCAAGAATTCTCACCGGTTAATTGAACCTTTCTGAGCTCTCTTCCCGTAAGACGACCAGAAAGTAGTGAAAGCCCGGTTGAAGAACTTCTCATCATTGATTAATTGAACTCTTCTGAGCTCTCTTTTCGTAAGACGACCAGAAGTTAGTAAAAGCGTCATTTGGTAAGACAAACACCACTGCAAATTGAACATCTCTGTAGTCTCTTTACATAAGACGACCAGAGATTAGTAAAGGACCAGTTGGCAATAGCTAACAAGTTCAAAGTTCATCCAGAATTTGAGCTTCAAATTGCTATCAATCCTCACGGTACAGGTTCAACACACCTCACCGTCCAGTACAGCGTACAAGCCAACCAGGCACGCTTGCTGACAGCTAGTAGAAGCGCGGCACTCAATTGCCAGCTCACTAGAAGGCTTCCTTGCACCCAGTAAGGACAGCTATTACAAGAGGCCAGCCTTGCTGTCGTCCTCTAAAGTCTACAACGAGGATACGCATCTCACGTTGCGACGCTCGCCATCAGCACTTAACGGAAGCACCGAACACAACTTTGTGCGATACAAAAATGGCAGCGCTCCAAATCTTCAAATCGAAAATCAACAATGCCTGCGCACTTGTGAAATCATACGAGTCGGAAGTGAATAAAATTGACACACCATTCACTTTTTCTGTGGACAAGACTGAATGCGAAACATACATCAAAAGGAAAATGGGAGAAATCACGCATTTGCTCAATTCTCTCCAAAATGCCGTCAGACTTCAAGACACTCAAGTAAGTGCCGCAATTGAATATGTCGGCTCAAGAAACGAGGAAAAAGAGAGAGAAAAGCTGATGACTGAACTCAGCAAACACCTCGAGTTAGAGTCTCTTCCTCTGGAGGTCATGACAGTACAGTGGCAGAACAGGATCCAGTTCCGACAACATGAACTCAAGGAACAAAGTGCGCTTGTGCACTGCAGTACTCCGAGCATACCGAGTCAGCCAAGTAGCGAAGTTGGGCAAGCTGGAACTCCGGAACGCAACGAAAGGCAGATCAAAATTCGGAAGCCCATGCTTGAAATTCCGACGTTCTCAGGCAATTTCCGAGAGTTCAACAGTTTCTGGACAGTCTTCGAATCACTTATCCACACCGACGAGGAGTTATCCGACACGGACAAATTCTTGTTTCTGAAACAAGCTCTGAAGGGAAAAGCGGCAGCCACTCTAAGCTGCATCCCCGTTGTTGGAGAAAAATATGAGACAGCAATAGAAATCGTGAAAAAGCATTTCGATCGTTCGGCCAACATGGCAGACATACTCATAAATGAGATCGAAAAGCTTTCACGGGCGTCTGATAATCCGAAGAGTTGCCGAGACACCTTTGAAGCAATCAACTCCAGGATCATCCATTTGGAACAAACAGGCATGAAGCTGAACGCAGACCGAGTTTGGCGTCGGATAATCTTCTCCAAATTTCCCGAATCCATTTGTACGACCGCCATCCAAAAAGAGGCGATACAAGATGATCCCTTTGATGTTGGCGAAATCCTAAATGCTATCGATGGCATTATTTCACTGCGGGAAACCACTTCGCTTACAACGGAAACTCTTTTCCCAACCGGTCATCGCCACGACGCTCAACAAAATGGAAGGAGCAACAGAACAAGATGGGGAGAAGAGAATCACTTTTCGAAACCAAAACGTCTGTGTTTATGTGGGCAGTCGCATTCGCCCTATACCTGCCAAAGATACACCACCCCGGAAGCACGACGCCTAGAAGCAAGAAATCAAAGAGTATGCTGGAGGTGTTTTGCTAAGAATCACACTTCGAAGGACTGCACAATTATTGGAGTGTGCCCTAAATGCAAAGACTCACACCATGGATCTCTCTGCCTCTCAGATGCAAAGAAGCAAGACAACGGGTACCTTGCAGTCTCACGCCGACCTGCAAATATGGATCGGCAACCAACGCTACCAAATCGACCACCGCAACCCTCCAGTCAACGCAACCGACCTAAGACGAACGAAGTAAGAGCCGCACAAAACTCACAAAATGGACGTGAAATCTCTGTTGTGGACAAAGCCCCACTCCTTCACAACCAGTGCGTACTTCAAATTGCAACAGCGATGATTTTCAATGAAGAACAATGGGATTATCAACCAATAACAATACTTCTGGACTCAGGAGCGCAAAGAAGTTTCATCAAGTCGAACCTTAGCGAAACATTCAAGCTTCCAATCGTCCGAACAACGTCGTTCACCACATCCGGAATGGGTGAACTGCAAGAAGTTTTCAGCTCAAATGAGGTTTTGATTACCTTGAAGAGTTTACGAGGACCTAAAAAACTGAGAAAGATGTCTGTACACACCAAGCAAAAGCTCACGACCAACCTGGATACAGCACATCTCACTGAGGCGGATCTTCTATACATTTCAAAGGAGAACTTGGACATAGCACAGCAAACGCTTGCAAGAACCAGCGTCTCGCCTGATATCCTCATTGGCCAGGACATACTTAACACTGTCATTGACCATACTGCTCCAGTGCTGACACTTCCTTCGGGACTAATTCTCACTCCTACCGTTTTCGGATATACCATATCCGGGACAAGCCTAGTTTCGACAACAGCAAGCAGAACTGAAGTTTATGGAAGTTCGCTTGTGGTAGCAACCCCGGCAATCTCACCAAGAGAAAACTACAAGCAGGACATCAAACACCTCTATGAGCTTGAATCGCTAGGACTAAAAACCGAAAACGATCCCGACGAAGCATCTATAATCAAATTCATGGATGACTACAGAAGAACTATCAGAATCAAAGAAGGCACAATCACAGCAGGATTCCCGTTCAATGAAAACGTTGGCAAACTCAAGGACAACTTCAACATTGCCTTTCGCCGGCTGCAGGCTCTCCTTCGGACACTACGAAGCGACGACAAAAAGCTTCAGCTCTACAACAGCACCATTGAAGACTACATCAAAGAAGGAATCATCGAGGAATGTACTCTACAACCAGCAGGAGTAACATCCTTCTACCTTCCACATCGACACGTATGGACACCTGGAAAGACAACCGAACTTCGAATTGTCTTCGATGCTTCATCTCACGGAAGAAACGAGCTCAGCCTCAACGACGTCATCTTTGAGGGACATGCTCTCACGCCTCTCATCCATGAAATTCTACTGCTCTTTCGGACATACAAACATACAATGGTAGCGGACATCCAAAAGGCTTTTCTACAAATACGCCTTCCCGAAAACCATCGAGATGCAACAAGATTTTTGTGGATAAAGGACCTGAATATGCCGGCCGAAGGCAATAACGTCAAATACTACCGCTTCTGCCGGGTTCCCTTTGGAATTAACGCAAGCCCAGCTATATTGAATCAGTCCATACTCAAGCACATTGAAGAGCAGGATACTCCGATTACAAAGGAACTATCTAAGTCTCTCTACGTTGACAATGTGTTGTTAGAAGGCAACAACCCGCAAGAGCTTATAGAGAAATACATCGCTTCAAAAGAGCTCTTCTCTTCTATCGGAATGAACCTCCGCGACTACTTGTCAGATTCTGCCGAAGTAAACGCACAAATCAAGGACTTGGATAGAGCAAAAAGCTGCGAACTCAAAGTGCTCGGAATCAAGTGGAAAGCTGACGATGACACCTTAATCATGGAATGTGCAGACAAAGAACAAATCAAGGTCACTAAAAGATCTGTACTCAGCCAAATAAACGGATTCTGTTTCGACCCGCTTGGACTGCTCACTCCCTTGGTGATACCGGCGAAGATATTCCTGCAGGATATACACAAGCAAAAGTTAGGATGGGACACAATTCTCCCAGAAGAACAAATCCAGAGATGGAAAGCAATTAAGGAAGATATCGCCGGATTCAAGAAAGCCATACCACGCACAGTGCTGAACAAGACTCCCGAGGCCAAATATACGCTTTCTGTATTTGTTGATAGTTCCAAACGAGCTTACGCCTGCTGTCTTTATACGACTACATCAACGAAGAATGGTACGAAAAACACATCACTCTTCACGGCAAAAGCGAAAGTCGCGCCTATCAAGAAGGAACAAACCATTCCGAGACTAGAACTGCTGTCAATATTTCTCGGACTATCTGTAGCCGAAACAACCATGTCAAAATGCGGAATAAACTTCACAGAAGTTAACCTGTTCAGCGACTCAACGATCGCACTATCATGGATAGCTAGCAACAAAAAGCTTCCACCAATTGTAACCACACTGGTTCAGAAAATCAGCTTCGCCGCAGAAAGGATCAGAGAAACAGCCAAACTTAACTTCTTCCACGTCCCAACGGAAGAGAATGCCGCGGATTGTGCCACAAGAGGAATTAACAAGCAAGATTTCGCTGCTTGCAGGTGGTGGAAAGGACCAACTTGGCTCAGTTACCCCAACGAGGAATGGCCAGTACGTCCCATCAGTGACGTCAAAGACATTGACGATGACGAGTGCGAAATGCTCATTCAATATACTACAGAGGATCCTAACAAAAGCGAATCCGACTGGCCAATTGATACAATAAGCAGCTATCCCAGATTGAAGAGAATTGTGGCATACTGTCTACGTTTCATCCGCAAGGCAAGCAAAAATACCCGCTTCAAGATCGCAGATGAAGATCAAGTGACAAGCCGTTCGCCAAATGCAGCTGAAGTTATCCTTGCTGAAAAGCAAATCGTCTTGCAAGAGCAACGGATTTACGGCACAGCTCTCGTCTCTAAAAACAAACAGTTCAAGACTGTGTTCGACAGCGATGGAATTCTACGAAAGTGTGGACGCATACAACGTGCTGAAATCCAGTCAGAGATAGCTAATCCCATGTATATACCTAAACAAAGTGTACTGGGACTTAGGATCGCCGAGTACATCCACCGAGACTTGGCTCACTGCGGAAACAACCAGCTTTTATGCGAGCTTCGACAGCGATTCTGGATACCGAAAGACAGAGTGCTTTGCAAGAAAGTTCTGCGAAGTTGCATTACTTGCAAGAAATTCAATTCGTCACCCTTCACGTATCCAGATATGGGCCCACTTCCAAGAGAACGCGTGACTCAAGCAAAACCATTCGCCTACACAGGAGTCGACTATATGGGACCCATACTAATCAAGGCGCCAAATGGACAAGATGAGAAGCGCTACGTAGCACTATACACATGCCTAGTCACTCGGCTGATACATCTGGAAGTGGCTACAGACCTCTCCGCAAAAAGCTTTCTTCTCACATTCAAAAGATTCATCGCACGACGAGGAGTACCAGAAAAGATCATTAGTGACAATGGAACCAACTTCCGCCTCAGTGAACTGATACTCAGCAACAACGTCAATAATGACGATTCCGACCATTTATCACTCTTCCTTGCCGAACACCGCATCAGCTGGTACTTCATTCCTCCAGCTTCACCATGGATGGGAGGAGTTTGGGAAAGAATGGTTGGACTAGTGAAAAGAGCAATGCAGAAGACTATCGGACGACGGAGATTAACAGACGAACTTCTTCAAACGTCGTTATGTGAAATCGAAAGCATCGTCAACTCAAGACCATTGACTCACATAGGCGAAGATGATCCTTCTTGCCAAGTCTTAAGACCAGTGGACTTCATCTATAAGGACGTTCGGCTTGGAAGCACTCAACTTACACCCGCCGACGATGATGTACAGGATCCAGATTACCGGATAAGTCCAGAACTCTCATCACAAAAGGAAGCCAAAACAGCTCTTCTGGAAACCGAGAAGATAACGAAAAAGTTCTGGAGTGTTTGGAAACACGACTACCTCCTTGAACTTCGCGACCGTCACCATGTTTTCAAGAATGGAAGAACCACAAATCGCAAACCAGAAGTTGGAGACGTCGTACTGCTTGACGAAGACTCACAATTGAACAGAGGACACTGGCCCATGGCTGTTATAACACAACTCGTACCAAGCAAAGATGGAGAAATCAGAAGCGCAATTCTGAGAACCACATCTGGAAGAGAGATTCAAAGACCTCTCAATCGCATGGTTCCCCTAGAAATTCGTTCAACGATAGAAAACGAATATAAGAGACAGGATCCAACGCCACAGAAAGGAGGAATAGTGGCCAAGGTTAGAAAAGCGCTCAGAAAGAAACCTACAACTGCACCTGAACCTCGCAAGCAACCACAGAGAGCTGCGAAAAAGCCTGTAGACTACGCATCTTCTAATTCCTCCACCATAAAGAGAAGCGTTTCACAAATCAGCAAGTCAGTGATGATAACAATATGCCTGACAGCTCTTCTTTTCATTGATACGGCATCCGCAAATGTGCTATCCTGCTCTGAACATGGAGTGAAAGTCAACACGACTTCGGAATCACAATCACAACTATGTCTCAACTACAAGGATTGTCTGAAAATTTCGACGAAGAAAGGAATAAACGAAATAGCACTCCCGACAAAGTACCGCACAACAGAACATCGAGTTCAATGGCGCACAATGATCGGAGCAACACAGTACTCCGACACCATTATTTGCCCACCAAGAGACATTTGCGACATGGTCAAATGCATAGTTTGTGCAGACTTGCTTCGGAATCCACATTGCGCCCCCAACACGGCGATAGCAATCACAGCAGTTTGCGCATACCTTATGATGCTGCTCATCTGGCTCATTTGCTGCACTGGACTTCGAGGAAAACAGCTTCTGTGCCGAACTAACGAGAACGACATGCGAACGGAAAATCACGTTGCTTCAGCGAATGATCGACTTTCCGAGCTGCTAGGAAGGGAATCCCGATCCCTACCAATCCAATCGAAGATGGTCACGTTTGTGGCTTTTGCGACATGTCTCATCAAGGAGTCACTTCATGCCAATACACTCACACACTCACGTCAAGGAACACCGTCTGCACAAAGATCAACAACACACTCAGCTGCCGCTACACTATCGAAAACAGAATAACTCTGAGTGAGCACCGACCACAAGCCTGCTTCAGGATTCAACATGATAACAAGACAGTTGGCAGCATGGAGATACAACTTCAACATGTCGTACTCCAGTGCAATCCCGTAGTCTTATTCTACACCAGAGATGCCGAGATAGTGACCGAGTCAGCAAAACGATGCCATTTCTCTGGATCATGCTCATCTAACACATGTGCTCACACAAGCCAACGATCCTACATACCTGAACTTCACAACACCTACGAATTTCCTGGATACTCAAGGTGCACCTCGTCATGTGGAAGCATCGGATGTGGTTGCCTTCTACCTCTACCTGGATGTCTCTTCTCCCGCTCATATGGAAAACCGCAAAGTGCAACAATTTACCAAGTGTTCCACTGCCCAACTTGGGAAGAATCAGCAATCATCAAATACACTTACACAAGTGTGACTGGACGAAGAGAAACGAACACTGCAACAATTACTGCGCAGACCACTCATACTCAAAAGGACGCTAACCTAACATTGGAGTTTGTGACAACGCCGACAATTCCGCTGCTGAGCTCTGTGTTTTTACAAGCAGTCAACACCACCAAAGCGGAGACTGCCTTGGTCGACAAAGACGACGTATTTGCTCTCAGATGTCCAACGATGGAAAGCTCGAAAAACCTCTCCCTTTGCCATATAGAAGACACTTGCAAGTGCTACCCGACGGATGACCAAGCTAACTGTATCTGCAAGAACACGAACATATCGGATCTGACGACATCGATGGATAGCAGACTGCCACTCTCTTCCTCATTCTTACATCTACAAGAAGCCCATGGAAGAGTACTTGGAGTCAGCCACAAATCCATAGTCGACGTCACTATCAGCACGACTGCGGAATGGAATACAGCGAGTGTTGTCAACAATGAAGACTGCGACATCACAGCCTCACCGATTCAAGGATGCTACAACTGCGTGACCGGCGCACGACTTACCTTCTCTTGTCATTCACCGCACCCGACAATGGTGGAGATAACGTGCACGCAGAACATCTATGCTGCTTTCTGCAATGAAAACACAGTGCAAACAGTTGCTCTACTTCAATCGACCGTCGCTAACTATGTCGACAGTTGTTCACTGAGATGCGGAACGAAAAGCCACGTATTCAACATCTCTGGTATCCTGGCATACCACCCACACGAAAACGGAGTACTCTTCACGAATGCTAGCGAGGAAGCTTCATACGTCAACGTCTACAACTATCCCGACATTGGACACATCATCAGCGTCGCCCTCTCGTCATGGAAGATGCTCGTCGTGGCTACCATCGCAATCATAGCCGCGTTAGCCTTCACCATTTTTTGTGTCCCAAAAATCATAAAATTGTCATTAATGTGCGTGTAATTTATCGTAATTTTGATATCACCAATGCTTGTTAATTATAACGATTACGTGTATTTTTATCAACTTCACCTGATTTTACTCATTTCTTTTCCTAGTCGCCCGGAGTGTTGATGATTTCTATATCATCAACCCAATCCACTCCATTTTCCACATCGCCTATGGAGTTCCCATAGGCTGAATTGTACGCCACTCATTCTTGAGTATCTAATCACTCGAGAATGATTGGCACCTGTGCACCAGGAGTGTAGCCGAACGGCGGCAACTCCTTTTAAGCCATGTACCCCTCCTACGTTGTACATTGTACCCGGGCAAGCTCCGCCTTCTATTCGTGTATATAAGGAGCCCCCGACTGTAATATAGATCGCTCTCAACTAATCTACGCCAGTGTGAATAAATATTCCACACAACTTCGTCTACCCTAATTCACTTGGTACACACCAAATCAACTCCATTTTGGGTGGACGGGGCTTTTAAGAAGATTTTTTGAGCGTACCCGCCATTTCAGAAATGTGGACAAGCAAAAATTCTCCAACCCACCCCCCCCCCCCCTCCTCCCCTGGGAAAAATCTCTCGAATCGCCACTGCTATTCTTCAGAGCAAACGATTGTTTTACTAGGAGTAGCCGATAGAGGGCGGAGCTGAGATCGCTAATAAACCTGAGAAATGATTAGAGAGCACACTCGCGAGAAAGATGCAGAGACCAGAGTCCCACAGTCCCACCCACCACCAGCCACTCCAGTGATACAGAGTGTATAAGACACTTTCGAAGGAGAAGCATTAGCAAGTACACAATTGCTTTATATTTCATTCTTGTTCAATAGAAATCGGATAAAGATGAGCGAGGCAGCATATTGAATTCATATGAAAGATCGATAGGAAGATGAAGGAACTGATGGGGCTCAGGATCGATGAGGCAATGATAGCGAATTGAAAGGCACTTGATTTGTTGAGCAGAAATGGAATGTCAAGAACAAGCAATGACAACTGTAATTACATACCACTAATATATTGCACATTCAATATAGTTACTACACTCTGTGTGTACAAACATCCAAAATACGGTAACAATTTACACGTTTGCTGATTCTCCTAGAAGAAGTAGACACCGATTCTTGCGCCAGCATAAGCTTGGGTGGGGGAGAGTCTACTCCGTCTGACCAGGCCGGTACATGTGCTGTTCGGCGATTCGCCGTCGCTGTTCGATGTCTTTGGAGTCATCGTCCCGCGAGACATACATCGTCTTGGACTCGTACTCGTCGTCATCTTCGTAGTAATACCCGATCGGACGAGGTGGCTCTACAATATTTTCATTTTTCTAGGTCTTTATTGGACCGAAGGGGACAACTACCTATAGCTTGCCTTCCGTAGACGAAATTCGACTGCTGTAGGTCATCTATGTGCACCTTGTCGGTTACATCCACTGTAGCTCTGTTAAAGCGGAACGATATCATGAAGATGACAATGACAATCACGATAAGAACGGCCACGATCCCTCCTAAAAATTTTCGCAAACCATAAAAAAATAATGAATTCGACAACGCAATGTCGCCTAGGTGTCCGCTGTGGAGTCGTGTTAAAGCCGTGCTAGAAGTGCACGCTCATAGACCCATCGGTCGGCGTTCTGGCACGGCGCTGGCACGACGCTGACACAACTCTAGACGCAGCCTATGACGCAACCCTCACCTATCGCAGAAGTGATGATGGCGACACGTTGTGATTTTGGTTGGAAGCGAACTTCGCAACTGAAAGAAAAACGTGAGGAAAGTGTGTTTGAGAAAGGTAGCATAACGTTATAGAATGCTTCGAGAACACTGAAAAAAAAAACAAATATCTGTAATATGCGTACCGTTCCCCACTAAAATTCACTTTGCATACGCACTCCACATAACCGACTGGATTCTTCTTACAAACGCCATCGTTTAGGCAGTAGTTCGTGCACGCATCTAAACTGGCATGTTGGCTTTTTACAATACTGCACACAATCTACCAACCTTGACAAAATGTTCCGTTGCCCCTGTAGCCGGGTTTGCATTTGCACTGGAACGATGGAACGTCGTTGTCATCAGGTAGATCTATGCAGTGTGCGTGCCAGGAGCAGTTGTCCTCACCAGTAGCGCATTGGTTTGTCGAATAGCATTGTGATTCAGCCGTGGCTCCTAGGGAACACAAACATTGACTCTCGATTATTCATGGGATGGAATGACCGAATGCTACCCTGAGATGCTGTGGTATGGTCAGTAGGGCAGAGCTTGCACGTCGACTTCTGCTCCTCGTCTTGGAAGGTACCGCGAGGGCACGACTGGCAATGTTTCCTGAAATAGATATTGTGCTTACCCTTGCCCATAAAAAATTCGTGCATACGTCTCTTTCACTAGGAATTGTCCAACTTTGCATCTGGGAGTGTTGCACTGCTCTCTCTTCGTGGATGCAACGGATTCAGTGGTGGTTCCTTAACGGTAATGGAATAAGCTATGATCATGCTTACCCAGTTCTGTAGCAGCGTTCCATAACATTTAGGGTTTCCTGGCATGCTACTCGATAATTTACATTTTCGAACAACGATAGAAAAACACTCTAGGCTGGTGCTGTTATAGCAAACGTCAAATCCATAAACACTCTAGTTTCCGAGATGAGGAAGAACTTATAGGCTGTACCAGCCAGCATCGGTTATGCGACGTCGCCCGCGGCAATTTGCGACGGTGCGGTGTGACGCGTGCGAACTCTGTTACGCGTAAGGCACGTCGCATGCGACGGTGCGTTGTCGCAAGTCATACTGCTGCGGGACCGATGCTGGCTGATACAGCCTATAGATTATAACCAGGGTTGAGCAAGAGGTCAGGCACATGTCTTTCCAAAACGACCCCCCCCCCCAGTGAAAGCCCCTAAACGACCCCTCTGCTTCACCTTCAGGACCTCAGGCTGTGATAATTCGAAGAGATCAGCCGTTTTTGGGAGGTTCTTGTTTTTTGGAGGTCTGTAGGTCTACTTTCTGCGATTGCACAGCACACGCAACTTGACGGCAAGTTTTGGATTTTGGATAGCCCTACTTTCAGAGCTATAATTCCCACAGGGGTGTATTGTTTGGCTCCAAATTTGCAGTATTGCAAGAAGAGGCTTTGAGTTCAATACTCATAGCAGAAATGAAGCGATTTTTAGATTTTGAAAACAAGTTAATCGGGTCAGGCGCAACCCCTCAAAAGCTCAGGCGGCCTGACCTTTTGTGGGGTTGCGCCTGACCCGATTAACTTTACCATTGAAGAAGCTTTTTTATTCAAGTTTTATGTGAATCGCTAGCACAACCCTCGAAGATTCCACAGTAAGTGTTTGGACTTGATTCGACTTGTTTCGGCCTTGTGGTAATCCGTGGAGTTGAAGCAGTTATGCCGAAAAACGCGCCGGTCGGAATTTTGGCATTATTTCTTACTCCACTATTTGCAAGCGATACAAAGCGCGATTTTTAGCCTAGACTAGTAAGGAACAATACTTTGTTACAAGTACAAAAAAATTGACTTTTCTCAGTTTTGACAAGTTAATCATGTTTGAAAATCACGCTTTTTAGTCGTTGAGAAACACTAGATAATGCAGTAAATAATGGTTTGTAGGGCTCATAGAGGTAATTTGACGCGCTCGGAAATGATACCCATTTCACACAGCAAGCTTCCTTGATGAATTTATAATATGTCAAGGTAGAAGATGAAGATTTGAGTTTTGGCCGAAACTTCGATTGTGGAATCAATTAGTATGCTGTTTAAGACCATTCATTCCTTCAGTACTGGTGAGGTCGCGATATCCACTAAACTAGCGCTTTTCTTCTTCACCTTAATCGTAGTATCTCCTCAATCGAACGAATTCGATTCCTAATCACGACCCCCCGCCCCTCTGTCTTACCCCAGTACCACCCCCCAGGTCGGGCGCGCCTGACCCCACGCTCAACCCTGATTATAACGCAGACTTTCATCAAAAGATCTGGCACATTTGCAAAAAGTATTACCTGGTGGACAACTTATGCACTGTTTGTGTTCTCCGCGAGTTCGATAAGTTCCAGCTGGACACGGTTGGCACGATCCAGAAGATGATAGATGCTCACCGTCTAAAATGGGTTTAATGATCTACTATAAGTCTAAAAGCTTCATCTTATCAAAGGTTTCAGAAACTCTAAACAGCAACTGAGCAGAAGGACCTCGACCTCAGGCTGCGTTCAACTGCTCGTGCCAGTGCTATGCTAGCGCCGTTCTAGCACGCCGGAAGGTCGATCGATCAATAAAAGGCGCGTGCACGTGGGTTTCGGCACGGCGCTGGCACGGCTTAGGCAAACTGTGGACGCAGCCTCATATTCTCATATAACAATTATAAGACTGACCTGGGCACTCGTCTCGACACTCATCTTCATTCGTAGCCGTCTCAGACATCGTCGTTTTACCAACATCACAAGCAATGCATTCAAAAGTACCCGGTCGAGGTTGGTAGAAGCCGTATCCGCAAGGTGAACAGCTCGACGTTGTCATGTCAAAGTAGTTTCCAGGTGGACAATTAGCTGAAACACGCTAATGCAGTGGATACGATACAAGATTTATGCAGAAGTCTACAAGAGGCGTAGACCTTTTTTGCTTAAGACACTGGCGACTCAGCGTAATTTCGTTCAAATTTTGAATAATTTGCTTGACATAAATGGGGAATAGCAAGCGTAAATGATTATGATTCTTTGGCCCAGAATGCTTTTGCAAGAGCTACCTTTGCACTCGTTCTCATTTATAACTCCTTCACCAGCTGTGATTTGGCCTTCCGGGCATTTGAAACATTCCGTTCTTCCAGGAAGTGGCTGATATTCGCCCTCAGCGCACAGTTCGCACTTTGAGGTTGTAAGCGAATGGTACGATCCGGGAGAGCATGGCACTGTAACGCAGGAAAATTTTGAAGCTATGTGGGAACAACCCCCGATACAAAAGTTTTGGAGATTTATTACCGCAGAGATCGTCGACAGTGACCTGCCCTACTTGACAATGAAACTCATCAGATACTTGGAACGATGACAGATCTGGTCGACCACTTGGGAGCACCTTAAACATGTTGTTTTCAAAACTAAAAGAAGCTTTCAATAAGTTTAACAACGTTTTTGAACTCATGTCCTTTCTATCCTCTACCATTGGCAGTATTTTTGGATGATGGAAGTGATTTTTTTCAACAATGCCAAGGTAAGATGGGTTAGTCTGAGCCAAACTTTACGTTCAATCATTATAGCCAAATTAGTAGGCACCTTTTCCATGTTGAAGGCATCCTGATTGATTATCTCATTCTGAAGTGCTTCCGTCAGCTTGGTCTTTTGGCCAGTGAGAGAGTTCGCTATGAGGTCCCTGAAAAACAATGGGGGACAATTAAATAAGGGACACGGAAATTTTTACTGGAGAGCCAACCTTTTAACGGGCAGTTCAACGCGAACATTGAAAGTCTGGGTGCTCCTCTTCGCCCGAGCAAACTCTTCCGAACAATCGACGTCGATTTTAGCACCGACACAGCCGTTCGCATCGCTTAATTAGATGTTTCAGAAATAAAGTAAGATTTATACAAATTTACTAAACTTACGTCAACGCACACATGTCCCATTTCTGATTGATTGTGTTGATGCTTGCCATTAGTTTAGATTTCAGAGCATCTTTGCTTGCTTCCGTACAGGGTGATTTTCCTGGATAAGCGACTCGAAGAAGAATCGTGCGCGTAGCAGGTAGAGACCTCAACACGTTCACGGATAGTAGTTGGTTACAAAAACATGAGGCTCGGATTTTTTTGTACTTTCAGATTTTTTTTCGTCATCATACGCCTACATTGACCTCAAACGATGGCGTTACCGGCATGCTTGTCTACCGCAAATCAAGAACAATTGAAATTGTATTTTCCTCACTTCGTACACTGAGGATATCTGAACACCATTTGATTACGGTTCCTTGGCCTCCAAACTCCATCACTCGCACAAGTGTAGAATATAGCAGGTGATCTCGAAAACTCATAACCTTCACGGCATTCTATCGAGCAAGCCTAAATACGCACTTTTTTGGGCATACAAAAACTGGTCTACTCTGCCAAAAATGATCTCCAAGGCTTCGTCCTACATAATTAGTAACCAACCTTGTAACGTAGATGTGGTCCCCAAGATTCGCAAACTTGTACCCCATTCACTGGATCCTCTAGCGGAGGGCAATGTTCTCGGGAGATGTGGATCTATGGTAGAAGAAATGAGAAGAAGCTAAAAACTGTTCAAGAAAAATTTGTTTGTATGAGTTGGCGGAATCATGTGAGTAGATAACGTAAAGAGGCATCCCACTTTAGCGAAAGAAACTTCATTTTGCAACATGGAGAAGAAATACTGATTTTTTCATTGCTCACATCGCTGTTTGCATAAATAATAATTAATATTTTTAAAACAACTCAAAATCCAGTATTCCAGATAATACGGGCTGGTAAAGACAGAATCGCTCTCCTATGAAACAAAAATGTAATTTTCGAGGGCACTGGGGTAAAAATAAGCTCGGTACGTAACCCAATAAATTTCCAAATATCATCTGTAATTAAGAATCGACTGCTTTGAGATTCATTTTCTATTTAAGCTCAGCGCAAGTGACATCCGGTTCACAAAAAAAGAATGGGCATATGCACTATTGCAAATTTTGTTTGTGCCTGGTTAGCTCTATCAGCTGAAATTACTTTACATCATGGATTTATGGAGAGTAGCAAATGAAGTAAAATCAATACCTTGAAACTACATTCGGCAGTGTTTGATGAGTTATCGTGAGCAACATAAAGAACATTGTATTCGCCCCAAGTGAACACCTGCAGAACTGATCTTAACAATATTTTTGGAAGCGATGACTTTCAAGCTGACCTGTCCTTGTTTGAAGTTCCTCTCGACCTTCTCCAAAGGATTGTCTCCAACAAAATGTGGTTCTGGCCATGTTACATTGATTTCGCGTTGTGTTGTCAATATATACTGGTCCGCAGGGCAATCCTTGAAGCACTTTTTTAGTTTTCCAGATCAAGATAGAACTGGCCATTACCTCTGCACGAATTACGGCTTCCTCTTGTCTTTTACGTTTTTCGCGACCACATGTGCTCCTTGGTAATCTCTCTACTTTTCCTTGCATGTCCGTATATCCGGAGAATCTCAGCAACAATCCATCATAAGCCAGCTGCAATAAACTCTCGTATCATTAAAAAAAAGCGATACTCCACAGTTTTACCTCATTTCCGTGGCAGCTCACTACCATCATTGGGATCTCGCTGTCGAAGTCCAGAACTCGATTCCACACATAAACACGACTCACTGAACCCACGAACGAAGATTCACTGTCGTTATCGCTGCCGAGCGTGATAGTTGCGCTAAAAAGCTTTAATTTTTGAAAAAAAATCGATAACATATGTGATTACGGTGATTACTTCAAATCTATTTCATGTCCGGTTCCATAGCCTATCTCTGAGAATATTCGAACAGAATTCCATATCAGGGAATAGCCACCGTTTTGCGATGACCAAGTGAAAGCCTAAGTAAAGTTCATGTGATCTACGAACGGTCGCCAAACTTGAAAACTTACCAGATGGTTCCACACTCCATCGTTGATTCTTTGACTTGGTGGGAAATGAAGTTGTAGGGGATTCATATCGGGGAGGATCGCGACATTCACGCCTTCCGAATCAATTTTCAGTACTTGTGCCAGTTCAGAACTGTAGTTTGCTTGTCTGAAATCATAGCTGTACTACCACAACATATTAAAAAAAACTTTTGGAGTCCTTTCTAAGAGGAGAGGGTTCCACTAGTTCTTAGCACTTGTTGTAGAGCCAAACAGATCGCTTTTCAAAAGCCTTGCAAACATTTCTACCCCTGACTGTTTTCTCGCGAAAACGTGAAGGAAATGTCCAAAAAACGCCGAGCATCTGGGCTATCTTTGTGGTATGGAATGGTGGAAACCTTAACTAAGCCAGTATCCAACCAGCACCTTACTTGGTTCATTCGTGTTTGAGGCCAATAAAATCTAGCCCATACAGTGCTCTTCCTGAGCGGACCAATCAGCGCCGGCGAGTACGGTAATAAAAGAGAATCGGGATTAGACTTTTCGTCGTTAGAGTCTTTGATCAATATCCATACAAGACCCAAAATACTTAGATTTACATGGGTATAGCTTTTGGCATATCACTGATTTGTTTGATTGATTATAGAAGGAAGTCATTCATGTAGTTAAACATCATACCGGAAAAGCTCGAAATTTTGCAAAATTCCCGTACTTTGCATTTGCGAAAGCAGAAAAAAAATGAAACCTACTTGCTATTGTACATGGTGAATACTGTCCCCTTGCTCTGTGTCTGATCGAACCGCACCCACATGGACAACGTAAGAGTTTTTGACATTATGTGGAAAGGTAAGGCAAGCGATGCGCTCGCTGGTCGAAGAGGATCGTAGAAGTGCAAGTCGTAGTCCTCATCAATAGGCTGAACATTCCGATTAATTTGGTATTACTGCCAACTAGAGCTGAATTGCTTACTTTATCACAGTTTGGTCCTGTCATATTGAATGGACATCTACAGTAAGCGGTGTCGATTTGATCCACGCACGTTGCCCCCATAGGGCAGGGTGTTCGAGCACAATTGTCGACGTTTGTCTCACAGTGGAGTCCAGTGAAACCTGGACATTTGAAACTTATGGTGAAATAAACCAAAATTTCGGAACTGTCATTTACCTGGTTTACAATCGCAATGGAATCCTGAGTCGGCATTTTTAGAGCATATACCTCCATTCTGGCAGACTTTTTCGGAACATGGATCTCGAAGATATTGACAACCTTAAAGTAAAAAAGTGAGAAGAAGAAGTGATAGGACGATGGTAGCAGATTGACCAAATAAATGCTATTCATAATTTACTGTTCAAAACACATCTTAGCGGTCGGTAACATTAGAAGAAGACTATCCTCATACAACAAAAGAGGGATTTTATTTCCAAAAAGAAAATGTTAATGTTATGTGATGTAAATCAAGATAATAGATTTTCCGACTGAAACTGAAAGGTATTTCCGGCAGCTGCCGAATAAGAGAGGCTTGGGATTTTCAAAGATTGATTTTAACAAAAATACTATAAATATAAGCACCATGCAAGCAAAGCTTGAGGATAATATGTGCCCATTTGCCGCTTAGAACAAGGCCCATACTTAGAACAAGAGGAGGAAACATATGAACAATCAAATAGATGTTATTTGACTATTTTTTCATCAACAAGTGTTTTATATCACCATTATTCTCCCTATAGAAAAATCGACTAAGATGGGAAGGGTTCCCTCTTCACAGTAAACCTGACCTGGGCACTAGAATTCTACCAGCGGCGCACCTATAAGGCAATGAAACTTTCAAAACTCCCATGTACTCTTCATAAACAGAAAATCTTATTTAATGGAAAACTCATTCAGGAAAAAATTCCACTCACTCAAGAAAGTTTTGAGAGTCAAATGCCAGCCACATAGGATCATTTTATTAGTCCAAGAAACCAGCAACCTTACCAACTTCTTAAAAATTTGAACTAATGCCCAAAACCTTTCTATCAAGCTGATATAGCGATGGACTAACCCATTTTTCACTGGTGAAGTTTTGACAAAGTTAATTGAACAGCTGGATGCGGCATCTTTGTATGAGCTATTTCATTTTGTCTGATATCCGAGATTGTTTATAGCACAAAAATTCGTAGGTATTTGTAGAAAAACGAACCTGTTCCGGTGAACTTTTTGGGACAACTGCACTCTTGCCTCGAGCCAAAATCTCCACAGACTCCACCATTGAGGCATGGCTCACCAATACAACGATTGGGTGCAATTTCACAGTCTTTTCCGCTCACACCTAGAAAAGTAGTGGTTTGATTGTATCCTTGAATCCTAGCATGGTTCTGCAGGTTTAGTATAATAAGATGACTGTGGTACAAATCCACCTTCAGGGCAGACACAGAAATAATCGGCTACAAGATTTACGCAACGACCGTCGTTACGACATGGATGCGAATCACAGCTGCCGGTCTCCTGCTCGCATCTGCAAAACAAAAAATTATTTATTCCTACCATTAAAAAGTAGAGGTGAGGCTTACGTGTCTCCAGTCCATCCGTTAGCACAAACACATCTGAAGGAAGCGCCTTCATCAAAACAGGTGCCATTATTCATGCAAGGCGACGAAGCACACTGAATTTAAGGATTTATCGCATTGATAATTCCTCTTAGGCAACGTTCAAAGGCAGTGCCGTTAGTATCACCCAGTTCCAGCGCCGTGCCGAAACGTACGTGGAGTGGCTTCGTATAAATCGATCGACATTTAGACGCCACGCTGGCATGGCGCCGGCACGGCGCTGGAACGACGTCGGCACTGCGCTGGCAGTGGAGTCTATACGCTGCACAAGGCTTATATTCTATGCATCGTATTGTTCTGCTTATTCCAAATAGTCTATGCAAAGGATGAATAGAAAGGAGTATATTGACTGAAGGACTGGTCTTCACTACTTCTTCTAGAGAAGATCACATAGTAAACTCAGAGACAGACCTGATCAATTCGCTGTTCACAAAATTCGCCACTGTAACCTGGTTTGCATAGGCAAGTGAAGGAGTTGATGCCGTCCTCACAACTCTATAAATGAAAAAAATTTGAGGACACTTTGCAATATTATTTGCTCATTCCTGAAAAAGATAAAAACCCTGAATTTCACAAATCACATAACTCAGGATACTTACAATACAGATAGTTCCCACAGACAGGAAATTGATAAGGAATAAGGGTAAAGCCTATAGGCACAAACATTAGGGGTCTGTGCTTATCACAGAAAATAGGTTCAGTGTCCTTTAATGACTGAAAAAAACTACTTACCTCCGTTCCTTTTTTGTCGCATCGTCCCAGAATGCACTCATCTTTGTTGTGTTCGCAATGTGTTCCATCAAACCCAACCGGACAAGCGCAATGATACGTTGCACCGAGGTTTTCGCATGTTGCTGGAATTTCGTAAAAATCTCTTCAAAGGGGTTGACCGAAGGCAGCTTACCATTATTTCTGCAAGGTGAAGTAGAACAGTGATCCACGAGATGTTGGCATCGCACTCCACGATAGCCCATTGGACAAGCGCAAGAAAATCCAGCAAGCTAAACAAGGAATATAAGAAAACATAAATAAAAATTAGTGCGGCTCAAGATCTATGGGGAAGATTTCTGCTAGTTACGGTTGAGGAGTGTGCGAACAATTGCAGTCATAGAAATTGCGACAGCGCGTCAAGTGAACTATGAGTCAGAAGAGTCAGAACACCTTTAATTTTGTATTCTCTTCAGTTTTCTAATTCTAGAGGATACGATTTAGCTACGTTTCAAAAATTCGCATCTACAGAAATTTATCTAAGCTTGGTGCATTTGAACCCATGTTTCTTTTCTGTGATTGCTTCTCAAATCTGCGAAAGATTATGGATAAATACCTCATCTGTGCACGTTCCGCCATTCTGACACGGTTGAGCTGCACAGTCATCAATGTTCACATCGCAATTCTCTCCTGTCCATCCTTCTTCACAAATACAACGACGATCGAAAAGTGTGTCCACACAGAGTCCATGGACACATGGGGCCGTCGCACATAGGTCCTCTGAAACAAATGTTACCGTAACCGCTTCGTACTTCGATCGCACACGATCGTTTGGAAACAGAATACAGGCAGGTTTGGGTAACTGGACGTACTTGGACACTGATCGGAGAACTTTATCTAAGCCATTGCGCTGTCGGCAGCTCATATATTCGATCTTGACCAAAAAGATCAACTGCAATTTCTCGCCCATACTGTACCTCACTAGAGCCAACCAAGCTCTTGAACGCGGAGGAGAGTAGGTTCTGGGCGGGAATTTCGAGTTTAGCCTAGCGCGAAGATCGTACGAGCTGTAACTTCCGCTAATTTTGTTGGGATCCCCCTTATGGCGAAAAAAAATATAAAAGAAGCCCAAGTATTCTTCGCCCAGACACTGCCGTTGATATGTGTATATATTGTGACCTACAAGGTCTTTCATTCTAGTCATTCAGTTTTGGCTGCCAACGGCCCTTGGCCTGTATCGAAAAATTAATTTTAATATCCATACAGTGCAAATTCTACAGACTTTAACTTTCTTGCCAGCGTTAGCATCCCAAGTTTCGCGCCGTCCTTGGAGTAATACTTTACTCTAAGAACGACGATATTTCTTATTTCTTTTTCTTTTTTTGTTTTTTTTTTCACTGACACCTTCTGTGGGACAAACATACAAAATGGCCTTATTGGCGCATCGCACTCGCACAACTCAATTACTTGTGAACGAACAACATCATCCGCATAATAGCGGCGCGACATAGACAGACACCATTTAACAGAGGCAATTTGTCTTGCGATATCGCGCTGATGCGGCCACCTGCACCTCGCGTGCGAGTGGCCAGATCCCTTTCATGGCGATTGTTCCTGACAAGCCAAGAATAGCCAAAAAAGATGGTTTAAATAAGCACAGCTCGAGCTCATGAAAAGTGCATAAAGCATGAGATTTACCCTTGATATTGCAACGTTTCCCCTTGAAGCCTTTGGGACATTGGCATTCGTAGTCGTTCACAAGGTCGATACACGTAGCGTTGAGCACACAAGGAGAAGCGGCACAGTCATCTGAAAAAAATCAAATATTATGAAACAATGCTGGTTCGGTTTCACGATTTGTTAATTTGAAGGTTTGATAATATATGTACACATTGACTGCAGTAGAAGAGAGGGTGCTTTTGAGTTCAGTCAAAGCCGACTCAAATAAAAAAAGGTTGCTCTTTCGGAATCAGCAGGGGTAGCCATAGTCTAAGCTAATAGCACATTGAGTCCTTGCATTTTTTTGTCAGCATAGGCACATTAGCATTCATTATCATATTCTCAAAGATTACGATTGAACATTCCTAATTTACGTTATACTGCCTTATCAATATTTGCAAATGAAGCAATTGATCTGAATTTTTATTTAGCAAGCATTATCGGATTCTTTAGTATGGGGTTGATTAAGCTCATCGCGACCTATTGTAATTTGAAGCTCTCAAAGTCAATATGCAAAAGAAACTTTTAAGCCGGGCATACTTCGCGCGATTTCAGTCGCGACGCGATTTGGCAACATTCCAACTGTCCATAACCCATTAGAGGCACATTTTGAATGTACAGAAGAAACATATTATCAATTCACGTAAGTATACACACTACGCATATTTGCTGGTGTTGGGTCTGGAGACTTCTGGCGAATTGCCAAATCGCGTAAACTATGCCCGAACCTTCGTTTGCGGGTTTTTTTTGTCATGTCAGCCCTCCACCCCATTCTCGATGGAAATATTCTTCTGCCTTTCTTTGTTCAAATACCTAATTAAATATAACTGGCGCACAGGATCCCTCGACCAAATACCGATTTTTTTTATCAAATCTATCGCTCGTTGTAGCTGCCAAAAGACTGCTCAATCAGAACAAGAAGTATTTCAAGTTTTGATAAGCAGCTTTCTTTATGTATTTGCATTGCATTGCCTTCAACTGAGTCTCGCAGAGATATATCGCATTTCCAAGTGAGAGCCTAAGCCCTCACTTGAGCTCTCATGAGGCCATCTGTCATCTTGAAATAAAAGCCTTTCTTGTGTACTTTCTGGAACGCAGCCGAATTGGATGGCGATGCTCTGGTCTGGCCTCATCAGGGCAGTTCTGCTTCGAATGAGCCTAAGCAATTATGTACGGGTCGGGAACAGGCTTTGAAGGACTTTATTGCCTTTGTTGCGCCTGTTTCATTTCGGGGTGTTTTGCGGGAGAATTTTTAGAAAGAGATGATGGACGTTTGGTTGAGAGGCTGGACAAAATTATTGGATAGAAGCCATTCTGCCACCCTAGCGTAAAAAACAAAGACTTGATCGAGTGCCAAGCTTTGCGCAATAAACACATTTTTGTCTTCGGTGTTTCTAATCTTTGTAAACGGAAGTCGGTCATTACGTAAACGTTCTATCCAGTACGATTGCGCCTCACTACTGAAAGCTGCCTATGGTGTAAAGTTACCCCAACAAATTGAATATTATATTTTTCAAGAAAACTGGGGATAAACTAAAGGTTCAGCTTATTTCTAATCTGGGAAAAGTTTGAGCTCCATGGCGGGCGCTTAGTGACAAGACATTCCTGTCATGGTTCTAATTTACAACGAACGATTGTAGTAGAGGGGGAAGGAAGGAAATGGCTTGCTCAATAAGAGCAAGTTAGTACTCAAAAATTCAAATACTCAAAAGGTTCTGTTCACGTTATTATCAAGATAATACATGAATCTTTTCAGAAAGTTCAAAAAATACCCAGTATATAAATTCTTTGCCATTCTACAATATGTACTCGAGAATTAAATGAAATCAGAAATTTGAATAGAAAGTATGGCTATTCATAAAGCATCCGTCACCTTGAATTATTTTATAGTTAGCGAGGGTTTAAAAAAAGGACCCTAAATGAACCATTTAGCCTTACAACGACTAATTCTTAGGAATTGCATTCTGAATTTTTATTGATCAACTTCTATATGTGAAATGAATTTGCTCCAAACCACCTATAGAAAGTTCTCTTCTTTTCCTCTGGAGCATACCAAAACGAACTTGTTGGCAATGGAAAATGTTACGAATATACGAATTCGGTGTAAGACCTATAATCAACCTGATACTAAGGCTGCAAGAAAGGTGTCCTTCGAATTTCTTTTCACAGCTCGACTCAAGCGAAGAAGGGTTGAGTGAAAATTTCGCCAAAACAGTGCACTATCGCTTTCCCATCTTCAGTGCAGCATCTTGAAGTGCATTTGGACGAGTGTCCTCGTGCAGTCGTGACTCATCATCGACACTCAGTTTTTGTTCATCACATCACACACACACAGACCATGGGCAAGCGGCCTCAGACGCTCTCGCACACATACTCGCAACTGTTATTGTTCTCGTTTTCCTATCGACTTTCGCATCGAAAATGATCTCATTTGCTTAAGCTTTCATTAGTGATGCACCGATGGCTTAGAGTTTCTTTATAGTCTTTTTTCTGGAATATAGATTATTAAGGTTATCCCTTTTGCATGAACTGATTCAAACTGCTTTTTTTTGCTTCGTGCAAAAAAAAAATTCTGCTCGCTGCCTTCAATTTTTTTTGCTGTGTATTCGTCATCCAAACCCATCTGCATATCACATCATTTTTTTGGGAGATTTTGTTCAGACTAGTTTCGTGAGACACTCATGTGTTCAGGACAAGCGAGATTATGCATAGTAGAATTGATAAATCATAAAATACGACATATGCCTACTTGTTTTTCCAACCATGCACTTTTGAGCATGAACTCTCGTTGACTGTAGAAAGTGTGCGGAAATCGTGGTGTCATAAGGTCATAGCTGTTGAAATTCCGAAATAATTACATTTCATAAGGAAACAAATATAGAATTCATTTGATTCTTGATTCGTATAAAAGTTAGGCGAAATTTTACAAACTATCAAGCATCTCAGAATAATTATATTTCATAATCAGACGGAGAAGTTATTTGCTTCTTTGACTCGTATGATACTCTATGCAAATTTTTTTCTGCAAATATTCCCGGAATCTTTATCATTCATTTATGAATTTGCTTATCAGCGTTGCGATTGGCATACCTCCAGAGGAACTTATCGCACTATTCACTGATAGATTTTTGCGGGGTAAAAAACCTTTTCAAGCAGTTGCTCGTTAACCGTATGAAGAGCGACTTGCTCTACTTCAAAAACTGGAAAAAAGATTATGTGTTCAAAAATCACTCGTGCTTTAAAATAGCGCGAAAACAAGCTCATGTGAGTAAACAAGTGTTGCGCGGTTCGCGGAAACTCATTGAAATTCTGCGAATCAAACATCGGGTTAGCAGTGGTCATCTCTGAGTTACACTTGATCCTATATCCTATAAGATTAGACCTCAAAGCTCATCTGCGGAAAAAACAGCGGCAAAACTCTCAGCAACTCTCGAAAAATGATATGTCAGCCAGCATATTGTAATAGAAGTGTGAAATTGTCACGTGGTGTCTATTGTTTGCACCAGCTTTCCAAATAGAACTAGTAAAAAATCAGTCACCAGTTGTCTAAACATTAGGATTTCTACCTATCTGGACTGTAAGACCGGATCTGTGCTTACATCTGACGGTTTGGATACTGCCCATGTTTGCACTTAGATAAGTAACAAAAAGAGCTGTATGATCTTTTATAGCAAAAAATGCGAAAATCGTTCCTATGGAACGGAGGCAAACCTTACTCAAAATGAGAGAGAAATACGTATTTGGTATGCACAAGAAAGAGCTTTGTGCAAACAGTAGTTATAAAGATAGATCATTATTGTTACCGATTTATTATTTTCGTCTTTTTTCGAAAACATTTCCATAGAAATTTCAAAATGCGCTAAAAAATTTTCTGCAGAAAATTGCAAAATGCACTCTATGGAATCACTTAATCACATTTCATGTTTTGCGAAGCCAAACTGGTTTACATTTGACAAGCACTCAACAGAATTGAAATTATAATGTACTGAGTCACTTCAGAACCTGCATTCGATATAATTTCGTTCAGAAATGGAGCAAGAGATTTTGAAAAGGTTAATCTAAAAACTTCCTGGAAGTTCGCTATCTTCCTAACAAGGTTGAGGCATGACCGAATCAAAGTAACTGGTAATGAAAATGCATTGCCCAAATGTCTCTCATCGTTTACTTCCTATTTTCGCGTGCTAGTGTCTATTACGCTGTGGCTACACTCCCGACAACTACAGGAAATTTTCCAAATCTTTTCTTCCCTAAAAAGCTACAACCTTTGCCTTTTATAGAGTTGTTTACTTCCTGTGAAATGGCTACTTCAGACTAGTTTTGGCTAGCGACACGACAATTATTGGCATGGGGGTGGAGCCGGTGGTGAGCAGAGAGCAGCCACTATCGATCTTACACACTCTCCACATGATGCTGCTCTGTTGTTGTTGGCCAGTCCATAAATGCGTTACGGTGAGTTAGCAATCAATCGATATATCGATTAGTGGCGATTTAGCGCGTTACAGGTGCTGTCATGCTTTGATACGTTGATTGTCACTGTACTCGCTTATAAGTCTTTCAATGCACTTTCAAGCGCCATACACGACCCGTGAGTTTATGTTCTGTCACCTACTGCTGAAAAAAGAAATTATTAAAAGCAGTTTTGAAAAGATCTATTAAACCTTCATCAAATAATCAAAAGAATAACGTTGTCAATTCTGTATCGTTTCCTAGTCCTTGATTACACTGTTTTGTTTGTGTGGTTCAAAGTTTTCTAGAGGATTTGCAAGTGAAGTCGTGGTTTCTGCATTGTTTTCCCTAATCAGCCGTCCAGACAATTCAAGACATTTTTGTTTCGACTCTTTGAAGTTTCGGTTACATCTATTGGAAGTCTTATCTTTCTCGATGAAAAGGCTTTGTTAGCGCTCGAGACAGCGCTTTTTTCAAAAGAAATCTTCTCACAAATCAATATTTACTCTCACACTTTCTCTTTGTTGCAGTTCAAGGTATTAATAAGAAGATTGAGACTACAAAATACAAACTCTATTATTTTGAGACGCAAAATTTTACTCTAGCCTGCAAATCTCGTTTGGAAAAGTTGGCAGTCGAGTTTCGACATTTCTGTCATTTAGTGCGCTGTCCCTTTTTGGATGGTTGGAGAAAAAGAACTTTGTATTTGCATCAAAGATTCCATTAGTCTGTGAGGAGCGCAAAACTTTATGGGAATAAGTACAACAAATTTATTAGGTTAAGTCTACGTTTGCACAACTGATCTTAGTCGATGTTTTTCCATCCTCGTACTTTCCTTCAAAATGAAAATCACATCTTTATCTTTAAAAATTTCCTAGATTTTTTTTGAGTAAAAAGTGCTCAGATTAGCTTCTGTACGACATTCGCGAGCAGGATGTGCAGTCCTAAAGAGTGCTTTTGCAAATCGAGTGTAAAGAAAGTGCGACAGTCTTTTTGCACACTTCAGTCGCTCTCCTCGTCGATTTGCTTTGCTCAGAAACACTAATCATAGCAACCTAGTACAAGTGTAACATTGACAAAAATTTGCAAAACGTAAAGCAGCGATCTTTTTGTGGGCTCCACTCATTAGCCCTAAAATAAGTTTGGGGACAAATTTGAATTTTTTTGGGAACAGTCGTTTCATTAGTCCTACGAGAGATCTTGTTCTTCAATATCTTATGCAATCTTGCAGTCCCGCGATTTGGGTTCGGAAGAATCAAAAAATGCTGTTTGCTTCCGGAAGATAAGCGATTTCGAGTAATAAGACTGATATGTATCTACTTTTTGATCACCAAGGCTTTATGTTAATACAGCGAAGCTGCGAAACTGACTGATATTTGTTCTGATTGATCTTGCTGCAAATCACAACATGTGTAAAGTGCTGATTTTTTTAAGGCATAGTTCCAAAACATTCATGCTTTCATAGAATATTCAAAATATAATTTTGTTCCTGCAAAAATCCAACCAAAGGCGATTTTCTTGGTAGTCTTATCTTTCTGAGAAGTTTTACGTAATTGAACGGTGACCTTCACGATCATATAAAAATTAAACTGATAGGGCATCAAGAACTCTTGATTAATCACGCAGGCACACTCATTGGCTATTTGTTGAAGCTTTGAGACCTGAATAGTTTTACGGTTTTTAATGATCAAAAAGAATAAAAACGTGGGACGCAGATCTTTCGATTTACTGAAATAATAAATAATTTTGAACTCTTCACATTAGTTCCGCAAGAAACGTGCATCTGTGAATGATAATCCACTCTTACCACAGAAGTGTTGAGGGAAATTTGCATCGAAATAGGTCAAAGAATTTCTGTGAATATAAAATTGTTCTTATTAGTGAAGCAATAGTATAAGAGTGTATGGTTAGCTTGCCGAACGTTCTGCAAACCGTCTGAGATTTGAAAACTTTGGTTTTTAAGAATACAACAAGCAAGGCATTTAGTGATGAACGATGGTATATATTGCTTAAAACTAATTTTGTTTGTTTTTTCAGGGACTGGTTCACTGTACTTTTCTTCTTATTTTTCCTGGGTTTCGCCACTTGCCAGATTATTGCTACCATATTCATCATATTGGCACATAAGCGAAATATTGCACGTTATTGTTACCCTCGGTAAGTTGGAAGTTGGAGGTTTAGTTTGCATGAAAAACATTCAAGTGCAAAATTTTGCAGATTAGTGCTTATCGCTGGCCTTACTATTTGTTCTGCTATTGCTTGCATAGTTATGCTGTTTTATTTCGGTGGAGCGCAAGCAACAATGAACAACTTTTTCTTCCGCGTTTACGAGGTAAACACTTGAGTCACCCGTTTCTCAAGAGGTGTGATCATGCCTTGGTATTCAGTACTTTTTCGAAGAAGTGGATGCTTTGGAGAGGGCAGAGCTCAAATCCGAACTGAGAATGTATGCAGCAGGTTTTTTCGTATTAGCACTCACCTTCTGTGCCTACAGGTTCGTTGGCTATTTTTACTCCTCCTTTACCTACATGGGAATTTCCTTTTCAGCTTATTCGAACTATTCCTTACTAGAAAGTTCTATCTGTCGTTGGATGACTTCACACCCATTCCTCAAAGTGACCCTTCAGCCCCTCAACCAGCGTTCAATCCAGATTTTGCACAAGCGCCTGGTAAAGTTTACCCAAATTTACCGTAAAGACGTAATTTATTTTATCGAATGTATTGTCTGATACTCGTGATCTCAACTGCAAAGGTCTGCCGAATTTTATGTCTTCCTGCAATAACAAGGATTTTTAGTTGTATAATGTTTTCGGTGTCTACGTCAAATCTGCCCGACTCAATAAACTGGAAAAAAGTTTCGTTGGAGTGTTTTATTTTTATTTTTGAGATCAACTTGAGTCTAGACTTTTCTTTGTTCTGTTATTCATTTCTGATTGCGTGCTGCATTCCTTATTTTATTCATTTGAGGCATGGCGATGTAGAATGGATTTTCTAGACTAGATTTTCTATTCATGTCATATAAATGTTAACATTCCATAAGAACAAATTTGTTTTTTTTTTCTATTTCTCTTGTGCTTAAGTTACTGCTGGTTCGAACTGCGAGGATCTGATCTCATGTATATGTTGTTGTTCAGTGAAATGTTTGTAGATTTGCGAGTAAATGTATATCATTGTGAGATTTGGATCACAGATTTTTGCATTCCGCATCCCCTCCCCCCCCCCTCCCACGCTCCCGAGAAAATTCACCTTTCCACAAAATTAATACTCGCTTACCGAGATTGATTTCGCACGTAGGACCTTCCCAACCAGGTAAGCATTTGCATTTGAATCTCCCCAGCTTTGACGGAATACAGTCAGCTCCATTGCGGCAAGGATTAGCCGAAGAGCAAATGTCCTCGATCTCAGCGCATTCAGGACCCGCGAAGCCGGTTCTGAATATGGGTGCCATATCAGGGATCAATTTGAAGAGAATCCAGAGAACGGGAAGGGGATTGAAAAGCTGATGCCAACCTGCAGAGGCATTTCGTACTTCCTAGTCCGGGTAGATCATGGCATACGCCTCCGTTGGGACACGATACTCCAATGCATTCATCAACTCCAAACTGGCAGCGCGTCCCCGTGAAGTCTAGAAGAGGAGTCGATAAAAAACATCCAAAAAACAAAGCACTTGAAAATCACTTAGTCGCGAGCTGCGCGAAAAGTGTGACTTACTCTGAGGACACATGCATCTGAAGGTGCCAGCAATTGCCTCGCAAGTTCCACCGTTAAAGCATGGCCTCGAGTCGCAGACTGGCTCGATCAGTTCGCACCGATCTCCGACAAATCCCGGACGGCATTCGCACACCGCTCGATGGTCGCGCACAACGCATTCGGCCTAAAGGTTATTCTTTGTCGCTGCCATGTCAAGCAGCGTCTAGTGTAGCTTTTGTGCGCCACCGCCGTTCCAGCCCCGCGCCACTGCTTGCTAGCTCAGTGTCGAAAACCACATGGGATGCGCCCCGCATTGACAGGTCTATGTCTCAGCACGGTGCTGGCACGGGGCTCTGGACCACCTTGCTTCAAAAAAAAGCTCGACCATATATGAATTTCATGGACTTTTCTCGACAAATTCTAACTCTTTATAGAACCCACCTTATTTTCACATTGTTTTGCGCTACAGTCGATAGCCTCGCACGCTGCTTCTGAAGTGGATCCTACACTCATCGTGGCTGTTTCGTTTGTGCATTGCAGACATCTGCAAAATATCAACCACGTTATGAGCAATAAGATCTATTCTTTTTATAATTGATAGTAAAGTGTATATCCTGCCTCTGTTGCCCCAGAGATGGCTGATAATGATGAAGTGGGCAGGGTGAGCATGGTTCAAGACCGGACAAACTGAAGGTTCCGGCTTTGCAGGGTTGCTTACAGTGTGAGGGCCCTCCAGAGCCAAGTTTAGCGGTATAAGTGCCAGAGGAGCAAGTTGTGCACTTTTTGAAGCCACCTGAATAGATGAAAGTTTTTGCTTCGAGAGACTGGAGAAAAAGAAAAGTCCTACAAGACTTTTTTCATAGAGTCCAAAAATATCTCAGAAGCTCATGAATCTGGAACTCTATCCTTTCAACTCTGGATTAGTTACAGGTAAACGTGACAATTGAAAAGTTTTTGAGGCAACGTCCAGAAGTGCCCAAGTGCCAAAGCTGTGCCAGCGGCATTCCAGCGCCGTGCCAGAAAGCATATAGACGTTCTGCGCTAACAGGGCGCTGGAATTTGTCACGGACAATCCAGGATGCAACCCGGGAGTGCTTCAGTGATCAAGCCTCATTTGAAAAACGGAATTTACCTGCAGTGGGAGGTCCCGCATAGGTGTGTCGGGGACATAGTTGACAAGGCACCAAACCGCTTGCGCTGTACATTCCATTTCCGCAAACAGCTTAAGAAACGAAATTCTGCTAATTTCTGGAATCTTCTTGGATCTCACCTAAACAGCTTTTCTCTGAATGCGATCCCTCGAACTGTGTGTAGGTGCCCTCAGGACACGATTTGCATGCTACTTGCCCGGCTTCATCTTGGTAAGAGCCCAAAGGACATTTCACACAACTGTTGTTCACACTCACGGATCCAACAGGACAAGGTACTGCAAAAACCGTTTTTACGTGAACAAAAAAGAAGTCGATTGTCAGAACTTTTAAGACCAACTCACAGCATTCTGGTAGCGAATCGGTGCCCTCTCTCAGAACTTCGCCATCAGCACATCCGAAACCTTGCGTTATGGTTGACCTGTATAGGGCAGGAGATTTGAGCGTTCCAAATAAGAAAAAGCAGTACTCGCTTGTAACATACTTGGAAGATGTTAGCATTGGACACCCGATGCCTTGTGATGGGATTGTTTCTCCATTCAACGCAAGAAGATTCCGGATGGGAGTGGTAGCGCCTAAATTTACGCTGAGTTGAAATAAGCACAGCAGCTAAATAAGGTACCTGGTATTCTTAGATCAAATATGGTTCGCAGAGTGAGGCCGCAGAGATCGTAGAAGACATTTTGGAGAACAGTAGGAAGTATTTGTATGGTGTAGTTTCCATTGACCTATTTGATTTGATTTGACCCACTGTGAAGATGTAAGATGGCATCACTTACCATCCCTTTTTCGTTGGTGAACTTCGCATCAAGAAACCTTACGAAGACCTGCACAGAGCTAGAACATCGCTGACTTAGAACTTCGTCGAGAGAATCGAAGGAAGTAGCAGCTAATGAGGCGTAACCCTGTAAATTTGGAAAAGCTCAGTCGTCTTGATCTTCAAACAGCGTCCGGAGTTGATTGCGCTCTGAAGTCGTGCCAGCGCCGTTCCAGCACCGTGCTGTCGCTGTGCTGAAACACATGCGGATGCGCTCCGTATCGAGCGAATTCCAGACGGCGCTGGCACGGCGCTGGGAAAGGTAGCTCTAGATGAGGCCTAGCGAAACGTGTGGTAATGTGAAAAGAGTTGAGGGTAGATAAGCGTTGTAGATGTTACCTTCAGACAGTGGTCTGGAACGGGTGAAGATGCCGGGTAATCAATAGCTACGTTGAGCTCGTACCGAGCAGGTTCCCTTGCTAAATTTGTATTGACAATTGTACTGTATTTGATGATATTCTCTTTGGGATACTCACAGAGCGGGACGCACGCCTGCGCAGCTCCAGTAGGTACCCATTTTCCAGATTCGCACTTGTATTCCTTTATAGCCTGAAAAGGACAACATTCTGTAGCACTTACAACTCAAAATCTTCGGGAGAACATACCTTTTCTTCGTCCACAAAGCGGTAACCTTTTTCACAAGCGATTGTGCACGATGTAACACCATCTTTCTGTTGACACTTCTTCACAACATGTTTCGCCGAGGATAAAGAATCAGCTGAGCATGGCTCCGCTAGAAAATGTATTTGTTAATTTGGAAAGAGTTTGCGAATTTTTGTAAGTGCACTAACGCATATAGGCAACTTGGAATTTGCACTGGTTGCGATTTCCTAATGCATCCGTAGCCGTCACTTCAACTTCAACATAATCTCCTGATTCCAGGTTAGCTTCAGAAGGGTTGAACGTAACCTGCAAAACAACATGTTTTGAGACAAATACATGTAGGAACCAAAATGTGAATTTTTCGCTAATATCAGTCTAAAACTCCCGAGGGACGACACCTTTCGTAGTATGCCCGAGTGTGTGCCAGCGCCGTGCCAGCGCTCATCTCGCTCCCCGTATTTATCGATCGACGGCGCTGGTACAAGCACTCTGGATGCAATCTCACTTGCTGCAGCTTTGCAGCAGGAAAGAAACGGAGTAAGGTACTTTTAGATTTATTTTTTATAATATTTTTCTGATTTTTTCTACAGTACTTTTTGATTTTTTCTTATTGCTTTACTTACCTCCGTTATATTTGAAACATCCTGTATGACCATAGGAACTGTAGTAAGATTGAATACAACTCGCATCTTGGGCTCATAAGCAGAAAGTGCGTACGAGTCTGGACACTTCAGGACAGGAGGAAGCGTATCTGATGAGGCATTATCTCACTACGGAAATGTGAGAGACGGAAATGTAAAACGAAAATATGGCAAAGTCTGACTCAGCGGAAAAGTTACCTGGAATTTTGAGTTTCACGATGCACTCCGCAGTATTTCCCGCATCGTCAAAGGCTGTGTAAACAACGTCAACATCGGAAGTGATCAGTCGTCCGGGTGTGAATCCGGCTGGCTCAACGCGCATGTATGCTATCTAGAAAAATTACGGAATTATTAGCGGTTGTATGTATGTGAAACAGTGATTATGACTTCATTGCAACCTTTTTTGTTAGCTACTTACAATGTATAGTATAATCCCGATGTTTGAACATGCATTCAGTGCAGTTTTCTCTTCTCCAATTCACATAATCAGACAATAATTTTGTACGCCTTTTGATCACTGCCAAGATCCGTCAAATCATTTTTAACTGCTCAGAGTTTGACTGCGTTTCAAAAATTATTCTGTGGTTGGGGAAGAGAGAGATTCTCCATAAATGGAGCAAAACTCGGATATGCGGGCATACTTTCAGATTTTTGGATCTGTTGTTTGCATCAGAAAATTATCGCAAATCTCGAGTATTGGCAAAGCCTTGGTGCACGCATGCAGCAAAAACTTTGAAGTCTTCCGAGTTTTTGCAATCTGAAGATGTATTCTTTTCAAACATTATTGCGCAAAATGATCAAGTTTCATTTGCTTCGAAAAATCATCTTTGGAATTTTCGGTATATCTATGTGGTACATGAGGTCAAAAAGACAGGGTTTTTTCGCAGATAAACTTGCGGACTTCATAAATTTTATCTAAATTCATCGATTAGTCTTCTATGAGTTTTAGTGACCGATCGCAGAAAACGACGAAACTTTCGGGATCACCCAATAGCAATGATAATTTTGGTTTAGCTAAATTCTGGTCATGCTTCCCTCCAATGAAGAGCCTTTCAGCTCATGCACCTTGAGCGCTCAAAACTAACTCTGCCACTATTGTCCTCAGCCACAGGCTCTTCGTAGTTGATCGGTGTGATTTGCCCGTTTTCATCGGTCACAGCATAGATGGGATTTGTTGGACAGTTTTGGAACATTGGCGGTTCTGCATCCATGCACTGAGGTACGGAACCATTCCAACCAACCTGAATTCGAGACAACATGTGATCCAACTCTGAAAATGATTAGGATATTCGTACCTGTAGATGAGTGGGCACTTCGTGAGCGACTGTCATAGGTGCTAGACATCCGAGAAGATCAAAGCGAATGCATGGGTTGCCTTCGTACTCCGCAACACCGAGCAGGATGTAACGGGCACGAAGCGGAGGAGTCAGTTCGAACTGATGCATCGCGTTGTGGTTTCCAGACGGCGTTTCGAATTCCTCAAAAAAAAACTTCTTCAAATCTGACAATTACCGAATGAGAAATGACATACAACAGGGTAGGTATCATAATTATGACTGAATTGTGTTTTGTAGAATAGTTGCATTTTTGTCACGTGCCCTCGCAGGTATCCGCTTCCAGCAACCCCAGCCATGCGGAGGGTCGTCAAGGTGTAAACTCTGGAAGAACATACCGCTGGTAAAATAATTTTCAGGTAGCAATAGCCTTCACCAATGGCAACTTTTGCAAATAAGCTACCAGGGGGTCGTAAATTCTTATAATTAGGGTGATCGGTAAAAAATGGGGCACTTACGAAATAACTGGAGGTTTCTCAAGAAAGAGAAGTGATTAGACTTTCCAATTTTTATAGATGTTAGAATACGTTATTCTCTTCCAGATAATACCGATATAAGGTCATTTACATGATTAATTATTTTTATACTTGCTAAAATACAAAGTTGATCACTTCGACAAATTATGAACTTTGAGCAGCTTCTGCGCAGTGAAACAAGTGAGACCACCCAAAGTACCACTACTGGAGTGGGTGATGGGACAGTCCCAAACACGACGGCTGGGTGGCCTCAACTTTCAAAGTCAGGAGATATGGCCATTAGCAGTTTCGAGAACAAAGATACGCGTTATTCAATTCTTCGCAAGTGAACGCATGTTTTGTAGGTACCATCTGATAGAGCTTCTTACGTTCCATCCATCCATATGCTTACGTCTTGTCTATCTTCGGAAAATATAAAGCAAAGCATAATTTTTCTTTGTTTTTTAATGCGCCAAAAATGTCTATATTTCAGGTTTTTTCGCTTTTTTCTGAAATTAAAAAGAAATCGCATGCATTTAACGTATGTTTGAAAGAGCATGAAGAACTCTTTCGAATGGTATGTCATTTGGTTTATGACACTATACGGTATAGCAGCGTAAGAGTGAGAATTGTTCCAAAAGCCCTGTCTGAGTTCTTCACGGCGCCACGCGGACGGTTATGAGAGAGGAGCGGTAACGCGTTGCCAGAATAATAGGCGAAGGTCGGTTATGTAAGCGACGTTTGAGTTGCAGCCTGCTCGTTGTTGGTGAGAACAAAAAACCTCAAAATGTGATAAAAATCAAGCTGCCCCATTTTTTACCGTTCACCCTAATACATCATTAACTATGAGTCTATCTCCAAGAACGGTGTATGACAAGATGCATGACGGCAAGGCAATGGAACCTATCCGTGGAACTACTCGCAAGCGCACATGCTGTAAGTGTTGTGTGCGTTCAGAGTTAACGTGGGCGCCAGCACCGTGCCAGCACCGTGCTAGCGCCGTGCCCAGTACTGGAAGACGCTAACTGGCTAACTAGTACGCAACTTGCGAATGACCGTCTTGAATCGCTATTATTGGTAGTACATATAAATTACATTAAAAAACTTTGTTTCATCTCCCGTGGTTTAAAAGAGTATTTGTGAACATGCCTTTGCAAATCGACGCTGAGGAAGATGAAAGCATCCTTGGATCCGCACCAACCAGTTGAGGATAATCTTGCCTAGAAGAATCTGTCATAGAACCCTTTCTCCTTTTCTTTCACGACTATATTTCAATCCAATTGACGGAAATATGCCACTTCCAAACCTTATGCGGTTCGTATCCCCAGTTTGTACTGTCAGAATTGTCCGCAAATGCTCCATCAGGAATGAATCCAGAAGATATGCCCACGTCTTCGCTGAGGACGCAAGCAGCTCCCAGGGCACACTGAATTGATGAAGAAGGGAAAGGGCGGTAACCTGGAAGATACGAGGTTGAGAATGCACCAATAGATGGGGTGAGAGAACACACCGGGTCTATTGCAAGAGAATTTTGCCACAGCTCCCTCCTCAACACTATCCAGCTCTATCGTTCCGTCGTCTGGAAACCCTGGATCGACGCAGACTGGTCCTGAACTAGAAGTTTTGGGTATTGCTTTGACGATAAGGAGCTTGCGACCTTCGCAGCGAAGATCTCCGAGATCCCACGAGGAGTCTACACCACATCGTACGGTCTGATCTCCTGCTGAAGATTTTCCCACTAGCGAATACGGAGGTCGGCACGTGAAGGTGAAAGTGGACCCTACCTGAACATCAATTATTTGACCAATCTGAGTTATTCACCGAGAGTGATTGAACAAAATAGTGCAACCTTATAGCTTTGGTGATCGCCTTCATAAATAGCTCCAGCCAACATTGGCGGCGGTCCACAGTCCACGAAAGGGCAGTCGGCTGGTGGTCCAGAGAGCCAATATTCACGCCCGTCTGGTTGAGGATCAAACACGCACTCCCGGAATGAAGCCAGCGGTGAGCTGCGAGCTAAAACACAACCCTCAATCTTTTTTGGTTAGAGAATAAAGTTGGCTGACCTGGTCGATTCTCTTGCGTGCAAACAATGGAGATATTCTGTCCATGGGCTACGGTACTGTTCTCAGGCGACACAAATAATCCTACTGCAGAATTGTTCTTCAATCCTTGACAAGTAGCTGCTGAAAAATTCCCACTGTGAGGTTGAACTACTTCTAGCTTAGTCTGCAACCAGTCGGCGTCGTGCCAACTTCGTACTAGCGCCGTGCCATAAACCAAGTGGACTCTCTCTGTACTGATCGATCACGGTGCAGCAGAGCCCAGGAAGGCGCTACTGACGCTGGCAGGGACAACTCTTACGTCTTAAATGATCAGCTCAAACTTACGTAAGCAAAACGGTATCGTTCCATTCCAAGTTCCGTCAGACAAGCACTGTAGGTAGTCTGGACCCATCATCTGTAGATCGTAATTCATATTAGAATGATGAGATTTTGCAAATTCTATCATTGTAATCACCTGGAATCCGAAATCACACATGAATTGAACGACAAGCGGATAGTTGAATTTCTTCAAAGTGCTTAGCAGGCTTCCGTTATCCGGTGAATGAATGATTGGGCATGACTTCGGGATGCAGGTCTTGTTGAATCTGAACTTGCTAATTTAGGTGCAGAAGAACGGCATGAAACTTGGGGCTGCGTCCATTGCCCGCACCAGTATCGAGCTAGCAGCGTGCCAGCGCCATCGATGGATTAAAATGGGGGTGCTGGCACGGCGCTAGCATTGCGGTGGCACACGGGCGACTCTAGACGCCGTGAGAGTGCCTTCACATACTTGATTATATCTTGCGCATGTTCCCCAGTTTCGCCTTCTTCCAAGAACACTCCTTCTTGACCATTTTCCACGAACAAGTCGTAGCCTTCTCGGCACGCACACTAAACCACAAAAACTTTATAATCACATCAATTATTTGATGATTCGAGGTCAATTCACCTTATAGGATCCCTGCTTGTTGACACAAATTTGATCGCAGTGACCATTTTCAATCATGCATTCGTTGACATCGGCGCAAGAGGTTTTTTGACATCCCAACACTTCCAGCTGAACTGTGTTTTCTCCGCGGTCAAGTGTTCATAATATTAGACAAACCAACCTTCATGCAAGCTTCATTCTTGAATGACACTATGGTTATTTCCAAGGTGCTGGATTCGATGGAATACGGCAGGTCGAACGCATCACCTCCGATCGTCAACCCACTGTTGACCGAGAATTCCTGAACTGACTGAGCTAGTGTTGCTCAAAATATTTGAATTTCGTCTATGGTGGGGAGTAAGTACCTTTTTTCCTTCGAGCATGAGATCTTTAAGAGGTTGACCCTCCTTCTCACTGTAGCGAACTTTTATCGACGTAACCTCAGCTTTGCCCACCTTTTCGAGTCTCAACGATAACATCTTGCATTATAACCACCTGATAAGCCAAACGTCTAGATACCTGATCTTTTCAATAATTTTAGGCACCACAAAGTGCACTGTGACTGTCTTTTGGCTATCAGACTTATTCGCGCACCATCCAGTTGTTGTTATGGTTGCAGAATTTGAGTGATTAGAAGATGTGGCCACGGATTCGAAAGTCAACGGCGACGGTGAAGGACACACTGCAAATTCACTCATATACTTACTGATTGGAAATAAAAAAAACTTACTCAGTTGAGGTTGAAATCCGTCGAGACATTGGCAAGAATACCCGCCCGGAAGATTCACACATCTTGTGGAGCCCTCTTGGCACTGGGACAAACCTTGTATGCATTCGTCAATGTCACGGCAGGATGGTACAGCAGAGAGCGACTGATTAGCCAAGCATTTCACCTTGAATATTACGATTTCATTTTCTCGTTGGCATGGATGGTAAAGCGAAGAAAAGACCTCTTCCGGTCCATCTGCGTGGAATCCAGCATCGCAATGCACTTTGGCAGCATCGCCGAACTGGAATGGTTGTGGGAGGCTCAAATGTCCGTTAGCAATTTGTGGAAGAGTGGAACAGATCAGTTCTAGAAAAAATATCTGGCAGATTTGGACGATCCGAAAACAGGAGATTTTGAAACCCATGCGGATCCATTCTATGTATGAGATGTTGAAAGAGTGAAGACTGAAAAAGCTTCAAGGCTGTTGCAAAGTTGTCCGTTTGCCAGTGCTGTGCCAGCGTCGTGCCGTGTTCACTATGCCCCTCATATTAATCGAAGTTTGCTACGGGCGTTAGCACGGCGCTGGCACGGCGCTGGAACGGCGTTGGTATGGCATAGGCACGAGCAACTCTAGAAGAATAGGCACCGCTGTAGTATTGTAGGCACTCACTCAAGCATTTTGGTTGCTCGAAAGACCATTGTCCATTCGTCTGACATAGCAATGTGGCAGCACCTTCGCGCCGATATCCCGGATGACAATCGAAGCGGAATACGGTGCCGTAACCAGTACCGTCACCAAATTCAAGACGACGATCACCGTTCGCAAATGGCGTCAGCGCTGGGCACATGGCAGCTGAATTTTCAAGATCAACTCGGTAAACGGCATTCGAAAGGTGCTGGCATACCTTTACAGCTGGGAGCATGACTCCAATTGCCATTGATGTCGCAACGAATCTCCTCCTTGACATTACCGCTGGCGAAAGAAAATCCTTCATAGCACGAGTATCTAGCTATGCCGCCAAATGAGACATTCGTGGCAGATTCGGCGAAACCATTGGCAATTTGCGGAACGGCAGAACAATAGACGGCTGGAAAGAATTGCTTTAGTGTTTTAGTATTTGAGAAAGAAACTGGAGAAATTAGCTGACGTTGACAATTTGGAATAAGGCTTTCTGTCCATTTTCCGCCAAGTGAACAGCTTATATCGATATTTCTACCTCGTCCAGATGCGAATTCGAATCCAGGTGGACAGGATACTACCACCTAAAAACACACTATTTTTCTGATGATTAGGGAGTTAGTGCTTGGAAACAGACGAACAGTTCTATTATATTTGCTTTTCTTTGAAATTGAAGATTCTCCTTGTAAGAAAATAAGCACTTCCCCTTGCGCACCTTTTTCTAACTCGCGTTTCTCGCGATGTTCTATTCCCAAAATTGACTTAACGCTCACCTTTGTGCCATAAGTGGTCGTTTTTGTAGAAAGGGTTACCAGAGGTGGAGTTTTCAGTGCAGGACAATCTGAAACGAAAATATCACGACAAACGACATTGCGTCATCTACGATGAAGAGAAGGCTTCTAACAGGTAAGAGCTAGGTGTTTAGCCTCGAACCTTCTAGAAGATGATAAGACAATCAGCCAGTTCTTATTGTTTTGCTCTAAGAAAACTTACTAAGAGAATAGGTGGCGTTGAATCCCATGGCATTTCGCACAGCATTTGTCTTCAGTACCACTTGAGCTCTGCCCAATCGCGAGAGAAGTTGCTGTGGTGGACGCTGATCATTGTTAAAGCCGGAACCTTCATGAAGGGCACGACCTTTTGTGGAACCTTCGTACACCTGCACAGGAAAGTAGAGCAGGACCACCAACATTAGAAACATTGGAAATACCTTCACATAATCATCCGCGGCGATATCAAACCGATCAAAGCGCACACTCAAAGGCTGATCATTGTATTCTTCGGGTAGCTCCATGGTGTACGTGCACTCGATGCCAGCAGGGTAGGGTACCCGGAGACTTCCAGGAGAAAGTACGGATCCCCACGTCTGATGTATCACAACGTCGCATCCTGAATAGAATTGAGTTTGTTGCAAAGGCCTTCATAAAGGTACTTCTTTAGGTTCCCTTGTCGGATGACAAAATACTAGAACGCACCTCTTTTGTAACCTATCGAAAATCCGCGTCCCTTCCCTCTTACATTGGATAAGAAGTAAATATAGGCATTGTTCTGCGTAGTCACCAAGTACTCAGTATTGGAGCTGTTGCCAGAGAGTCTGTAGACGCCGTTCAGATAAAATGAGCATTCTTGAAAGCAATTTTGCAAACCTAGCCAAGACAGCAGACGTAGGTGATGAACCGTCGTAAATTATCAGAGCGTCATCGGATGCGAGCGAAACGTCCTCAATCTGGAAGGAAGCTCGTAGTTTTCGCTCTTCACAGACACTGCACTTACGCTGAGCGTGATCAATTGCTGCTTGGGAGCTTGTACGATCCAGACGCACTCAGTTCCCGAAGGGTATTCGGACGGATACTGCGGCGAAGAGAATGTCTGGCCGTAAGCCTGCGCTGTCAGTATCCCACCACAAGAGAAAGGAACTAAACAAAATTGCTAAAAATCATTGATCGCTGAAGTGCATTTTTCAGTGGTGTTTACACATTGAGTCAAATTCCATGAAGTGAGGCACACGCAAATAGAACTGAGAATTTGATTTGGAGGGTGCGTCAAAAATATTCTCGTCAAATCTGGATCAGTGACATGCTAGACCTCTGAGATATCTTAGACTCAGGTGGCATGTTTCAAAGTTTCTACGCAAGAGCTGATCCACATATTCTGACGTAATCTCCGCTTAGAAAATAAGTGTAATTGTAATAAATAATGTAGCAATAGCTATGATAAGCATTTCCATCTTCGAATAAATTTTTTCAACAAGATTTTTTCAACAAGAATTTTTTTGCGCAGACTTTGCAATTAAAGGACGCTTTCGTACAACAAGTATTTGAATATTTACACTTAATCGACCGCAAAATTGTTTTCAAAAATTCCCGCTCAGTGATATGATATCAGCCGATGAAAGTTTGGTCTATCTCACTACATGATCGTTTCTCGGGCCAAACAGTTTCTAGTCAAAGTAGGCAGACTTGAGAAGCTTTGTCCTCGCTAAAGGAAGAATTGGATTGGTGAAATAATTTGTATTTCTTCGAATAAAGGGAAATTTTTGGACTTTAGATTTTGGATTACAATAGAAAAACCAAGGAAGTTATTTCAAGGATTGAAAATATTGCTGTTCAAGCAGTTCTTTGCAAAGCAAACATTTTGAAATTGAACGTTCAACTATCCACTCACCGGACCTCCAGTGTGCTTGGAATCCTCGCGCCTGTACGGCTGCATCGCTTCTGAAGCGTACGATGATCATATTCGAAGAGGACATCAGCTCGATTTTTTCGCTTTTCGTACCCGACAGAGTGGCAAGCACTAAAGCACTTACTACTCAGCGGTTTCAACAGTACCATTCAACTTGAATTACCTGTGGTGCTATTCTCCGCTGGGCCTCCATCAAGGACAGTGACTATGTCAACAAATTCTTCTGTTTCGAAATAGTCAAATGTCAACTGGAAATGAAAAATGAGTTTGAATATTTATCTAAAAAAGTTAATTTTGATAAAAAAATACAGTCAAAAAATTGACCTGAATTCGATTGTTGATCGGTGCTTCAATCACCCAGCGGCAATTTGAATTGCCCCTATATGAGGACGGATAGTTTGGTGTTGAAAGCTTGCCAGATTCCCCTTTTTCATATTCCAAGCATGCCACATCTGCATGTGATGCTGGAAAGAACGAACGTTTTTCATAAATCGAACACCCATAATGCCCCCTAGGCGTTCATCTCCTCGAGAGTTGTCCGCGTGCCAGCGTCGTGCCAGCGCTCAGTAATGATCGATCACATTCAGCAGAGCACGGACAACCCGGGACGCAGAACAAAGACGAGGTACTGCTTTACCTGGACAATTTAATTCATCGCTATAATCGCCGCAATCGTCTACACCATTACAACGTCGTGAATCTGACACGCAACCTCCGCTGGCGCAGAAAAATGACCCTTAAAATGGGTAATAAATACATGCAGTCCAGCTTAGCAACCCCAAACGCACCTTTCGTGCAAGCTTGCATTTCGCAAATAAACGGCCGTAGTATATTGCATCGTTCGAGGCTCCACTCCAGTTCAGTTCTCGATAATGTCGCCTGAAAGAAATAGGACGATTAGCGCTAGAAAGAGAGAGAGAGTAGCTACCATGGCACAGCTTCCCAATTTGTAGTCGGGATGGGATTCTTTCCAAAAGCCAACGTATCTGCTTGCTGCTGTACCGTCACCCCACACGAAAGCAACATCATCTCCCTGTTGTCTGCATGCGAGCCCTGTGGTAAACGAGTAACTTTGGGAGGGTATGTAGCACATTTTTTCTCCAGCAAATAGACATTCAACTTTTTGAACAGAAGTTTTAGGATTATGATTATTGCCGCTGTCTTCTCATGTCAACGTCAGAAATTTCTCGCTCAAGTGATTTTGATTTTCTTCATGTTCGCAGAACGGTCGGCACAAGCTGGTACCAGAGGAATTTCAAGACGAAGTCCCCTTTGATTTTGAAGATTTCGTACTTCCCTTTGACCCTAACCCTAAACGTAAAAAACCCCTGTGCCGAGCCTTGCTGCAGAAACATGAATTACTGCGTTTTGAGTGGAATTTTGTCAATCGACCTAGGTTGCTCCTTTGGCGATCAGCTACTCAATCGATAAATATAATGATTCTATTTGAATGTTGTTGTTACCCACCCAACCACACTTGATGTTGCGTAGTTCGGCCAGGTTTAGTGAGAAGCGTAGCAGCAAACTTATTCTCTCGTGCAGTCTCTACCCGAATGAGCTGTGCACCATATCTGGAGATTCTTCCTTGTTTTTCAAGAATGATTTACAGTTAGATTTGCAGTAGTACCTATTGCATGTGTGAAGAGCTTGGGACCAGCTTTTCTCACTTTGATATGTTTTGAGACATTTCTGGCCGAGACGGCTCCATCCTTCTGGACATTGCAAGTCGATGTCTGCGAGCACTGACGACAGTGGAGATTCTTTAGATTCTTTTGAAGAGCATATTGATAGCTGAAACACATAGCTTTGGAATGCGTACACAAGTTTTTTTTGCTCATATTTGAGAATGCTTTTTTTCTTCACAACTAGGTATTTCAAAATTGCTTCAGTGGTGGCTGCCACGATTCTCCACTGCACAATGGAATTATTTTGTGAGTCTTTCTTGATACATCACTCATTTATAGAAAGCAACATCCTCTACTGGGAGAAAATGTGCTGCAATCATGTGTTTCACTCTAGCAATAGAGAATGTGCTGCAATCATGTGTTTCACTCTAGCAATAGAGAATTATTACAAAGCTACCGTATCCACATAACAAATTCACCTTAAGAACAACATCATTTTTGAATTCTACTTTAACAACAAGATTGCAGAATGTCACGTCATTAGACCTTTCTTTGGAATAAACTCACCGAAACTATAGACAGAAAAAAGAAGATCGTTCTAGCTCTAGGTAACATTGTTACGGGTCTAGCGACCCTGGACTGCAACACCTGAACGAACTTGATTGACTGAGCAGCAACAGCTGACCACAGTAATTGTTGACAAGAGCAATATAAAATCGTTGTTGAAATTGGTTTTCAGACAGAAAAGAGCATAGTAGAGAGCAGAAGGAAAGATTTAAAAAAAAGAAACTGGATGGAGTGTAAAGAAATTACACAGCATTTTACAAATTTCAAAACTTTATCTGCATTAGGATCGCGAGTGCCTTTATGGGGCAGGGCGATTGGTTTGTTCTACTTCATAATCTGATGAGTTGTATAGATTACATACCGAATGTTATGTCACATTTGAAAACGAAAATAGAACATGCCGCTAAGGCTCAGGGATCATATGGCCTAGTTTTGAAGTTAGGTAGTTTCGGTGATTGTATAGTGATAATATATGAAACTACATACAGTACAGTAATTTAAACGGTGCGTTAATGAACGCATAATTTCATCGATAGATCTACTGAAAACATGTGAAAAGTCTTTATTTGATGCAAAGGTATTCAGAATACTAGTCGATTATCTCTGGCTTAGAGTAGACTGTAAAATAAACAATAAATCTTCAACTTTTGCAGCGTTTTCTTTCTATTTTTTCATTTTCTAGCATTTTACTCGAAAAAATTACTGCTTAAAAACTAATTTTCACTATTCGCTCAAAAGTTCAATAAGAACTGTTCATGAAATATCGCTGATTATTTGCTGCAACGTCTTATGGCAAGCTAATTATAACAGAAAAAATTTCAATCTAATTTCTTCTCCGGCTTCAACTTCTGTCACCTGCACCTATTTGAAAACAGCTTTTATGCTTTTACAAAATCTGAAATTAAACTAGAATATGTAGTGATGAATACATAAAAGTCTTGTTTTTTGAATATGGTTTGACGGATTTATGGACATCCTAATATCTGATATCCCCAAAAGAAGCAATAGAATAAGCACCAAAAACCAACAAAATGATGATTGAAGAGTTAGCACACAATCTTTTTGCATTAAATCACCAGCATTCTCACTTCTCACTTATATAGCATATCAGAAAATGGTAGCTGCTGTAAAATTTCTCGCCAATTTCTACAACCTTATTGGAGTAAATAAGCAGTAGTAGTAAGTAAGTAAATAAATAAAATTAAAACGAACGAACGATTCAACCCCCTTCTTAGCTGAGACGATCGAAATTTTGAGTGGACAGAACACATGAATGCAAACATAAGAGGCAGGTAGAGAGTCACTGATGGCGGAAATGAACCGTGCGCAGGAGCAAACAAATCGCAGCAGTCAATCGCTAAGCGAGGGTCAGTAGGATTACTGCTAGTCCATTTGTTGATTCGGACACTTCAGTAAATGAGCGTTAAAGGCTTAAGACCTCTATGAACTGCAAAGCACATTGGAAGAATTTTAGTTCCGTGGTTGATGAGTTGGACCAAAAAAATTTTTCAGTGGAAATGACATAGTCATTTTAACTTGCACAGGATGCCTAAATCTACTTTGCGCCCAAACTGGTGAGTTTCTTCAGCGCTGAAGTCTGTCTCCTACGGGAAGCGTTTGGAATAACTCATTTCAAACAGCAAGGACCTTTGAATGTTTCAATTTTGTCAAAAGCTAGATACTCCACTTAGAGCGATCTGGAAAAAAAAATATTTGTAGGTCAGTCGAAGATTTGTCCATAAAAGGAGTAAAAAAATGAGATCGTAATGTAACAGAAGCAAAAGTGTTGAGTTCACAACTGTCATAATGTCATAAGGTATGACTCTAAGATAAAGTCTGCAGCACTCCGAATGTAACTTAGGTTTATCAGCGCAAATTCTTCGAACATCCACTGGACAGTATTGTGATAATTCCGCAATGTTTTCTGGGCTGTAATTTGATACTGAAACTAGTCGTCATTATGCTATTCGGTAGACCACAATGTTTTTATATTTTCATTTGATGAATACAGATCAAAATATGATGAGTAGAAAATTGATTATGGCGATATCCCGAGGCAGTGGCTTGAACAGAAGAAGAAATACGTACAAGTAAAAGACACAGAGACTATTTCAAAAAAAATGCGCACTATGCTCTATTAAGAGTCGTTACGAAAAAACGTAATAGGAGCTTATCAATATTTTGGCCTTTTCCACTAGAGTGATTGTTGACGATAGAGTTACTCAAAAATCCTAAATGTTGGATTGGAATCCAAAAAAGACTATGCGTTTGTAAGTGAAGAAAACCATAGAAATATTTAGATAAATAGCTAAAGAAATTAGCGAAAACAAAAATTTGAGTCAAATCGAAGAACTAAGCTTGAATCGGTTACAGTTCAGTATCTTCGTAAACTACTACTGTGATCAATCTGTAAGATTTGAACATAGGAGCGGAGATACATATGCAAAGCTCACTCTCGTCCTGAGAAACAATACAAGGTGGAAATAGAATGGGCAAAATTCTTGTAGACCATGTGCGAGTTATTTCTAATAAAAATACTACACAGTTAACAAGCGAGGTGCTGAAAAGAAAGAAATGCAGAAATGCAGAAATCAAAACGAGACTGAGATAAGAGTACTCTGCGTTGATACCACTGCTT